GAACATGACGACTAAGCAATTCTATACCATGCGTAAACTGTCATGTAAGGTGGCATGTAGTCTTCACCCAAGCCTGTTGGATTTGTTGTGAAAGTATGTGAATGATTTCCTCCTGGTTCAGTTGGTCGAAAAGTCTTTTTTGCCGAATGGTTATAATCTGGAGATAAAACATCATAACCAGCTTCATATTCTGAGTTGTATAATGGGTGGTCTCTTAATGAGTGGCTATGGTCACCAGAAAAGTTTGTAGTTCCTGTATGAGTGTGCGGTGGAAGGTTTGCTTCTTTAATTTTCTTCGAACCACCTGTTTCCTTTGAAGAGTTTGCACAATACAAAAACCTGTCGACTATTTGTTCCCATGCACCAACACCAAACATTACTTGAGGACCTCTTGCTTCCATAGATGTATAAATAGAACCTACTGGGTTCATGAAATCAAACATATGAGATATTATAGGATTGTCTCTTTTGAACTTAAATATAGTGCAACTATTTCAGGTTTCTTCTGGTTTGTGTCAGAATATTTTTTATAATATAATCTTATGTTTTCAGGGTAGGTAAAATCTTGACTATAATATTTATTTTTGTCATCTATATAATAGTATACTATTCTCGTTTTTTCTATTGCATTATATCTTTTATATCTATAATATTCTAAATATAATGTTTGCTTTTGTTCATCTGCGTGTAGTGCTCCGCCTTCAGCACCATAGTCATAATAATATGGTGCCGGAGCTGGGTCAGGCAATGTCATATCTGCCATTTCATAAACTCTTAAATATTTCTTTTGTTCGTCTCCATATAAGTTTAAGTAGCAGTTGTTGTCTAATGGAACTTTAACTTGTGTACCATCGTTCTTTTTATAGCTTACATACATTTCATTGTTATTTTTCGGAATGAGTTTATACCGTATACCATTTTTTAAGGAATGTACAAACTCCCATCTAAAATATTTGTTTTCTTCATAGATAGAAAAGTCACCAACAATAGTTTCAATATTTTTTGTTGTTCCAACTAAACTTTGGTATATTTCATTGACATATGTTTTATCTGCTTTCTTTTCAAGGCTAACGTTTAAGTCTGTTATTTCAGAAGATGTATGTGTATGTCCAACGTCACTTTTCCTGTTTAAGGTTTCTTGTAAGTTTGTTATATTTGCAATGGTATGTGTATGAGTCTTATCTGCTTTCTTCTCTAACTCATCGTTAACATATGTTTTATCCGCTTTAAGGTCTAAACATCCTGAAACCCATCCTGTATCGGCTTTAACTTTAAAAGTCTCCGATGTCCATTCATGGTACCAGTCAACCCTTTCTTTCATTTCGTTATCTTTTTCATCCACATATTCCTTATCTGCCTTCTTCTCTAACTTACTAGCCACCCATCCCTTATCTGCTTTCTTTTCAAGGCTAACGTTTAAGTCTGTTATTTCAGATATAGAATGTGTATGAGTCTTTTTAGAATATTCTTTGTCAGCTCTTGTCACTTCACTTGACATTTTATTGTCAACATATGTTTTGTCTGCTAGTTCAGGATGAGTATGTTCTTTTGTTGCATAAGCTTTGTTAGCTCTTTCTTCTTCTTTTGCTATTGCATCGTCTACATATGTTTTGTCAGCTTTGTTGTCAACATCTGCTTTCAAAAGAAGTTCATTTATAGGTTTCTCGTTTAAAGTTCCTTTTGTTGGATTTATACAGACAGTATGGTTCTTATTGTCTTGAAATAGAAACTCATCTGTCATTGGGTTTAATGTCAGTTTTAAGTTTCCTTCTTTCAATGACTCAGATATCTTAGAATAGTTTGAAAAGTTTGTTGTGTTCTTATTTAGAGCTTGTATAATGAGTTGTCGGTTGTGTTGTATTTCTCTCATAGACGCTGTTTCATTTGACATTTTTATTCTAGATAAAATATGCTTTCAATAGAAAAAGAAAATTCAAGAGTTGCTACAACTAAACCATTAGATGAACTTTTTACTAATGTCGGTCAAAAGTTTGAGACAGAGACCGTAAAGCATGAAGGCTATCGTTTTGACTACCCGTTAAGATGGTTAAGAGACCCATCTGTCACAAAAGCTATTGGCTTTCGTAGAATGAAGTTCATTTCAGAAGCCATACATGGTTTCCCATTTACGGTCGGTTTTGAAGTTCGATACTATAACAAAGAAAAACGTATGTATGAGAAATTTGAACAGGGAAAACTTTTACAAGTGAATTTGCTTGTAAACTTAGAAACAACTCTTCAAGCTTTTCAAGAAAAAATAAACGATATCTATCTCGAATATGCAAAACAGTACAACATTGACGAAGGAGAGTACCATCTCGATATTATATATGACAGGAAAAATGCAACTGTTAAAATCAATAGAATAGAAGACCTTGGAGAAAACGTTTATATTTCTACAAAATATAACAACTTGGCATGGTATAGATTTTTGAGGATGTTAAATCAGCCTGCAGAATATCCAGTACACCCGAACTTTTATGAAGTCGAAAACCCTAATGGAACATATGAAAATGTTTTCGACTCAGATGCTATTATAGTTCATGCTTCATTTTCTGGTGCACAAAACTCTTTTTTTATGCTTGGCAAATGACTTTTACGAAAAACCTACAAAGCTATATGAACCACCAAGTGGAAGTATTTCAGACTTTCAAGTATGGTTTACAACAGATGGAAGAAAGAGAATAGTTCCATTATACCATGCGTTTTACTTAGAACTTAGTTTCATATACAACTACTATCGAACGGTAAAAATATAATTTTAATACGGTTGAGGTGTTGGATTTGGTTGCCAACTTGACTGTGGTGCAGGTTCAGGCTGTTGTATAACAGGAGCTTGTTCTTCTGGTTCAGGGTCTTTAGGTATAATACCAACGAACTGACCTACTCTTTTACCAATATTTTTGACTCCGTTCCATATACCTCTTCCGACAGATTTTATTCCATTCCATATACCTCTTCCAACATTTCGAAAGAAGTTTCCAATACTACTGAAGAAACCCATTTTACTATATGTAAAAATCTAATGTCCGCCTAGTCTCTTACGTTTCCTGTTGAGTTCCATAGCATTTTTTAACTGGAGCTCATACATTCTATTTCTCCTCTGGTAGAAAACATACTCTGGGTCAACTCCTGTGTTCGCGTCATCTGCATAGAGTTGTTTATATCCCACTTCAGGGTTTGTATAAAACTCTTTCCATCTCATATTTGCATACCATGGTGGCAAACCTAACGCAGCGTCATTTGACATGGCAGTTTGCATTTGTACATCTGTTGGCACTTGACCATAGTTTGCCATTGCAGTTTGTATTCTAACTTCATTTGGAATATTCTCTGGGTTTGGTTGTCCAGGTTGCTGTGCATTCGCTAAGTTCTGTGCGTCCATTTAATATTAGATAAAAATATCTCTTACGAGTACATATGCTGAACATTTGCAGGCATTGGTTCATCTTCATATTCTCTGTACTTTTCTGCCACGTCAAATAAGTAAATGACACAATGGAAAAAACCTAAAACAAGTAGTCCTATTTCAAACCACATTTACTTACTAGTAAAATTTCTTGTTATGACACTTTTCCGGTTTATAGGACCTCTCTCATATTCTATCTTGTCATATCTAAACTCATAGTCATGTATGTCCTCTAACCATCTCATGACACTTTCCAAACCACTTTTATCGGATGTAAAGTAAAAGCATGGATGGTTATGTAAAAACGTCTAAAGTTTCTAAAGAGTCTCTCAAAGTCCAGTCTACTTGGTATTGAAAATCCCATGTGTTATAGAACGGCGGGTCCACTATAAAGAAAACATTTTCCTTGTCTTTATATTTTTCATACAACTCTGTCCAATGACATCTCACAAACTCTATACCCTCAGTATATTTTTCTATGTTCTCTTTGAAAACCTTTGTATAGTTAAGATATAAAACGTTTGACATAAGTGTTTCAATGTCATGAACTCTTATAGAACCACTATATAATAGTCTAGCAGATATACTATCCCAGTCTATATACTCTGCTTTTTTCAAAACCTCTCTGACAATATTTTTCTTATCTAATGGTATACGTTCCATCTTACCTATAGGTATCTTTTCTTTTAACTCTTCAATATATTGTTTGTGTCTGGTATATGTTTGAGACGGTCCATATAGTTGTCGAAGTCATTGCATATAATCTTTGAGTCTGGGAATATTGTATGGCACAAATGGGATATATAGAAACTTCCACCGAACAAGTCTACAAATGTTAGACCATTCGGTAGTTTCTTAAGTTCTCTCAATAGAATATCTTTACATCTACTCTTATTTCCAAAGAAGGGTAACGGTGGTTTTGTAAAATTCATTTTATATATATAATAAAAATGTTTTTTCCTGAAAAGTGACAGAAAAGTGACTGGGGCTAGAGGGCACGAAGTGCCTGGAAGCCCCACTACCTTTTTTTTTTTTTTAAATCCCTTTGTGCCATTTTGGTTATCGGTTACTTTATTTTTTGACACAAAAGCAAAAATATTTTAAAGTAAAAAACCTCCAATTCTCACAAATGAGTACGATAGAATTTACAAATCTCATCAAAACCCAATTTGAACCCGTCAGATAATTTGAACCCTCCCAATTTGGAACTTTTTGTTATCCGGATTGGTCCTTTAAAATGTTAATTTTTGCGAGATTCACTTCACTCTATTTTTGGAATTGGAGTTTTATTAAAACTTTCCACGTGGTAATAATCTTCCATAACTATAGATTGATGAATAAAAATTTAACATACTAACATAATAATAAAAAAAGTTAACTTTATCTTTTGCAACAATGGTAAAAAGGTCAGGTATGTGGGGCTTCCAGGGGCTGCGCCCCTTCTAGCCCTAAGAAATTTTGCCCAAGACCCAAGAGGAGGACCGAACCCCAGCCGACCAGCCGGTGACAAAACCAAAACCGTTGTTATTTACATCATATTAATGGTGTCATATAAACATCTGTCAAAAACCACTTTTTAACTTCACTTAAAATGCCACGTAAGCTACGTAAGAATATACGTAAGAGGAAGGGAGCATTGAAACATCCAATAGTAAAACTGACACCACAACAACAGTTGCAACAACAAATGATGAATGACCCCACTATGTTGCAACAAATGTCAAGCAACCCTATGCTTTTAAACCGAGTTATTGGTGCACAGAGTGGAGGTTTAAGAGCGGCACTTTTAGCGAAAATGACAGGCTATGGTGGAGCTGCAGACGGAACAGCTTATAACCCTCAAAGTCAAATGAATTTGAGTTCACTCAAAAATCAAATAACAGATGTCAAAAAGTCAAACATAGACATACAGAAACAAATAAGCGAAAACGAAAAAAAACTAGAATATGACAGACACACAAAGAAACTCAATGAGTTAAACGTAGAGAAAAAGAAGAAAGAAGAACAACTGAAAGAACTAAGTACAGAGGAATATGCGAAAAAAGTGTCAGAAAAAGCAGCAGAAGTAGCAAAAATGGAACAAGATGTTATAAATTTGAAAAACCATACTACTCAATATAAAGTACTGAAAGATGAAGAAATAAAACAAAAAGCCCTGAAGACATATATGGATAGCGATGAGTATAAAAAAGAAGTTGAAGCAAATGTAAAGGCAGAAAAACTTTTACAGTTGCAAAACCAAACCGTACAGTATGAAAACTTAGCACAAGAAAGTAAAAATAACGACGCAGCCATGCAAAAGGCAATGAAAAGCGCAGAATATATAAAAGCTAATAATGACTGGTTAGATGCCCAAGCCAACGCTAAAGCAGCCCAACTTATAGGGTCAATAAGGACAAAAATACAAGCGGATGAAGACAGTTCAAATGAAGCTTTAACAAATGCTGACTTTAAGAATGCCTTCGAAGCTCTTCATAGTAAGGTGAAACTAGTGAACGACTTCTCATCTGGAAAGAAACTGAAGTCTGAAGGTTTCGACAAAGAGTTAAAAGAAGTAGCACAAAATATGACGAAAATAACAGATGCAGCAACGAGACAGGCAGTTCAAAGTGCCTATGACGCCGTTAGAGCAACTGTTGTGGAAAGTCAAGAAAAAGAGTTACAACAGACCAAAACAGACCTAGTAAATGCTTTCTTAAGAACGAAAAGTCAGGTAGGACATTATGCTGCAGATGGAACATATGTGCCAGCTGGTGGAACTTATATACCACCAAACCCTCCAAGAGAAGCACCTGCACCAGGACTACCTAAAACATTTACATCGTCACATGGACACAGACACAGGCATGCACCAAAACAACAACAACCAACAGTTCAAAACCCTGCACAACAACAACCACAACCAGCACAACAACCAACAGTTCAAAACCCTGCACAACAACCAACAGTTCAAAACACTACACAACAACCAACAGTTCAAAACCCTGCACAACAACAACCACAAACAGAGCAAGGACATAAAAGAAGTAGAGAACAAGGAAACCAAGAATTCTTAAAAATGCTTAAGGAAGATTATGGTTACCCAGATACTCTTGACTTTAGTGACAGATATAAAGAAGCTATTGGAAAGTTCAAGGAAGGAAATACTGACCCGAACCTATTTAGCTTTATGGTTCAGCACCAAATGGGATATAATTTCAAACCTGGAAAATACAAGCTCGCTAAGGGATATGATTTAATAGCATATCATCCAAATGACATGGATGAATTTACTCCGAGATATTTGATGTCAGAGCTAAATGATAATTCAACTCTCTTCATGAAACGCGTAAAAAATAGAGACGGAACGAAAGAAGAAAGGTTTATGAGTCCGGATGACTTAGATAGGGAACTTTTTAAAAACGGTCTCGGAATATATGAAATGCCACCAGATGAGGTACAAGAAACTCCACAGGAAGAACTAGTTCAGATACAACCAGACATGGAAGAAATAGTTCAGCAACAACAGCTAGAAGAGCCTGAAGGAAACGAACAAGTCCCTCCTTTGGAAACTAACTTCACAGAACTAGATGAAGATTTGGAACAGCCGAAAAATCTTGACCCTCAACAAGTGTATGCGGAGAATATGGAATCTTTCCAAGAGTCTAAGAAAAATTCGGCTGACATAGTAGAAGAATATCGAAAAATGTTCGCCGACATACAAAAGACTCCAACATCAGATGAAAATATTCAGCATAGAATGGAAGTACTGAAAGAAAATGTACGCAAATACAATAATCCTTTTTACTTACGACCATATAACGTTCAATCTTTGGCTGAACTCGGTGAAAATAAAAGGTTAAATTTCAACAAAACATATAGAAATGAAACATTGTTTAAAGTTCATTCAGAACCTAACCAATATGGAAACAAACCTACTTTTGTTTCTGCAGACTATGGAACTACAATGAGATGGGGTCATAAAGCTAATCCGGATAGGTGGTTCATAAACTTACAACCACAATTCCAAGAAGTTGTAGACGCAATGGAAGTGAATGGTGAACCAGATATAGCTGGTATTTTCAGCGCGGCTTTAATGCCATTGAAAGATATGAAACATGCAGATATTTTGGACCAGTATGAAATGAACATGGCTCATGGAAATATAACACCTGACGTTCTAGAACATTTATCTCAAAGAACTACACAGAACCATAAAGATGGTATATTTGGTGAAGAGTTTAGAAAGAAAGTTAGGGAGATAGAAGGAAGAGAACCTATTGTACATGACCTTGCAAACGAAAGTTTACAAAATGTCATAAAAACTTACTTTGCAGACAATGAACCGAGAATGGATGAATATTTAAGAAAACTCAAATGGACAGTACCAAATGAAATGTTAGTATTGAAAAACATGTTCCTTGACAAAATAAAACCAACTACAGAAATAAATGACGCAAGACTGAAACATTGGGTAAAAGCTTTCCCATTCACAAAAGATATTATTGGTAACATGGAAAGAAAACCAGAATGGCTACAAAAACATATATTTGGAAACGAGCTTATTCCATATGGACAAGCTCTGTTTGAAGAGCTTGAACCGGAAACTCAGGAAAGAGTCATGCAAACAATACGCGAAGACTCAAATACAAACTATGACAAAATCTTTCTAGGATATAGGTTACCTGAGATGGGCGACCAGAGCCCAAAGGCAAAAAGGACATGGGAAATTTACAACATACTAGGTGAACATGAGGCAAAGATGCAACAACTTGAAGCAGAGGGCAAGTTACCAAAAGCGACACCAAAGAAGAAGAGAAGAGTAGAACAAAGTGAAAGTAGTGAAGAAGTAACTTCATCTAGTGAAAGTAGTGGCAATGAAGGAAAAAGAAGAGTTAAAAACTCAGTCAGGAAGAAAGTAAAGCTTGGTACGAGTGGGTTCTATAGGGTGTCCAAAGGTGCGTTTAGCACAGCGCTCTATATGAGACTATTAAAGGAGATATATGCTGATTATAAATATATAATAAAAAATATGAATATATGTATATGATGAGTATGTTGTATTTTGGCGCCATGCCGGGATATAAAATGAATTTTGAGACAAGAGGCGGTTTCGCGGGAAATTTTGGCGGGATTTTTTTCATTTTTTTAATGAATCATAAAGAAAACATCCTCGCTCTTGCAAAAAAATGCAAAGACTGTAAAAAATCTACGAGACATTGGTAAAATGCTTCGGTATGGATGCTCCTAGCTATTCCACTGTAACGTATCATGTTAGGATGTATCACTTCATGAACAAAAAGGCGCCCATCATAAAAATTGACAAAAAATCGCCGGATCAAAGAAAAATCAAAGCAATTCTTCAAGCGCTAGATGAAGACCCAAGAGCATCACTCAGAAGGATAGAGGAGATGACAAAGATACCACGTACAACAGTCAGTTATTATCTGCACAATTATTTGAACTACAAACTAGCGTATACACGTTGGGTTCCGCACAACCTTAATTCAGTTCAAAAAAAATCTAGAGTCCAATCTTCGAAAGAGCTCCTCTCTATATTGGGTGCGTATCAATCCAAGAAGTTTCGCTTTTTAGTAACAGGGGACGAGTCTTGGTTTCAATATGCAACAGAAGCCAAAATCATGTGGATCCCGAAGGATGAAAATCCGCAAACATTCCCGAAGAAAAAAATTGACACACCAATGATGATGTTGTCGGTTTTTTGGGGCGTGAATGGCATCATCGCAATTGATATTCTTCAAAAACCTAATACGATGAATGCTCAGTATCTAATTGACAATGTTCTTACTCAAATTATCAATTCTGATGAGTTTGAGAAATCCAAACAACAAAAACAAAAGTTTGCAATTCATTTTGATAATTCAAGAGTTCACAAAAGTCATAAGGTAATGAATTACTTGGTGGAAAACAATGTCAAAGTTGTTCCAAACCCAATTTATTCACCTGATATTGCACCCTCTGACTTTTATTTATTCGGCACGCTAAAAAAGAGAGCTGAAGGACGCGAATTCGCGAGTCCAGATGATCTTGAAAATTTTGTAAGAGAGCAATTTGAGCAATTTTCTCATGATGATTTAAAGCGTGTCTTTCAAGCCTGGATCGATCGCTGCGAACGCGTGATTGAATCCAATGGTGATTATATTTAAATAAACTTTATATATATGTAACTTGTTTATTTCTATTCGCAGTATTCAGGTTTGTGCTAAACACACCTTTGGACACCCTATATTATGACACATAAATTCAACTATTCTATATTTTTACCCATATGAAATGTACGCCGCTCAGAATATAACGCCAACAGTTTTGGATGCCATGAACGGAAATGTTTCCGAATGGTATAACGAATGCGACAATGCCATTAGAAGGTCAGAAATAGTTCCTGGAACTTACGAATATACAACTGCTGTTTCTTATGGAAACGTAGGTGAGTTTGGAGAAGGTTCTTCAACAACAGTAGATATTGCTTGCGACAGGTTTCATATTATTTCTATTGACAACTCATTCTTATACGTGGAACAAGACATTGAAATAAAACCTTCTGCCAAGTTGTCTGACAAGAAAGGTTGCAATGGAATTTTCTATGTCGGATACCAATATGCTCCAGAAGTTTTCATGGGATATAAGATATATTCTAACTCTGACTTAGTTCAAACAGTAACATGGGCAAACTATGAATGGTTCGCTTTGAGAAACTCAGTACAACCACAAGCTAGAGAACAAACAGACCAGTATGCAACTATTGAGAAAATAAGAAGACTTGACCCTAACGTTCCAGGAGTTTATGTTAACCTTTCTGGTTCAGATGGAACTGCTGCCACTAAAGTAAAACTGAAACTTAGAGTTCCTTTGTCATCTTTCCTCATCTTCAGGTTTTTAAGATACTTGCCAAACTGGGCAGGAAAAATTTCTATCGAACTTACTCCAAGCAAAAATAACTTAGTCATTGCACCAACACAAGACCCATTCACTCTTACAGACGTAAAGGGAACAAATAAAACGTCATTCGCCGAATTTAGTTAGTATCCCTATCTTGGGTACGGCGGCACTGCGTTCCACCTTACCCAAGATAACGGTTTGACACTTTACAAAACCGCTAACGTATATTTTACAACACAAACGACAACACTAACTTAACCTTAAATATTTACAAAGCCGCCAACCACTTCACCTCACTAACATTTTCGCTAACGACTTCACTAATGAAAAAATAAACGTTCTCACTAACGTTCCCACTAATGTTCTCATTTACAAAAGTATTGCAGCGCTTCCCATTGCTGTGCTTCACACAATAGTTCATATTCTTCAGTATCGCTGCTGTCACTCCAATCGTCAGAGTCAAAATCACTGTCAAAATAAATGTATGTAAGTTTTGACAAAGCTAATGAAACACGCTTACCGTTTGTATCTATTGCTTTTATATATCTCCCATTATGTTTGTTGTCGTAAACGCTCAAACTAACTTTACCCTTTCTCCCTCGTATCTGATAGAATGTATTTTCACGAGGAACGAAGAACAAATTCTTGAACTCATGACCGTTGTAGTTTGTTATCTCAATAGTTTTCGTCATTTATATAAAAATAAAATAAAAAATAAACTTAAAAATTAATGATATCACCACTCCCACATGTATGAAAACATAGCACAAAATAAATTTAGGGTAGAAGGTTAGATCTAACCTCTTTTCTAACCCGATTTCTAACCTGTTGAATTCATTGCTTTATAACTCTCTTCCTTGGTTTCTTTTTAGTTGCTTTCTTCACGTCTGTCTCCAACTTGACTGTCTTTCTTCTTCGGCCGTAATGATACCAATTACTTCCACCAGTCAATGGGTCAAATGGTCTTTCGTAAGGGTTTCCATACATTCCATAGGGACCATACGGAAGAACTACTGGTGGAGAAGAAACATTTTCTTTAGTTCCATCGACTCTATTTAAATGCATTGTTTCACCTTTCATCTGGTCATTAAAGTCTTTTGGCGTGTTTTGCAAACTCATCGTCCTTTCCTAAAGCATTTTCTGACTCAGTCGCAACCAAATTGGTGCTTTATTATGAGCCCTATTTTATTTAATCTTAACTTCTTTTGCAACCCAGCCTCCAATCTTTCCTTTATTTGCATCTAATGTCTTCGAAACCCTTCCTCCACTCATTTTATTTACTGCGTCAATAAGCTCCAAGTGCTTTTGCTCCAAATGCTAATGCTTTTGTTCCCATTGCGCCTAAAGCTGCCCAAGCTACCATTTACCCCATATTAAAATCATCTCTCTTCAATATTATCTCATAAAAGTTCTCGTTACTGGAGAAAGTCAATGAAACATAAGCGTTCTCACGGGCTTCGCCCTCACTGCTTTGCGGTCTATCTAACTTATTTCTTATATCATCTATACGCTTCAAAATGTCTGAACAATTGCTAACATCTTCTACAACAGTTATTTCATCATGAATGACCTCAAGAACAAGCTCATTTAATATGCAATTAAAATCATTTCAATAATGAGTCCATCCTTTCCATCTTTAGGTAGCACAACATCTTTCATTGAAGAAGGTTCGACAAGTCTTATGTTAAACTTACTGACAAAGTTTGTTATACTATAATGCTTCGGCGGCGAATACATGTAGTTTGAAAGACATAATATAGATTCTTCAGCAAATTCACTTATACTGGATTTTATAACAATGTTCTCACGAGACCAAACGCCACCAATTGACAATCTTGTAAGCAATCCTGCTGAACCTTCTTACTGTAAACGTCGATGGTAACATTCCACGAAGGTCATCTATTGACATCGTTGAGTCACTGTATTTAAATATTTTCTTAAAGCAATCGTCATTATCTAACCATGCAATAGCTTTGAAGTTTTCATTCGAATATACATCTGCTTCATTAAATGTAAAACCTGACTTCTTTGCAGAGGCGATTTTAAAATCTATTGAGTTTGTTTCAAAATTATATGCTATGGTAACTTCTGAAGGCAATGGATGTCCTTCCGCAGTCAGTTGTTCTCTCACTACCGTTTGAAGCTTTGTGTTAAAAACTTTCATGTCATCTCCTGTGTCTAAGTTCACATACACAGCAACAGGAAAACTATCTTGCTTCTTTGTTTCATCATTATACCTCAAAACATTAAAGTTCTTCAATAATATTGTTCTTCCTGCTGGAATACTTCTAACTTGTCTTATTTCAATAGCTTTCTCACCTCCTATATACTCTACCCAGTGTCTTGGATATTCATAAGTATACTGACTTTCTTGAATTTTGGTTGGTTTCATCATAACATGTTCATAATATATCTTTATACTCTTGTCAGTTAGACTCGGTGCTATGTTCTGAATATTTCTGACTTGCATTTTTAATAATAAAATGAAGCATTTAATTTACAGAGTAGATGAAGACATGAATGAAACACAGAAAACTTAACTCTTCTCTCATTCTTCCTTTCAGTAAGGACTATGAGTTCTGTTCAAATGGTGTGTATTTCTATTGTGGAAAGATGGGTTCAGGTAAGACATTTAACCTCATTCGTCATATACTCATAACAGAGCGTTTAGGAAAGATTCATATTATGACCAAATCATTATATCAGCAACTTCAGACTCTATGGATTCAACAGCGAAAACATTCATGAGTAAAGTTCAAGCATCTGTCGTTAAAGTTCCAGACAGTGAACTCATTGAATTTCTTCAACATTACATTCGACGTAAGAGGAAATATTATGTCATCGTAGAGTTCATACAGTCAGGAATGCAAAAGACTTCAGAAGAGATGGAAAGAATTATTGACAAACACCACTTACGTCAGTACTCAGGAGTTTACGATATGAAACGACTGACAAACTACATTCTATCAAAACTTTCAAAATACCCCTTCAAAAAGTATCCTTCAAACACTCTGCTCGTTTGTGACGACTTCGCCGGAAAAGGTTTAGTGTCAAACCAGACTCACCATTAGCTAACATCATAACTAAAGTCAGACATTACCATTTAACTGTAGCAATACTTATGCAAACATGGCGTTTCCTTGCTTTAAACATAAAACGTCTCATAACTGACTTCGTTATCTTTCAAGGTTTCTCACGTTATGATATTGAACTCATTTGGAAACAGTCAGGTATAACATTACCTTTTGAAGAAATTTGGGAAGCATATAAGTCTCTCATCTCTCCTCGTTCATACCTTGAGATTCATATCATGACTAATACCATTAAAGTCAAAAATATTCCATGGGAACGACCAACATTGTTTTAAATCTTATGCTTTAATTGACTGATGGTAAACAAATTCCATGCATCTCTGTCGCCATTTCTGTTAATATTTTTGCTGTCATTCATATCATCCACTTCCCCATCCGTTACTTTTGAGGATATGTGTTAGAATAGCTGTTCTTAAATGAAGGCTTTTCACCTTTGAGAGCATAAACTCTATAACTTTCTGCATACTTTATGTTTGAACCTCCTGAGCCATCATTGACATAAATTTTTATAGGCTTCCACCCTTTGTTCATATTCCTGCTTCTTCCCTTTGCTCTTTTGTTCAGTAGTTCTACATCTTTATACACAGCACCTGTCTCAGTGAATTCAACAATATTTTCATTCGTTAGCTTTACATTCAAACCCTTGTCGAGTATATTGTTCATTTCATACATATAAAAGGTTTTTATTCTATATGAAATGAGAAGCAAATCCATCTTAGCTGGTGCCGTTAATGTTCCAATTGAACCAACATCAAATGTTGACTCACGAACGACAAACAATATTGTCATAAAGAACTATAGTTCAGAGTGTTTGAAAGAAAAAGAACCAGAGCTGAAATCCGTGAATTTAAACACAGCTTCAAACGCTAACGCTACATCAGATGTTAAGTTAGAGTATCCACCACTGGACCAAATTCTTTCAAGAGAAGCCAACGACAACCCTTACATAAATGTTCAAACAAATCCTTCAGATAACGTAGACCATTACCTTCTTCAGTTATACCAAACAATTTTACTCAAAGACGATAAGAAGCTTTTGATAAATCTTATAAGTAAGAACCAAATAATTCTAACAAAGGAGGACCTTGAAAATGTTATATCACGAATAACAGGAAAGCAATGTGTCATTGACTATCTCGACCCTGAAATCGAATGCTGTGGTCAAACACCAATATTCATGAAAATAGGTAACATCCGCATCATTGAAACACCAGGAACTACAGGAGTTGAGTTTAAGTATAAATATTCGAACGAGTATACAAAACTTTCAACAGAATATAAACTTTGCTTGAAATATGTTTTAGTAAATTAAAGCAATTTGTAATATCTATCCAAAACTTCTTCAACAGTATCGAACTCATCTTCATAATGCAAACCTAATCTTATTGACTTGGTGCAGTTTTCACTAACACAATATTTTTCTGTTCTCTTGACTGACATAACTAACTCATTTGTTTCATCAAACAGCAACAACCAAAGTTCATGACCTAATACATAACATTCATACTTTATTTTTTAGCTCTGAGTTCTCTTGTAAGCTGTTGCATTTAATATTTTCTAAAAAGTCAACTTCAACAGTCATTCGCACTGGTGCCTTCAGTTCTACAGGCTCTCCTTGAAAGTCAACAAGTCTGAATTGCATGTCTTTCAAATTATGAGGACTAATGCGAACCCATTTACCTAAATGAGTTGCTATGACAGGAACGTTTGGAATGAACATTGAATTGACTGCATAACAGAAAGACTTATATTCTACTGAACCTTTACTATTAACTCCTGAAATGCCTGTGACATTAGCTATTTTAGACTCAATGTACAAACAGTTGCCATAACATACGTATGGAACAGATTTCATCTCAATCGTTTTGTCAACACTTTTCAAAGGAAATGTCATATGGTATGCTCCCAAAAGAAGTTGTACTCTATGACTCATTCGTGTTATCTTAAACTCCTTCGCATAACTGAACTTCAAAACTCCTGCAATAAGTTTAACATTCATTAAGTTTTCTTCGTTATCCTTGTTTATTGTAGTATTTATGAGAGCATTTAACACTCCAGCTAATGTTTCCATCTTATATTCTACATTATTGTGAAATCTTATTTCGTGCTTCTTTCCATCTATTTCAATCTCCATGAAATCTGTTTCATCTGTTATAACGAATGAAGCAATAGTATTGAAGTCAACCATTCTGAATGCAAGCGCCTCATTCTGTAGACCTAAGTTTGTTTGTAGCTTTACTGTCCCGTATTCGTTTGGGTCTGTACTTTGCAAATAGAACAACATTTTATTCTCATTAAAATATGAGTATAGCTGCATATGCGTATGAAGCTGACAGAGCTAAACGTTTATATTTTGGTCAATACTCTCTCACACTTACTGACAAATATATTGTTATCACTGATGGAAATACTGAGAAATACATAACATGGAAGGACTATGAAAAGTTTGACCCTATTTTAACTCCATGTACTATGCCATTCATTGTAAATGGTGAAGTTGTCATGAAGAACGACACAACAGTATATAAGTCTGTATATGAAGCGTTAGAATATATGTTGAATTATAATCCCGAAAGACTTGACCCAAGCACTACACCATGTGCAATGCCTTTTATTAAGGACGGTGAAATCGTAAGAGTTCCGGATTCAACGGTTTATACTGCTGTTCAAAACAGTTTACAAAACATTTTAGCGAATATCTTTAATTCAGAAACTACAGAAATAAAATTACCGTATATAACAGATGCTAAAGAAATTAAATCAAAAACAACAACATTATTTACGTCACTTAATGATTTAATGACTTATATCATTAATATTCCTGCACCAACTACAGCATTTGATCCAAACTCGACGGTTTGCAGTGTACCTTTCATAAATGACAGTTCATTAATTACTTTAAGGGATTCGACAGTAAATGAATCATTAAAGGCGTCATTAATGAAAATCATTGATTTTAATTCATTTACGAATACATATAATTCATTCATTAATGTTTCATATGCTTCTAAAGAAGGTGAGCCAAAAACTATCGATAAAGCGGTGTATGAAATAAAAGCATCAACGACGAAATTGAATTCGTTAACTTTTGACGGTGATAGTTTCGTTAATGACATAACATCAGGGAAAACAATTTTAACGAAAGAATATTTAAAATCTCATGTTAGTGAGTTCGTTGAAATTGAAAAAGAAGGTGGAATTAAGTTCGATCCACTGAGTTTCATTTTCAGCTTAGCGAATGCAGGTATTAATTTCGCTGAATGGACAACAATACAGAGCGAAATAAACGCAATATGGACGTTTTTGGGGTCAAAAGCGGGAATGGGTGAGCTTGTAAATGCTGCAAGAACATTAGGTGAAACAGGAAATTTTGTATATGGTTTTAAAAGACTTGTTTCAAATGTTTTAACAAACACAAAGAAATTATTTAGATATACCATACATAACGGACGGATTTTCGAACAGATAGCAACAAACCCTCCGGTTATGGCTGCGTTGATGATGGTTAGAGATATAAAACCACGTAACGACGGAACGAAGAAGAGAAAAACCAGAGGATACTGGTCGGGTTATTCGAGACATTAAAAACGTGTATCCTGAAGTTATTGATTTATTTAGAGGAGTTAATGATTCAATTTCAAAACATTCTATAACCCTCGATGAAGAGAATAAATTAACAGATTATATATTCGTCATTATTGCAGAACTAATGAAGAGAATAAATGAAAAAGGAATTGGTGATATCATTAATGTCAGCGATGTAATGATGAAAAGAAATTTTGACTCATTATTTACAAAACCGAAAACAGAATATAGTCTTTATGACGTAATTACCGAATTAATGAAAAAGATTAATGATAATAAGAGTTCTGGCGGTAGGCATGAACTTGAAATAAATGAGATAGAAGAGAAATTAGCCGAAAAAGCAGATAAAAACCATGTTCATTATATAAGTTCAGACGAACAGATTATAACGGACTACCATGGATATTTAACACAGAATGAACAAATAAGCACTGAAGATGTTAATGAAAGAAGATATAAATACATTCGTGCTAAAGGTTATGACATAAGCTGTACTGTACATTATGACACAGGTAAAGCACAAGAAGCATTTAGTTATAACGATGAAATTTATGCCTCTACTTTCTCTGTTAAAGGTGTATTAGTTGAACCAAGATTTACTTTGAGAGTTAAGTCAAAAATAACGTTTGAAGATGCTATTAAAAGTAAAGCTGACAAACTTGAACTCGAAGCAATGAACAAAGTTTTGAAATCTCATAAACACAACATCTCCGATATAAATGAACTTCAAGCTTCATTAAATAGTAAAGCCGACAAGAACCATACACATAAATCCTTCACTACTGTTAGAGCAGACGACATAATATTGAACTTTGACCTTGGTTCAAGTGCACCATTAGAAAATCCAAGTACAAGCGTAAAAGATACTCTTAACAATTTAGATAAGAGTTGCAGGAATATTGAAGATCATGCCAGAAACTTTGAAGCATATGAACTACCAGCAATGTTAGATAAAAAAGCTGACAAGAACCATACACATAAATCCTTCACTACTGTTAGAGCAGACGACATAATATTGAACTTTGACCTTGGTTCAAGTGCACCATTAGAAAATCCAAGTACAAGCGTAAAAGATACTCTTAACAATTTAGATAAGAGTTGCAGGAATATTGAAGATCATGCCAGAAACTTTGAAGCATATGAACTACCAGCAATGTTAGATAAAAAAGCTGACAAAACAGAGCTTCAAACATTAAAGACAGAAATACTTCAAACATTATATCCTATAGGTTCTATTTATACGTCAATGAACTCAACAAATCCAGCAACAGTTCTGGGTTTCGGTACGTGGGAACAGATTGTAGATAAATTCTTATACTGTGCTAGATATTCAAAGCAAACAGGAGGTTCGAAGAAAATTACTGAAGCAAACCTTCCACCGCACACTCATACAGGAACTACAAACTTTTCTGGCGACCATAGCCACTCATTAAGAGACCACCCATTATACAACTCAGAGTATGAAGCTGGCAATGACGTTTTATCTCCATCTTATAACAATGCAGCAAAAAAGACTTTTCGACCAACTGAACCAGGAGGAAATCATTCACATACTTTCACAACAAATCCAACAGGCTCGGGTGCAGATTATATGCCACCATTTGTGACTGTATTCGCATGGTATAGAGTTCAATGAAATCTTTAACTTTACATAAATGAGTTTGAAAGAAGTATTCGAACAACATCCATGGAGGTCTTTTAAGAAATTCAATGAAGCTGCAAAGAGTTCGGGATTTACTAACAGAGCTGAAGTGAAAAGGTTCTTTAACAAAAATGTTGTACATCAAACAAAAATAAATCCTTACGACTACTTTTTACCAATTTACTCCAACACTCCTGACGCATACCAATTTGACACTCTCATTCAAAGCAGAAAAGGAGGACATAAACCATTCCTCATCTTCATTAATGTTAACACTCGTAAAGCATATGCATATCCAATGAGGAACAAAGGAACTCGTGAAGTGTTAAGAGTTTTACAAAAGTTTGTAGCAGAACATAACCCAAGTACTTTAACATCAGACCAAGACAGTGCATACCTCAGCAATGAAATCACAGAATTTCTCATTAAGCATAACATAACTCACTACACTACTGAAGACCATAACCATAACATACTCGGTATCATTAACCGCTTCATAAGAACGCTCAGAGATTTAAACCAAGAGCGAGACTTTACCGAAGAAACAATGAAACATTTTCTCGAAGTATATAATTCCTCAACACACTCTACAACAGGACATATACCAAATTCAATGACACAACAACAAGAAGAAAAGTATATACAAAAGAAACTAAGTCAAACACAAAATATCAGAAATTCAAAACAATTTACCCTCATTCCTGGTACAAAAGTTCGTGTAGTTCTTGACGACAAACCGTTGACAAAGAAACGTTTAAGGTTAAGTCGAAATTATTATATCTTAGACTCTACGCAAGGTAATGGATATCTTATAAAAGCTGCTGACGACTCCATAGCATTTTACCCTCGTCATAAATTAGTCGAAAGTAGTAATGGCAAACTTGCTGAAACCATTGACGAAGCAAAGCGAGGAGTGGTTATTGAAATACTTGGCTATAACACAAACGATGACACTTATAAAGTAAGATATGAAGGAGGCGTTGAAGATGTTATACCATCTAAGAACTTGAGAGAGTCGAAGCCAACACATCTGGGACCATTAGAGCGGGAGTATTGGAAAGACAAAAATATGCCAGAAAGAATAAGAAAATTCATCTAAACTTTTTCGTTGGATGTAAATCAGACATGAATGAGAACAGTCATGGAATTATTAATGGTACCATTTATTTACACCCAAAAAATAATGTTTAGGGTAGAAGGGTAGATCTAACCTCATTTCTACCCTCATTTCTACCCTCATGAAAATTCATGAATTTCCTTATGAAAGAAAAATAACGCTAATTTTATTTTTATTTATTTTTTTATTTTGTATGTAAGAACAGAAAATGACAAACATTGAGTTTGAAACAGTTAAAAAGATAGACAATGACACCAAAGTGGTTAGAATTGGTGATTTAAACGTAAGATACTCAAAGAAATACAACAAATATTCTTTGTCAGACATTCTAACACTATCTGGAAAGAAAGCACACGACTGGGTTAGAATTGCTTCTACTCAGAAAATTTTGACAAGAAATCCTGAGCTTATGATATCGGTAAGATTCTATGGAACTACAGCATATCTCATCGACAAAAGTCTTATACCAATAGTTTTGTTATGGTTAGACCCAGTTGTTGGATATAACTTCATAACTTATGGTTCATTCGATACGGAACGTTGCAGTGAAGGCTTACTTTACATCGTTCAGAAACCGAAGGACTTCAATACAAAGAGATATAAGATAGGAAGAACATATAATATAACTCAAAGATATGACAATACAGTCAATAGAGTCAAGGTTGTGTTTGTAAATGATATGAGAGCTGCTGAAACAGAACTACTTGAAAAGTTTGAGAAAATGTATGGTGCTCCAACGAAAGGTAAAGAAACGTTTGAAGTAGATGAGATAGATAAAGCTATAAAATTATTTGACGAAGTTGCTGAAAAATACATGTAAAGCGTTTATTTTTGGTCTTTTGTGAAAATTCATGAAATTTGGTCATTTTACACCAAAAATAATGTTTAGGGTAGATGGTTAGATCTAACCTCATTTCTACCCTCATTTCTACCCTCATGAATTTTCACGAATTTCCTTAAGACAGAAAAAATAAAGTTAGTTTTATTTTTATTTATTTTTTTATTTTGTATAAAAGATATGATTTCAACAATCGGCACAACAACAATTCAAACAACAGCACCAAACTCGTTAGTCATGAATCCTACGTCAATGTTGATAGAGATGAAAAGCTTTATTCCTTCTTCATATACTTTTGAAACAGAAATCCAGAAGATAAAGCAAGAACTTTTAACAAGTAATTTAGACTGTAGTGCGAAAGATGAAACAAATGAAGAATATCTTTATGACATGCAGGACATTATTGACCATTTACCCAAATTCCCTGAAATCCAACAACAAAAACTAACTATTCCTGAATTCGACGAAATTGAAGTCAAAGCAACTGACTCAGTAGAAATTAAGAAATTCATACGTAAAGTAAATTATGAATTCCTTGGTTTTCATTGCAACCATAAAGTTATGGACAAAGATTGCGATATGGTATATAAGAACATCTCTGACATATATAAATCTGAAGAATTTAAGACATACGATAACTTTGTTACATTAGTTGCAAGATGTGTATGGCAGATAAGAGATAAAGATAGAAGAGGTAAAGTATGGAATGAACAGATAAAACCAGCAGCCTTTGAGTTAAAGAAAACCATTGACGCCTTAGTTGTTCTAGCTGGTTTTATTTCAATGTATAACACAAAAATGAACCCGCAATGTTCTAAATGTAAAGCAGCAATGAGGAAATATAACTACTCCGTCAAAGAGATAGAAAGAATGAGAAACGACTATGCAGACTTAAAGAAAGAAGCAGAAAAGCCAGCAGAAGATAAAATGGATATGTTGACATTTCTGAACAAAAACTATCCAACAGCTGATGATTTCCTTTTATCTGATGTCAAGAAGAAGTATAAAGAAACCTTCGGCATTGTTAAAATTTTTGATATATTAACTGAAGAAATAGAAGCTACAAAAATATTTGAAATTTCACGAATTCATAACGTATATCACGTTAAACGTTTGTAAATCTTGAGGGTAGAAATGAGGTTAGATCTACCCTTCTACCCTAAATTATATTTTTGGTCAAAACTTCCACGAGAGAAAAGATTCCTCATTCGCTAAGGATTCCAAAAATGAAAAAATCATTGATTTCGACTGAGAAAAACAGCAAAACCCTTCTTCCACGGGAACAAAGAAATAAAGAAGAAATAAAGTAAATTTTTATTTATTCCCGTGGAAGATAGAGCACTTTTATGACACTTTTATTCACGACAAACAAGACAAACAAAGAAAATAAGAAAATACGGCGCTGTCGCGGTTCGAACCACAGACCTTGACCCCTCCATAACACCACCTTAGACCACTGTACTACGTAGCCTGTCGACATAAGATTTTATAAATTGCATATTTGACGTAAATTTATTTCCATCTAGCTTCCCACCGCATAAGATATTCATACGTGTTTGTAAGACATTCATTAAACTTCTTTTCTATTACATCTAATCTTGCGTTATTTTTTTCAATAACTTGTCTGTATTCTTCATCATCTCCAGCAGTGTTTGGGTCTTCACGTTTAAAATATTCATTGTTAACCAATTTTTTATCTACAAATTTTATTAGTGTTTGATTCACTTCATTATGATAACGGTCATATTCTTTCAATACGTAAGTGAAGACAAAATGCGTCGTACCTTCAATCTTAAAGCTTAAAGAACTTTCAACACAGTTTTGAGGGTCTGTCAGTGCGTCAATGAGATAGTATTCGAAGTCAGTCAATAATCTTTTTAAAGTCATTTCATACAGGATAAAATTTAATGTTGTGAAGAAATAGTGTTTATTTCAGAAAAAATAAAGTTAGTTTTATTTTTATTTATTTTTTTATTTTGTATGTAAAGACAGTAATGACAACATCAGAGAACACAACAACTGCTATCGTTCATGAAGCCATTAATGAAGAATATGAATACATACAGTATAACAAACAGTTACGTCTCATTCGTTCGGTCAAAGATGACATGTACCAAATGCAAAGTATAATGAATGCTCTTCAGTCTACAAAGCAAGCATATCATTGGTTTGAAAACCAACAGACAAAAGAACTTTTAGAAGAATTTCCTCATATGATTGCTTCCCTCGGAAAACCGAGGGAAGAGATTCCATTCGAAAATCGCAAGAATTTGGCTCCTTGTTTGAAAGGTTATTATGTTCATAGACTTTTAGTAAATGCTGTAGCAATGTGGGCTTCACCTCGTTATGCTTGTTATATTTTCATGATGTTAGATGAACTATATAAAGCAGAACGTGAAGATATGGAAAAGAAACTTCATGCAAAAGATGAAGTCATTGAATCCAAAGACAAAAGCATACAGAAAAGAATACCACGTTCAGTACCAAAAGGAAAGGAAAAAAGCTATAAGTATATGATATATACTGAAGAGTTGGAGAAAGAAGAAGACAGAGATATGGTTATGTTGCATTTAGTCAGAAGAAACAACAAGAGCTTTTATGACCTCGCTAAAATATATAAATCTGACAGAAACTGGTTCTATCGTGAAAACTTACCGATTTCAATGACACCGAATGAGCAAATAAAGGAAATTGTCAAAAATACTCTTCCTCAAACACACTATGACATCAACGGTTGTACAATACTTACATTCAAAGAAGACTTACCGCTACTGAAAGAAAAGATAACAGAATATTTCGATAACTTCAAAGAGGAAGAATGAAAAAATCTACGCTATATTTTATTTTTTTTATAAATTTTATCTCATATGAAAGAACATGAATTTAGAATATTCGGAACTCATGACAGAAGAAGAGAACGAACAACATGTAAAAGATTATGCAAAATTTTTGAAGACATACAAAGCATTTAAACAATATCTAAATGCTTCTAAAGATTATGCAAAATTTCTGAAGGTATATAAAGCTTATGAAAAAGCGTATGAAAAGTTTATACATTGGGGAATTGTTGTAAAATATCGATATGAAGACTAACCAAAAATATATTTTTGCTTAAATAGCTTCAGGGTCTATTTCTTCAACCATTTCACTTCCTTCGTCAATGTCAATAGAAGCTTCTTCAACCTTTGGTAAGAATTTTTGTATAACATCTTTGTTCGTTATTGTCTTCAGAGATGAAGGATAATATTTCACATTTGTTTCACCCTTCTTATATTCTTTCTGTTCGGAAAGATTTAAAGCAATACTGAAGAAGTCAATGTTGGAGTTCTTTATAATAGTATAATGTGTATCTTTGACATTCACGAAGAAACTATTTTGTTTCAAAACTACTGCTAACTCTTGTGAAGTATAACGTTTGCGGTCAATGACGATAGCTAATGGTCTGACATACTGACCGAACTTAGATTCTTTCACAAACTTCTTGTTAAAGATAACATTAACGTTTGAAGCATCATTGAACTCATTCTTGATGGCAGTAGCGAGAGCATTGTATGAAAAGAACTTGCAATCTTGCATGTGTTTCATTAAAATAAAAATATTAAATTATTTTGAAAAATAACTTAAAAAAAATCTAATCTAATTTTTTCAAAAAATATTTTTTATTTCCTACTAAAGATGTATCGGAAGTTGTCTAAGTTAGAACACTCGGAAATAAAACAACTTCTTACAGAAGCTAACATAGATGTTGCAAAGCATTACGCAACAAACAAAAAAGCACTCGCTGACTTCATTAAAGACTACAATGGTGAAATAACTTATGATAGAATTCATGAGTTCATAAAGCCGCAACGCGGCGAGGACGAAGTCCATGCAAGAGCATTTCCTTTAAATGACATTGCTATTGACTTATATCATAGACGTTCAATACCTCATGAAGTAAGAAGAGAAATGTTTGACATAACAAATGCAAACGTTGGTGAAACAAGAAGAAGAGACGACACACTGAAACAACAGAGAAGAGAGATGTTTAAAAGTGCTATAGAACAAGTTCGCAAAGCTAACGATGTCATTCGTTCCATTGACGACAAACCAAAAGAAGGTGAGAGATGGTTAAAGAAAGATGAAGAGAATAGGAAGAGAAATGTGAAGACAGGTAATAGACTCATTGACTTTAACATCGAAGCTTTAGATGAACCGAACAGAGACTACTTACACAAACATTTCGGTAAGGTTTTCATGAGACTCTTAGAGAAAATTAAAATAAACTCCCAACAAAGATGGATGGTATGTTATAAACTTGGTGGAAAGTATGAATGTTCTACGTTAAACCTCAATAATATTGGAACATTACTACATCAGCTCTTGAAGGAGAACTTTATATCAGAGATAGAAGCAAATGCTGCAGGTATTGTTGAAATGCACTATGACTTCTTCTTGACAAACATAAAGAATCTTACCGAAATAAAGATGTATGATTTAACAGAATATGAAGGCTTAACGATGTCAGATGTAAAGAAAGGCAAACCAAAAAAGAGACCATATAGAGATGAAAGCACACTGACAAATGACCAGAAAGCCATTTTGGAAGCTCTTAAGCAAACAGGAAACCCAGCACTTATAGAAAGCTTTTGGAAAGATAATGGTGAAAAGAAGTTTTATAAGAAGAGAAGCGGTCAGTTCTGGAAGTATCTTTGCACATTACCTATAAATCTTGAACGCTACCAAATCTTCAATGAATTGAACAAAAGAACTGCAACACTTATGACAGAAGATAACTGCTTCGTTTATGCTTGCATTCAGGCTGGAGTAAATGAAGAAACTATTGACCACATGAGAGAAGTCATTCGTGTTAGAGACTTTCCACAAAGTAAAGTACAAGAAATTTCTGACGCAACAGGTATAGCATTCAATGTTACCATTGGTTATTTCAATGACTCAAGACATAATGAAATAAAGAGATATATACCAAAAGAATGTGAAACTGTTCGAACTATTGACCTACTTCTTGTTGAAGACCACTACATGCTAAATGAAAGACTTCCAATGACAACATATTTCATTCGAAACTATAAAGAAATTCTCAAAGCTTGTGGTGGAATGAACATTGAGAAACAGATGAAAATATATACAATGAGAGATGGTAAATACATTGTTCGCATGGATAGAACTACACCGCTATGGGATGTTATGAAAACATTGTGGGAGTGCAAATATTTCGAACCTATTTCTTATGGAGAACTTTTCACATATACGACTGACTTATATAAACAGAACCTTGCACCATTTAAAGATTTGACATATGCTCCAAAGTATTGTGTACAACTGAAGAAGAAAGCCGAGTCAAAAGAAGTAAATAAAAATAAGTGCAAGTTCATTCCTGAGCACGTTTTCTTTGCTGACTTTGAGTGTAGTACGGATGGCTTTCATAAAGCTTTTAACATCTGTTATGACAGTGAAGATGGTTCAGTGAGTGAAAGCATATGGGGTCAAAACTGTGCAACAGAATTTTTGGAACGACTTCCTGACAAGAGTTTAATATATTTCCATAACCTCAGTTATGATATAAACTTCATCTTAAGACACATGACAGAAGTGAAAGGAACTCCCATCATTAAAGGTTCACGAACAATGCAAATAACTGGTTTATATAAAGGACGGGCAATTATTATAAAAGACTCTTACAGTGTTATAAATAAGAAGCTTAAACTATTTCCTGCTATGTTTAACTTACAAACAGGACCGAAAGAAGTATTTCCATATAACTACTACAGCAGTACTTTGTTAGCAAAGGACAACAGAACTGGTGTCATTTCTGAAGCGTGTAAGTTTGTCAAGGATGCAGATACATTTATGAAGAACATAGATTCCATCAAAGGTTGCAGAATAGATGAAAACCACTTCGACTTAGAAAAATATAGCTCATTTTATTGCAAACAAGATGTAAGAATTTTAAGAGAAGGTTTTGTAAAGTTCCGCAATGACTTATTGAAAGAGTTTGATTTAAACGTTTATGACTACGTTAGTATTTGTTCTATTGCTAACAAATTGTTTGAGAACAGAGTGTACTTCCCGAATGGAAATCTTTATGACCTCTCAAATAAACCAAGAGAATTTATTTCACGCTGTATTCAAGGTGGAAGATGTATGTTGTCAGATAACATTAAACAAAAGAGCGAAAAGAAACTCATTGCTGACTTCGACGCTGTTTCATTATATCCATCCGCTATAGCAAGACTTTATACTTTAGAAGGTATTCCAAAAGTATTGAAGGATGAGATGTTAAGCACAGAGTATCTCATGAGACATTTATTCGATGACGACCAAAAGGAACCCATTGGTGAAAAGTTTATGTCTGGCTTCTTTGTTCTCATTAAGATAACAGAGATTGGAATACATAGACACTTTCCTTTAATAGTTTGTGACCCTGAACTAAATCCAGAACTTAACGTTCCCAGAAGTTCAAACACTTGCTGTTTAATGTATGTTGACCATATAACATTACAAGACCTCATAAAATATCAAGGTGTCAAATGTGAAGTGTTGCAAGGATACTATTACGATGGAAACAGAGATATTAGAATAAGAGATGAAGTAAAGAAGTTGTTTGAGTTAAGGTTAAAGTATAAGAAAGAAGGAAATCCTTTGCAAGAAAATATAAAGCTCATTCTGAACAGTATTTATGGCAAAACTATTCTATCTCCTATTGAGTCAAAAATAACCATAGTAGATGACAAAGATGCTATAAGATATGCTATAAGAAATTACAACCATATAGTGAAGTTCGAAGGTTTGGATGGTTCAGATAAAACTATTTTCAAGCTAACAAAAAGCATTTGCAGACACTTTAACTTCTGTCCACTTGGTGTTAACATTCTGTCTATGTCGAAGAGAATAATGAATGAAGTGTTTTGCACGATTGAAGACTTAGGATTAAAAGCATTTTATCAGGATACAGATTCGATGCACATTTACAATGAAGACATACCACGTTTAGCTCATGAATTTAAGAAGAGATACGGTAGAGAACTTATTGGTAAAACATTAGGTCAGTTTCATAGTGACTTCGCAGAAATAACACCTGGAAAACAAAGTTTAGCATACAAGTCAATATTTTGTGGAAAGAAGACCTACATAGACTTACTCACTAACGATTTAAATGAAGTTGCATTTCACTGCAGAATGAAAGGCGTGAAGCAAGATGTTATTGCTTTAACCGCTAATGAAATGTTTCCTGACTCTGTTCAGTGTTTCTATGATGAAGATAAAGGTTTAATGGTTCCGCAAGGAAAATTTGACAAAGACTCTGAGTTCAGTGTTATGAAACTTTATAAAGCACTTTATGACGGTCAAGAGATTGGATTTGACTTATGTAAGTCATGTCAACCTTGCTTTGAAGAGAAGTTTAACTTCTCAATAACGACTAAAACAAGCTTTATTCGTAAGTTGAAGTTCTGAGGTCATTTATTTTTGTCAGCAATGAGGTCATTTATTTTTGTCAGCAATGAGGTCATGAATGAGGTCATGAATGAGGTCATTTATTTTTGTCAGCAATGAGGTCATGAATGAGGTCATGAATGAGATCATGAATGAGGTCATTTATTTTTGTCAGCAATGAGGTCATTCGTGATAAAAATAAAGCTAGCGTAGATTTTACAATACTGCGATGGTAGAGTTTAACAATTGTGCTTCAATGTATAAACAATCTTTCCCATCTGGAGGTAAGAACACTTGACACTTATGGTCATGAGTTGAGTACATGTCTATCCAAAACTCACGATTGAAGCCAGTTAATTTATAGTATTTAGGGTTAGGAAGTGGTGAAGTTCTTGTATGACCAATGAACTCATTTTCAACGCCTTTGGCTATATTAGAGTAAAGAATAGCTTGCTTTCTATCCCAAATGCCAGGTGTTACAATCTTTGAAAATTCATTTTTCCTCGGAAGCATTGCATCATAATTGAAAACATTTTTGAAATCATCACTTGGTTCAGAGATTTGAAATCTTATACGTAATGGATTTTCTTTCTTTTTAGCGACTTCATTGAATGGTGAATATATAACAAACTGACAGTCATGAGTTCCATCTTCATTTTCATTAAATTCATAATGAAAGTCTATAAGTTGTGACCGACTACCTTCTTCCTTCAGTTGTGCAAGAAACTCACGTAAAGGCTGTAAAGTTTGTACTTCAATGTTGAACTTTTTCTCAAACATCTCATTAAATGAAATCATACATTGCAACAATGTTGTATCGTCTTTAAAGTATTTGTATATGTGAATGTTTTGGGCGCTTAAAGACTGTTCGTCATTTTCTATCTCGACTTGAAGTATAAAGTCAACCTTTCTGAAAGCACGTGTTATATACATAGATGTTATGCCAATGTACTTCTCTTCATTTATGTTCACAATCCAGTCTGTTGGAAACTTAAACGTTACTCTGTTCCCCTTTATTTTGACATCAGGGTTTTCACTACTGAACGCAACAGATAAAGGTATTTGTCTATACATTTAATTCGGATAAAAATAAACCATTTACTCTTTCTTTGTTTCAGCTTCTTTAGCTTTTGCTTCAGCTTCTTCTCTAGCTTTCTTCGCCAGTAGTCTTGGGTTCTTTTGTCTTCCAGCAGCTAATGCAGCAAGTTGTTTTTCACTAAGTTTTCTCTTTGGTCTCTCTGGCTTTTGTTCTTGTTTTTGTTCCTTCAGTTCGGATAAAATTTGCTCACGAATTTCTTTCTTCAATGCTTCAACATCTATGACACCTTGGGTCTTGTCCGTAGGGCTTGTCTGAGTCATTTGACTGCAGATAAAAAACAAAATTAAAACTTTAACCGATGTAAAATGAGCCTGTCAAAATCAGAACGAGAGTCTATTATATTAAATGACGCCAGAGGAATACAACATCCTTTCTATTATGTAAGTCAGAGTAAAGATGGTAAAATATACGTAAGAAAAAGAAAGGTTCCATTAGCGAATGCAGAAAGCGACAACATTAAGGTGCATGGCACCGAGGGTGAAGCCCATATAAAACCTTCTGTTCAAACTGAAAAGTCAATAGAACCAGAAGAAAAGAAGCCAGATGTACTTTCAATAACGAACCAAGAGCTTATTGCAAAGTTCGTGAATTTCATTGAAAAGCAAACCGAGTCAAAGAACCCTGACCCACCAGTGAAAGAAGTTGAGACAAAAGAGAATGTACAGTTCATTGAAAATGTCAAGAAACAACTTCCACCACGAATGCCAAGAAGAAGAGTGAGAATAATGAAGTAAATAGATATTTTTATCTGAAGTAAATACATGCAGAACGAACAGTTAAACGAATTTACTCCAGCAGAGCATATTCATCAGATTCGCTCATATTTCGATATCATAGACAATGCAGTTCAAATTGGTGACACTAATAGAAAATATTCTGACGCAAAGATTCCATCACAACCTGGAACTGCTAAAGATAACACATGGGTAACATTCAATCTCTCACCTCCTGGTGAAAATATGTTGGACCTTTACAATACATTCATTACGTATAAAATGGAAGGTCAATTTATTGTAGATAAAGAAATTGGTTCAGGTTCCAATAAAACAACCCACCAGGATTTTGGATTGGTTTCGATGACGCTTTCTATGCAGTTGCTGGATATCAAATCCTTGCAAATGGTCGTATCGTATATTCTCAAGACAACGCACGAGAAGAAGCATATATAACTTCAAACTCACAAACTACCGAACAAATAAAGAAAGTAGATGTTTTCTCAAAGACTCGACATGAAGATGTATGGAGTCATTCGGGAACATGCAGAACAGGACAAATTGTTTAGGTCCAATTACAGCAGGAAAATCATTTGATTTTAAGCTTCGTTTAAGAATTCCTGTTAGAAGATTCCTTCCATTAGAAGCTATTCGATTTATTCCAGCTTTTGCAGGAAACATTCAGCTTAAAGTAAAGTTCAGTAGCGACGCCTTACAATGCACATCTATATCTGTAAATGATATCATTGCTTTCAATCCAACTCTTAAAGTTGCATTTGCTTCAGATTCAAATCCACCGACAAATAAATTTGTTCCATGGAATGAACCATTCACTATGATAACGAAGGCAGTAGAAGCTAGTGGAACAGTTACTATTACAACTGTAACCCAGCAACTATTTCGAACAAAGATGGATTTTAATGAATGTTTCATTCATCCAAAGTCATTCTCTTTAGACCCTAACATTTATACAGAACTTGTAGAACATTATACAAACGAGGCTTTATGTTTTCCTGTTAAAGTTATGGATTGGATTCCTATGGACGGTTCATTCTCAAAGAATACAGATAGTTCAAGTGCAACATTTACAGCAGCTTATACGCCTATTAATGTTAAAAGTATTTGGGCACTATTTAGAAAGAAAGACAACTATTATGTTAATTTTGAGAACCCTAAGTTTAAATATCTTCAGCTTTCCATGGGAGCTTATGGAAATATGCCTGCAGAACCTGAAAAATCATATGGACCTGTATTTTATGAAATGGTTGCGAACGCTTGCAATACAAACAATGATATGATAGGATTTAATGAAGATGTTATGAGGTCATTGGTGGATGATGGTAGTGTGGAACATAAATGGGATAGCTATGACAACACACATTTCTTATGTGGTTTTCCAACAGAAGTGGACTTTTGCTTCCAGCAAGGTCAAACATCTACTGCTCCAATAACATACAAATTGTCTGTTAAAGGACCTATTGAACTAGCAACTGAAAACGTACCAAAGCCACTTATTGGATTTATGAGGGATTGTTGCTTTGCCATCAGTGCGTCAGGCATACCATAATAAGACTTGACGACTATAACTTAGCACGGACGACAGTGAGGAATAAAGGATGAACGTTTATTTTTAAAGCTTATAAATGAGTTCTTCATCAAGCTCTCGTGAACCTTCACCATCTATGAAACAAACTTTACCAAACGATTATGGAGCACCTATTGAATATTTCTTACGAGCTGCACAATGGCAAAGAGCAGTCTCACCAAGATTAGGTGTTCCACCAGCTCCTGTCAAAAATAGCATTTGGTCAAGTCCTTATATAAGATATGGTCTCCCACTAGGTTTGCTAGCTACTGTAGGAGCAGTAATGATGTTGAAAAGAAATAAAGCAAATGTTGTAAATAATACTGAAGTAGCTGAAGTTAAACAAACTCCAACACCTTCACAAGCAAAACCTTCAATGACTCCTGAACCTATGGAAGTACAAACTCCTGTTCAAAAGTCAACTCCAAAACCGACTCCAACATTTAAACCAGAACCTACACCACAAATAAATCGTAAAACTCCTGCGTTTCCTTACTGAAAAAAATAACGTTATTTTTTATTTAATATTAAAATTTTTATTTGATTGAAATGACAAATAAAGTCACTGAAGCAATGAAACAAAAGTTTTTGGTAGAATACATTAAATCAGGAACTATTCCAGAAGGTTTTTACATTCATACTATGAAGGATGGTAGAGTTCAGTTTAGAAAGATAAAGCAACCATTAGATAAAGAAGGAATTTTGAGAAAGATTAAACTTCATGAGGACAACATTGCTGAACTTAAGAAGAAGTTAGAAGAGTTGGATAAAGGAAGAGAGTTATAAAGCAATGAATTCAACAGGTTAGAAATCGGGTTAGAAAAGAGGTTAGATCTAACCTTCTACCCTAAATTTATTTTGTGCTATGTTTTCATACATGTGGGAGTGGTGATATCATTAATTTTTAAGTTTATTTTTTATTTTATTTTTATATAAATGACGAAAACTATTGAGATAACAAACTACAACGGTCATGAGTTCAAGAATTTGTTCTTCGTTCCTCGTGAAAATACATTCTATCAGATACGAGGGAGAAAGGGTAAAGTTAGTTTGAGCGTTTACGACAACAAACATAATGGGAGATATATAAAAGCAATAGATACAAACGGTAAGCGTGTTTCATTAGCTTTGTCAAAACTTACATACATTTATTTTGACAGTGATTTTGACTCTGACGATTGGAGTGACAGCAGCGATACTGAAGAATATGAACTATTGTGTGAAGCACAGCAATGGGAAGCGCTGCAATACTTTTGTAAATGAGAACATTAGTGGGAACGTTAGTGAGAACGTTTATTTTTTCATTAGTGAAGTCGTTAGCGAAAATGTTAGTGAGGTGAAGTGGTTGGCGGCTTTGTAAATATTTAAGGTTAAGTTAGTGTTGTCGTTTGTGTTGTAAAATATACGTTAGCGGTTTTGTAAAGTGTCAAACCGTTATCTTGGGTAAGGTGGAACGCAGTGCCGCCGTACCCAAGATAGGGATACTAACTAATTTTGCAAAGACAAAGTTGACTTAGACTTTGGTTTCTCAAACCTCAACACTGAAGTAAACTATTATTTCAATGCTGCTGGAGATGCTTGGGACCCAGTTAAGTTCACATGCGAAAAGTTTGAATGCAAGAGAATAGAAAGCAGACTTGCAGTCTATATGTTGGACCCAGATATTTCAAATGCTTTAGCTGCCAAATATATTGCAGTTCCACTTATGTTCCCTATACACCAAATATCTGTCAAAGACTTTGCAGGTGAAGTTGGAAACCAAAGTGCTGACCCAGGTGCAAGAACAGATATTGCTTTAACAACTGCAATGAAACATGCAGATACTATGTTTGTACTGTTCAGACGAACTATAAATGACTATTCTTGTTTCTACAACCCTGGTATTAAATATCATATAAACATAGATGGCAAATATTATCCAAGAGAAGAATATTCCACAGTTGAGGATATGAGGTCATACAACTTGACATTAGATGCTATTAACTTTAACAACAACTTCACAACAACCATTAACCCTGAAATGCAAAGTTCTATTATGCCATATGTGAAAGTATGGACTCATACAGGAGGTCAAAAAACTCAATATACAAATGGAGACCGTTCAAACTTTTGGCTTGGCATTCCATTTGCTGACTCAGAAGACTTTATGGGTGGTATTTCAACTGTTGGTACTGTACAAATACAATATACTGGTGACAGAGACGGTCCAGATGAATTGAGAGCAAAGAAGTTTACAAAACCAATAGCACTTTTCACGGAAGATGCTCTTTTGAAGATTCGTTCGATGAAACCTGCTGGGGCTCCTCAGATTGGCATAACGACAGCTTCCATCGAGCAGATTTTGGCAGCAGGTCAGTAAGTTGTTCTTGAACTGACTTCTCTCCGTCAAATATTGACAGTACGCCAGTTTTGACATAATATTGTATTATAAACTTTCCTTTAGAAATATCTGTAAGTTTTGTTGTTATATTTTTGTCAACGTCAAGAACTTTCACCATCTCGGTTATACCAACTTTCTTTGCTTTATGAAAATATTTAGGTTCAGCAAAGACTGCTATTCTATAACATTTACCATTGTTTGTATAAAGAACTATTCTGTCAATGTATTTGTATTGTTTGTGTGTGTAAGCTTTGTTCTGCTTCAATTCGAAGAGATACTCGAATACGTCCATCTTTTTATTCTAAGTAAAATGTCATTTCCGAAAAATAGAAGCGTAAGTGTTTCAAAAGGTTTAATGGCGGTGGCAGATGTGAAGTTAAATTCACCAACTCAAACAAACAGTCAAAGTGTTGTTGTCAATGTCAAAGACAGAGATGTTGAAGTGGGGAAACCATACGAAGACGAAGATGGTATAACAATTGTTCCTGTAAAAGAACCAACATATCCTGAAGTTACCAGAGACTTAAGTTCTGTTGCAGATATTCGAAACGACTACCAACAACTGAAAGACAAACTTCAAACTCAGGAGAAGATTTGTCAAGCTTTAAGTATAATGTTAAACTTGGTCGAACACAACCCTGTAAAAGTGAACTCATATGTCATTGCACCTCATGAAGTTTTGAAAGAACTATTGAAACTTTTGACAGAGGCAGACGATATAAACATCAAAGAAATAGAACCCGACATTGGTTGCTGTGGTGTTTCATATAATGCCATTGACAAGATATACGTTATGAAAGGAGGTGAAACGTTGAACTTAAAGTATAGTTTCCCAGACGTCATAAAAATATTTGACGACCACAACATTTCATTAAAGTTTATTTGCTAAGTAAATGGCAGAAGACATAATGGTTTATACTATTACGACTAAAAACCCTGAGTCATATAATTCTATAACAACAAACTTACAAAGTCCTCAAGGACGATATTGTAAACTAACCTTAAACACAATGACGACTAAAGCCTGTTTTGCTCTTTTGACACCAGAAGACTTTATTGTTGTGAATGGTAAAAAATACTCCTTTGAAGATACTTACTCAGATATACCACCAACAGGTTTTGTTGACTTATTTAATACTTTAAGTACGGGTGTAACATGTGCTGCAACTAGAGCAGGTTTCATTATGTTTGGATGTCCGACTGAGTTTACTATAAACGATATGAGCTATAATACAAAACTTATATCTGGTTTTTACTACCAACAGTTTCCTATAACAGGAAAAGGTGTCATACAAGGAATGTCTATTCCATTGACATTAAGCACACCAATCTTATATATTGTTTCAAACTTAGGTTCAAAGTGTTATTCGAATGTCGACAGAAACTATTATGACCAAAAGATACTTATGCGTATAAACAATACTTTCTCTGCTGGTTTGCCTATTGTTCATTCGAATGCAGAATTTTCAACCTTAGTGAACTCAAACACTTTGGCAAGTATAACGTTGACATTAGTTGACGCAAACTTTGTTCCTGTAAAACTTTTATGTCCTATGTATTTGTCAATGACGGCAGAAAGTTTCGAATTGGAAGATGCAACTGGTGAAAGTATTGTATTACAAGAACAACTTCAACAACAAATAGCTCAAGAACAACAAATGCAACAAATGGAACAACAAAGTCAAGAATAAAAAAATAATATTTTTTTTTATTTTTATAAAAATGTACAGAATAGATGTTTCAGATTTTTATGACTTCCAAGCATTCAGAAATATGTGTCCATTTCGAGACTATAACAAAGCAGTCGAGAATTTGAAACGTTTAGTCATTTATGTTGACTCTGCCCCAGAATGTTATGTTATGAAAGAATGGGATGTTGTCTTTAACAAACCAAGAGCAACAATAGTGTCTGAACAAGAATGTAGACAGAAACTTAAGAAAATAAAAGTCGTACAAGTTGGCATGAAGATGTTAGATGCTTGGGATATCTTATTGTCAAAGTTAGAAGATTTTTCAGTTCGAGGTATAAAGTTCTATACACCTTCTCCAAACTTCTATTCTATCTTCACTGGATATAAATATGAACAAGTAGAATGGAAAGAAAATATTATAGAAGCTTGGTTAGACCATGTCAAAGAAATTATATGCAATGGAGCGAAGGAATATTGAAAATTCCTGAATAAACAAAGCAATTGTCAATTTCATTAGTTTGATCGAAATAAACTAAAAATGCATCAAGATTATTAAATGATGCGCAATCAGACAAAATGATCTCCATATTGTATTCATTCATCAAGAATGTAACAAAGTCAATGTTGTGTGAAATAATTGCATATTTCATGCATTCTTTATTTGGTTTTTGATATTTCAAACATTCACTCATGATCTCTTGATTTCCTCCTAAAACTGATAATTCTAAACATCTTTGAGTTATTTCTGAGTTAAATTTAGTTATTAATAACTTGAAACAATCAGCTGCACCATGGTAACAACATAATTCAAGTAATGATAATCCTTTGTAATATTCTGGATATAATTCGCTCATATGTTTTTGATTTTCATCAAATCCTTCTTCTCCCATTAATGTGATGAATTTTTCTTTGTTGTTATCTATAATTGCTTTGCAAATTGCATTATTTTCATTAATATCTAGATTAACGTATTGATTTTGACTGATATCCAGAGATTTGTTTAAATTGATTCCATATTCTTTATAAAACAAGTAGTTAAAACTGTTTTGGATATTTTTAACCTCTGTTACATGATATTCATCGCAAATAAATTTGGCTAGAGCTAAATATGACTTTGTATAGCGGTTATTAAATGGAATCATATTTAAAATATCTCGAGCAATAGTTTGTGGCGCAAATATCTTCGAATCAATCAAATTTTTCTTGATCATTTGGAAAATCGAGTTTAAATCTTCTTCATTTGCCGTTTTTAGCTGAAACAACGCAATATATGAATCAATGTAGTACTTATATATACTTCTCAATTCACTATATTTACTTGGTTGAATCCCTTTATCAGACATTAAAAACTATGAAAATGATATATTTATTTCACAATATGAAATATCTTTAAAACCCATTACATGGACAAAATACAATGTTATCCAAATGGAAAACAATAACCCAATGGGAAATTATATCAAATGTGGTATTTTCATATCTTATATCGTAAATAGGCAGAATGACTATAATGACACATAAATTCAATTAAATTATCAACTAACATTGAAGTTTCATAATTTTCAATTTTTATTATGGCACTTTTTTATCATGGGATGTATCACTTCATGCTGTCAGAGTAAACCTCTTCTTGATGGCGATAATGAATATCAATCTCTTGTTGTTTCAAAACCAAATCCTATACAATTAAATAAAATTGATATGGATGACTTATCTTCTTCAGATATACCTCTATTTCAAGTAAATTTATCGGATAATCCAGACTATGAAAGCACAGACTCTCAAGAAGCTCAAGATTCGAATCCAGAGCCTATCCTTTAAATATTTAAATCAAAGGATAGAACTTAGTCTTTTTAACTATTTAATTATCGAATAATAGCGAACTTTGCACTTTAGGAATACATCTTCCTTTATGAGTTATTTGCAGAAAATTAGTAACGAATTATTTCAAATTAAATCAAAAAGAAAATGGAAAATCAATGGCAGCAATAAGTTATATTACGGAAAAATGATTGTTTAATAAATCTTTGTTTGTTTAAACTCATAATAATTTTATATTTATATTTCTTACAAAACATATAACTTGTTACGTTCATTCTTAATTCTCCTACGATAAGTTCATTGTAATTTCTCATAAATCATTAATAGTTAGTTTATTCATAGAAAGATAATGTTCTGCAAGGATAAATATTGAATTGAATAAGAATAGCATGCATAACTGCTTAAATTTAAGGCCAAGTTTCATCTTGAACATATGTTTGGCCTTTCTGTGCACATAATACAGCAATTGTAACTTCTTTCATTAAATACATGGCATGATGAACATCTGTAACGTAGAATCCGACTTGGTCCATTACGTTGATATCCACAGAAGATGAATCAAAGCACCATTTATGAAGTAATTTGTTTTCATAATCATAATGGCAAATAACAATGTTCTTTTCTTCGACAGCGACTGTGAAGTATCCTCTCTTATCTGCGTTGCATTCTGGTCCGAATACAATGCTGCGCTTGATTGTGTCAATATCTCTTTCATAAATATGAGAGGAATTTGCCATGAGAACAAGAGGGCCTTCACGAACTCCAGGAAGCTGAGAAATTACCTTTTCTTGTAATTTGACAAGTCCATACATATTTGAGCGAAGAGCTGCAAATGCATCATGAGATCTGAAATGACATGTCATGAAAAGTCGATTTTTTTGGAGATTAAAGTCAATATCAGTGAGGCATGGTGGATTTGGAGAAGAGACATCTTGATCAAGCCACAATGAAATATGTGCTTGCCTTGTAACAGGATCGGTTTGTAATTTCTTAACTGTTGCATCTAAATGGCGGGCAATCCTGTTGCCATAAGTATAAGAAAGTCCTGGAGGAACTTTATCAGATATAATCTCGGTGATATAGTGTTTCAGGAATTCATCTGTGATTGGAACTTCTCCTGTGGTTTCAATTGTTTCATATTTTCGATTTTCTGCTTCTAATACGTATGTAAAATCGATTAACTCATAATATGATTCGCCAATTGAATTTCTCTTTTTGAATTCACCAAATTCGATAATTTTGTGTATAACTTTCTTCCATAAGCGTTGAAGATCGTTATCACGTACAATAAATGCGGATTTTTCTGATGGAAATTGATTGTTTTGTTGATTGAATTCGTATTTATAAAATGTCAAAGTAATTTGACGAGCTGGTATATCGCGGCATTGATGAATTGTTTCCGCTAATGCTTGTTCCTGACCGAAATCGACAAAATATATATGATCTTTAAATCTATCTACAAATGTATTCATGATAAAATCAACATCTGCGTCGCAGTTCTGAATGAGTTGTTTCTTTATTTCATTATATTGTTCAGAATCTTTGGTGAACATATTTCTTGCTTGCTCTTTAATTTTGTTCATATCATTACCATAAAAGACATATGAACTAATATTATTTGAGAGGAAGGAATTAAGAATGATGTATTTTAAGCCATCAAATGTGTAAAGGTTTCCGATACACAGCAATGAAGCTCGATCTTCTTCAGAAAGTTCAAGTTTATTCAACAATTCTTCAATAGAATTGCGTTTTGACCAGTAAGTGATAATCCCTGTTCTTCCTTCTTTATTCGAAATGGTAATTTGCTGCTTGAAATAGAATGGGAACTCTGGAACAGAGCTCATTTATAAATTCTGATAAAATTTCTGGGGAAATTCAAATCATGATGTTTATTTTTTGACATACTCTCAAATGATGACCAATCATAAACATTAAGATAACTGATGTTGTTGGATTCATATGATTTTGATATAAAACTATTTTGTGAAGATTTTCAAAAAACTTTCCCAAAAACATTTTTGGGAATAAGGCCTATACTTTTTATCAATCTTCATAGAAGAACATAAGTTTTCTCATGTTGATACTCTCAAATGATGACCAATCATAAACATTAAGATAACTGATGTTGTTGGATTCATATGATTTTGATATAAAACTATTTTGTGAAGATTTTCAAAAAACTTTCCCAAAAACATTTTTGGGAATAAGGCCTATACTTTTTATCAATCTTCATAGAAGAACATAAGTTTTCTCATGTTGAAATACAATGAATAACAGCACAGGCGATTATTTACGGGAATCAATATTCAAGAAGAAATTTGATTGGTCAAAAATCAAATTAGTGGACGTTAACAATTATGTCATTATTAATAAATTTCTTATAATAAGATCTACCAATAATGAGTATGATATTTTCTGTGGGAATTCATAATACTGCATATTAAATTGTTATTAAATACGGGTTTTAACAAATATTTATCTTCTTTGTATGTGAAATTTAAATGCTTAACTTAATGGTATCGATTTTGGCCATTACAAGTTTTTCTAAAAGTCTTGAATGAGTCATATTATATATTTGTTCAAATTATATCGATGATTAGTGTTCATCTGAAAAATTTTGTAATTAATAAGCATTATTAACAATATTTATTTGAATAAATAATCATGACAATAACAATAACTAGAGTAGAAAATATTATAACAAAAATTATTTCTTGGGAGGAGGTTGTTGTGGAAGTGGCTTCAATAATGGAACCATTTCTCTCATTATCCTTTCAGCGAAGTCTCTCATCTCATCAACATCTCCAGGAAGATTGTGTAAACAGTAAAAGCTCCAAAGATGTGCATGGCCGCTGAAGAATGAAGTTTGTCTTACAAGAACCATGGGCATATAGAAGAACTTGTAGTCCCTGCATACTAATGTAACATCTTTGATTCTATTCTTCTCAATTGTATCATGATTCTGAACAATTAGATCAATAAACTCTCTTTCGAGCTGAGGAGGAATGTTACCGAAGCAACGTGGTGTTTCTCTATCATCTATGACCCATGCAAGAACTTCTTTGAATACTTGTGGATCTCTAGGATAAAGAAGCTGTAAAAATTGCTGATTTGCACGTAGAATTGCTGGTACTTTGGAAACAGCTTGTGAAAGATTAACATTGCCAACAGCAACGAATTTAAGTGTATTTTGTAATTGTGCAACTGAAACTCTAGAAACAATTCCATCGCTTCTTCTGAAGACTTGATCAGTATATGGGGCTTCATTATGACGAACTAATAAATCAATTGCGAGTAAATCATCTCGATTTTGTTGCCAATAACTATCAGAAGCCTCGACAATCTCGTTCTGGCAATAAAATGCAATTAAATCTGTGCCTAAGTCATGAAATTGCTGAAGGAAGTTGGGAAGGTTTGGATGTTGTCTGTGGTGATTTACTTTTGGAACACCAAAAACAGTTTGGATATCAAGTCCATGAACATGCAATGGACGTACAAATGATCCATAAAATGCATTGTACATAATTGCTTGAGCTCTTAGAATATGTAAAATTTCTGAATCTCTATATATTTGATTTGTAACATAAAGGATAATTTCATTATTGTTGGTTTCCTGAAATGCGATTTTTGAATTATTTTCTGATCCAATAACGAATGGAACTTTTCCAACATCAAGATATTGTTGAGCTGCTGCAAAAAGTTGAAGTTGATCAAATTTTATTGGTGTTCCATCCTTCTTATAGGCGAACTTAACAGTGCCATTATTTTCGAAAAGGACAATATTCTCAACAGCACTCATGAACGTTTATTTTATTTTTATTGGCGTGCAGTGCCGATAGAATTCAGAAAGAATGATTGAAATTCAGCATCTCTTTTTCTTTTTCACAAATATAAAAATTGTCAGCTGAAGATAAGACAACGTTAGGATCAATGTTAGGCCTTTTAAAAGAAAACTATGTTCATTCAGAAGAAAAATTTAGAAATAATAGTAAACTTGATGATTAAAAGATGAAATACTGAAGTAAATTACCATTACATTTTGGTGATAAAATGATAAAAATTGGAATTTGCTTATTTGTTTATTCATTTTTTGGATATTTAGATAAATTATCGACAAAGTATATTATATTTACTTAGGCTGACATTTACAGAAACTGCAAATGGAAGATGATTAAATTCATATTCTTCGCACCTGTCTCTAAGAAACCATGAGTTTAATTATTCATAGAGAATTTAAAAAAATAACATATAATTTTAGATATATTAAAATTTACATATACTTTTTTTACAAAGATTTACATATTTAAAAGCGCAGCAATTTTTAAGTATTCTGCATTGCGCTTTGCATCATCCGTTATTTTGGATATATTTTCAATGCAGTACATTAATAGAGGGTTGTCGAATTCCTTGACAACTTGTTCGAATTCTTTTCCGCTTTCAAACGTTATTGATGGATCGTTTTTCATATTATCATATGCATTTGTCAAGAACTTGCGGAGTGTTCCTGAGACTTTATATTGAGCCATTTGCATTGAAAATGGAGTTGATGTTGTAATAGTCGATTGTGAATCAGGAACTAGCATTGTTTTCTTTTTATGTGGTTGAACAATTTCATCACAATAATCAAGATACTCCTGAAGATCTGGTAAATACTTAAAATCATGAGACACAGATTTAATCATATTTTCTTGAACTAAAAGATCGTGAATATAAAGCCAGCTTTCGTATGGATGATCATCGATATTTTGAAGGTAATGATCAGCAAGTCTAATCTTTTGAAAAAGAAGTCCAGCTGCTCGATCTGTTAGATTTTTGTTTAAATAATAATCTCTCTTTTTAATGAGAATTGCTCCCAAATTGATAACAGATCCTTTGAGATAAATGGCTTGTAATAATGAAAGAGCAACAAGAGCAACGCGTGAAGCGTAGTACGGAAGAAGTTCAATGTATTTGTCAATGATTTCTTCATCATTCTTGTTTTGATTTTGATAAATTAACTTTGGAAAGTCAAATTTTGGAAGATCTTGGATGGCTTTTTTATCAGTTCCAAATTTGAAAGTAATTTCCTCAACAACTTCTTCTAATGTTGCTGATAATATGTATGGCTCCATTCCAGATGATAAATGGGCAGCTTGTGGGTCAAAAATTTGAAAAGAAAAATTTTTGCTTGCGTCGCCTGTATTAACTTTAATAGAGTGAGTAACTAATGCAGTATAGTGATGAAGGAAGTCAAACATAACTGGATGAATTGTATAAGAATTCAATAATGATGAAATTGCATTTTTAACATCTTCATCTGGATCTATTATGATAAATCCGTCATCGATAAAATCGGTTTGTAAAACATTTGTGCTAACTTGGTAGTACTTAATATTATTAATGTTGGAAAAGCAACGAGCAATTTCAATAACATAAAGATCATTAAATCCGAATTTTGTTAATGATCGATCTGTGTGGATAGCATAATATCTATGGCTGTGGGTTTTTTTGATTTCGTCGAGTTCTTTGTTAATATATGTGATAAATTCGGCCTTATTTTGATGCCTATACACAATCGTGTGTTCCTTTCCTGACACTGAGCAAAGAAAAGATGCCGGAATACTCATTCCAGTTAAAAAAAATGTATTGTCAAAAAATCCGCGAAAAATTTTTACCACTTCTCAAATATTAGTCAAAAATTAAATTAAAAATTAAAAATTCAATGCAGAATAAAATTTTATCCATGGCCGTGTTTTAATATTTTTTGGTCGGAAGAAAGTTATTATCAATCGACATATTGTTCACAATATGTCTATTATATTCTTTGGTCATTAAAAATCCAGTTCATATGATTTTATGAGAGGATTTTCATAAAATAAAACAATAATTCCATATAAACAACAATCTTTATACAAACAACCTAAATTTACAAATAAAAAACAAACAAACAAAAAATTATAAAAACAAAAAAAAACAATAAATTCTCATCCACTACGGATAAACGGGGAAAATATGTTAAATCGATAATTCATATCAGGGGAATCGATCCAATACTCGTCCTGTTCGACTTGTGTGTGTGAGAATGAAACGAGTGCATCAAGTTTTTCATTGAAGGAAATTGAAGTGGTTTGTTGACGATTTAGTTCAACTCCGAGTGTTGCTTTGGCCTGTTTGTGTCTGATATCAAACACTCTCAGCTTGGAATCGTCGTATGCTGCAATTATATAGTTAGCGCTAGATGTAATGAGTGTAGGAAGTGTATCGTCGGCATAGAACGATGCAACTGAACGTGGTTCTCTTACATCCCACAATTTAATTGTAAAATCATTGGAACTTGTGCAGAACAAATTCTCATTTATACTTCTAATATGAGTAATAGGCTGGCAATGGCCTAAAAATGATCTGATCTCTGTTCCAATCCTATCAAATAAACTGCAGGTAGTTGATTGAACGAGTCCGCATACAATCTTGTCACCTTGAGTACATATATCGGAGATTCCAGCGTAAGAGTTGTTCAGCTGGACCTTGAATATGTTCATTGAGTCGTTGACAAAAAATAATGAGTTGTATGCAGTGGAGGAGAAGACATTGAAGCCGGTAGATGATACAATGTGTGGATCTGGGAACGGCTTCGAAGGGATTTCTGAGGTTTGGAACTGGTTTTCTTCTTCAAATCCTACACGGTGGACTTGTGTATCGGAGATGCACCAAGCGCAATCACCTCTTGTATTGATTGAAAATGCATCTATCTTATCAACCCCTTTCGTTGAAACTGTCTTCCATTCTGTGGAGAATTCTGGATTACTGGTATAAGTAATATGCATAACCCCTTCTTTTGAATGCGCGTATGCTCCGTATCCGTTCGTAAGGCAATTAACGTCGTTCTTTGGTATTGTTATGACCCTTGTATTAAGATGCCTCCATATTGTTTTCTCTTTTGGCAAATCTGTTTTGTTGAGAAGGTCTGAAATCGAAAATGGCATGATTTGCGGTGGAGGGGCTGGAAATTTGATTGAGTTGGCAGAAATGTTATAACCGCTGTATTGAAAATTTTTGTCGTCTAAACAGATTGCGTTGTATTTGTCTATAATTTCTTGCATTTTTGAGCTCCCAAAAGGAACCCAGGCAGCCTTATCTTCTAGTTGTCTGAGCTTATATGCCGAAGAAGTATTCGAAGAATTTGCCGCTGAATCGTTTAAAGGTTGTAAATTTGTTTCAGGTTGAATGTCTTTTAAAGTAAACTCGCCATTTGATAATTTTCGAGCTTCGGGCTCTGTCCCGGAATCGTTGGTAACAAGCTTTTTATTGTTGTTAAACCAGAGCCTTACAGCTCTGTTAGTCCAATGGTTTGAAATTTTTAGCAATTCTGATGATACTTCACTCGCGATCCTAGTTCGATCTGGAGATCTCTCTGGATAGCTGAAGTATAGCTTCAGATTAGGTGTTAGAATCGACTGTTCTTGTGGCGATGGATGATATCGCCTAATATCCTCTATAGTTCTCGCGTCTCCCATTCCAATATTTAATAAAAACTGCTATGGAATTAAATTGTATTGAAATATTTAAGTGAGTTCCCTCAAATTCTCACTTTTTTTCAGTATAGCGTTTGTCGAATAAAATCGCCTAAAACTTTGTTATTCAGATTAACTAGACTTTACTATTGAAGAATCTTGGGTGAAAACACATATCATGGAATTGTGAAGGGCTTAATTTTCGGCTCATATTCTACTTCATAATTTAAGTTGGTTTTCGGTCAACATTTTTTTGAAATTAAATCTAAATGTATTGAATGCATCTGAAATATTTTTGAGTGTTAAAGGCGGTTTTTCACAAAATTACGGTACTCAATTGCCTCAAATTCTAAATAAAATGATTTTGAATTTAGATGCTTAAATCGATATCATTGTATGAGCATCGTCATGAAACAATTTAGAAAATCGGTTGTATAATAAATTGATGGATCATTCAAAACCCCATGAATTATAAATATTTTTGCGAACATTTTTCCTTGGTTTTGACCGTATAGTAAAATTTTAAATTTTAGACTTTACTGATTTAAGGGTCCACTGTAAGGCCAAATAAGGCCTATTGTCGTCCCAAAAATATTGCTCAAGATGGTGTTTTTACTAAGGCCCAAAACTTAAAAAAACACAAAAAAATTAACTTTACTCTTTTGAGATCCTTATCAGATGTGCAACAATTTGATGCAGTATTGCAATTCGAATCCGATTTTTTAATGTAGATGTACTCTAACATTCTTGAAAAAATGCAAAACAATATTAATTAAGCTTTTCATTTCTGTATCATACACGAAACAAAATCATTCATTATACTAAAATTTATCAAAGTTTGAATAATGAAAAAAATAATATCTAAATTTTTACATTGAGTCGTCTATTGATATGGTCAATATTAAATCGTTTAAAAATGGGCATTAGCCAGAATAATACCCACTAAAATACACATTTTTTTTAAATTTTATCAATTTGTCTTGGTATATCTTTATGATAATGAATAAAATGCTTATCTTTCATAAGTCAATACATAATTTATGCTGAAACACAAAAAATAACACGAAAATTTTTGGCCAACATTTCAAAACTAAGGATAATGCTTTGAATATATAAACATAAGGATGTCAATTCGGAAAATTGTTTTCATTTTAGGAGAATATAATTTTCCTTTTGGAAAATTTAAAAAGTGAGACGCGCAGGATTCGAACTTTTTTAAAAGTTGATTTAAATATATTCTAGTGTGGATTCTAAGGATAATATCATATTTAAAATAAGAATATACTAGTTTGGGTGGTATAATTTTTTCGATAAATTTGAGAGTATGTACGTTTAGGGCATGAAAAGTGTTAATTCGCTCAGCGAAAGCTGAGCTAGCTTCGTTCTCGAAAGAATAGGGAAGGAGTGAAAGAGAGTGATACAGATGTTGACACATTCATATCATTTCAACAAATTTTGATTAAATTGAAATTCAATGAAATTCAATTCACTTCATATACTTCAGTCAGTACATTGACATCCTTCTACATCACAATGATAACTCGTACATCAATAGTTCTACAACTAACTCAGAAAAAACAAGATTTTTACTTCCAGCTTACAGCTTTTAAAAAGTTTCGATGATAAAAATCACTCTACTCTTGTTTATCGATATGTTGTGATAGTAGGTAAACGTATTCTTATCGATATTAATAAAAATATTTTTACGAAAATCTGAACCAATTACAGAGTTATTCATAAAGTTTATGATAACTGTAATTACTTCATCTTTGTTTTATATTTGAATAAACAATTTAATTTAATTTGCATAATTTTTTTTAGTTGAAAGACAGGAAACTTAGTTGAGTTTGTATTATTTTTATCGTTTAATTTATCGTATCAGTGAGTGATCCAGATATTTAAGATATTTAGAAAAAAATTATTAATTTGATTAACAAATTTTAATCAAAGTAGCAAAAATCTATTTGATAGCTGTAAACAAACAATAATTTTTATTTCAAGCAAAATCACTTATTTTCATCTAAACGTATAAAATTGTCAATTTTATGAAAATAAATTGAAAATCTCATGAAATGTAAAGGAGAGTAATATTTTTCAATTTTCTTTTTTCTTTGTCTCAAATATTTTCTGTTGGGAATTTTCTTGTTATCAAAAAATAATTTTAATATTTGTTTATTTCATTACATACAATAAAATTTTAAAAACTCTATTTCTTCACAAGAAAAATTTTTTCCTTCATATGAAGAAACATTTTGTTCTCCATTTGATGCTGAGTCTAAATCTCGATTTTTGAATTTTCTTCTTTCCAAATTTCTTTTTTCCAAATTAGAAGTTTAATTCAAATTTTCAATAGTTTATATATTTTCTCAAACTGTCTTAGATTTTCTTACTTTTTGGGGATTTTCTCTCAAAATATACAAAAATAGTAATATCAATACGTGTGTCTAATATACTTTAAAACCATCGTGACAAAATTCAAAAACGAAGAGATCTTCTCTCCAAATTTTTTTCAAAATCAAAAAAATGAGATAAAAAAATACGTTTGGAAAATTCATTTTTAGCATTTTAGGAATTTTCTCACTTTTCTTCCAAATTGACATCCTTAATAAACAATAATACTTTGTCTAGAGAATTAAATTTGTGCTATCCAATTGTCAATTCTTTGAATTTTTTATAAAATGCACGATATTCCAGCATTAGCCTCAATAAATATAAACTACATGCATCACAATATTAGGATGTAATGGCATTAAAGCGAATTTCCTAATTTCTTCTCAATTAAATTCCTAGAAAAACATAGGAATTAATGATTGGAAATAGGTCATAAAAATTCCTAATATAAAATTTATACTTAAATTAAAATCAAAATTCGAAAATATCTATTTTTCAAAACACGCATCCAGAAGCGAAAAAATTCGAAAAAATCATTTTCTTATAATACTCGCTGATTTTGCAATTTTTATGTGATTTGAAGTGATAGAATATATTATCATCTTACTAAAACATATACTTCATTGTTACATTCACAAAATATTAATCAGAACACTAGGAAAAGTGGATTTTCGAAAAAAGATGATAACGATTAATTGCAAATCGCCTCTCAATTTTGAGAGACTTTCAATTTTTACAGTGGACCCTTAAAACTTAATTTTGATAGAAAATATAATCATGCTTTAATCAATCGATTTTCCATTGGAGATCCCTTTATATTCAATAAGAACTAATTGTGATACAAATCTGACGATTTTGTAGGCATGGGCTTATCGTCCTTTTTCCTTTGAAAATCAAAAAAATTTACATCAATAAAAAATTCCAACGAAGTTATCCCTTATATACCAAGCCTAGCATTGTTATTTCTCATAGCAATTTCACCAGCATCAAAGATGGATGATCCTATGCTCAACTGGACCAATTCCCCGGAGAATTCTCGACATCAAGCCAAAATTTCCTTTCAATTTTAATACGATCTGAATTCCCTAAATTAAGCTTCCAATAGTATTATTATAATATTTTCTTACTTTATTGATGATAAATTTACCGTTATATACTACTATTTCATCAATCCTCATTTAGCAGCAATAGCTGTAATATTTTCCGGGTAAATACCACCTTTACTGGTTATGATATTTTACGCAATACCAGTAATATGATAGCTCAAGCATTCAACTAATTTGATATTTTATGGAAAAATTATTTTCTCACAATGTATTTTATTTGTTATCATTACTAATTAATTCCTAATTTTTGGTGGGTGTGCTCATCAATATCTAATGCATACCCTAATTATTTTTTATTCTCAGATATCTGAGGAAAATATGAATTTTAACCATCAATTACGATTTTACTTAATATTTTATATTATTTTTTGGAGAAAGGTTGTTCAATTCTTACTCACATCGTATACCTCTAAATTGTCCTTTTTCTAGATTTTAACGGCGCTTAAAATTTTTCCTCTCCTTATATGAGGCTTTGATTATTTCTTCTTTGAAATGAAAATGAGACAAACAATAAACATTCAACATTTTTAGATATTGATCATTCTCTTTGTTCCATATACCTGAATAAAGCCTCAGCTAATCTAGCTGATATTGCTTAGAAAACAGATTATGCGAAGACAAATGACATTGTATTTCAAAAGCATACATAATATGACTGTTTAAGCATATAAATATGAGTAAAAATGATATTTATGTAAGTTTATCTAATAATACTTATCTATTACACTACTTTTCATGTGAAATATGTTAAAAACATAGAAAATGCATAGATTAATGGTTCATTAATTACCAAAAGATGCTTAATTACTATATTAACTGTCATATTTAATGATTATTGATTCATTTTTTCTACAAGAAACTCCTAAAAACTAAAACGAATGTAATTATTTGTCACTTTTTGTAGTTTAAAATTTCTTTTATTTTATGAGTTTTATTAAAAATGAAGAGACTGAGATTCGTGATACACCATATATAGCACATTCAATCTGCAGCTATATGGAAGACGAATCGCAGTCTAAACAGTTTTCAAGTCAAACAAATTCGACTTCGAAATCACGAGAAAGATATGTTAAATTGACATTCTCTAGATTTGATCAACCATCCGAGGAAAATCCAAAAAAGCCAGTGTTCAGTTCCAATCTTAAACTGAAAACTTCAACAATTTCCGACATTCCTCCAAATTCTCAAAGCGCTCAATCAAATATAGTATCTACTAATAAAAACAATATTTCAAATAATGAAACTACTAATGATACTCAAAATTCTCAATATAATAGTTTTAACTCTATTAATTCAAGTCCACAAGCATTTTATAAGCGAAAACCAGAATACAATGCTATCCAAAAGTATACAGAATCCAGATTGCTCACGCAAAGTTCATTTCAAGCAAGTCCTCCTCGATCAAAGCAATCTACAAGGATTATTATTAAAATGAAAGAAGTCCCGAAAGAAAAGAAGAAAGGAGATATGCATTACGTTGAAAATATTGATGAAATTATAGATGATACTTTATCTGCACATACTTTACTGGAAGAAAGCCTTCTCCAAGCGGACAATAGGAAGCTGCAACAAAGCAAATTAGAAAACTATACCGAAATTCCTTCAAAAGAGATTTCAAAACCAACAAAATCCAAAAAATTAGAAAATACTCCTAAAGAAAAGAAAGTTAACGAAAACAATACATCAAAACAAAAATCTACAGTTGTCAGGAAGACCAGAAGATCGCAAATTAAAGCAGATAATAAAGAACAACAAAATCAAACGATTTCGAAAGAACAAAGAGATACAATGATTGAAGAGATCAAAACAGAGATACATAACAGACTCAGAAATGAGAATAATGATCAGTCAAAGGCTGAAAACGAAAAACAAGATATTGAAGCAGAATTCCAAGGAAATACTGTTGTAGAAACCAAACAGATCAATCAATTGAACGCAACTAAGATGGATTCACCTATTTCCAAGGTCAGTAGTTCTAAAATCAAAACATCTCCAATGAAATTAAGCGAATTAGAGTCACCGAAACCGAAATCATCATTACCTAAAAAGAAACAGTCCAAAACAAATGAAAAACCTAAACTTCAGCTCCAAGAATTTAATTTATCAAATACCTCTAGAAAACAAACAGTTCAGAAGAGTAAACTAGTTGTAAGTGATAGTACATCTAAGGAAGTTGCATATAGAGCACCTCTTAAGCTTGGAAAGACTTCAAATATTGATATCGAATTTCATTCAGAGAAAGGAGAAAAAGAAAAGGCAGATGATCATATCGATGATGAATCTGAAGATTATTTGAAGTCAGATTCTGATGATTTTGAAGAAATTGAAAAATTCATTCGAGAAAACACGAAAGAAGAAAATAAACCTCCACAGAGCCTTGGTTTAGACACCAAATCATCTCAAAAGGCTAATAATAAGCAACTAGAACCAAAATCTGAAGAAATTAAAAATAATTCTCAAAAATTACCAAAACCATCAAATAAATCTGAACCAATTAATGACAACAAGCTTATTGAAGATGATCAGATTCACAGCGATGAACTAATTCATTTAGATTCCTTGGAAGAACGAAATTCCGAAATTGAAAGAATCCCACAACCAAAATTAGATAAGAAATCTGCAACAATGAAGCCAAGAAAGTCATTGCAGAAGAATCGCGAGCAATTCTTCGAAGATTCTGATGAAATTATCGAAATTCCACAAAAAGTTTTCAATCCATTGCCAACAATGAAGAATTACATCAAAAAGGAAGATTTCTCAAACGCTCAGAGAATTCCTCCAAGTTATTTCACAAAAATTGAGCTTTCTGACGAAATTGAATCAGATCAGAACAAAAACGAAATGGTCAGCGATCAGTCTGAACAAATTCCAGACGAAATTCACTCTGATCAGCTGAAAAATGAGGAAGAAGAAAAATTTGTTAGTGATGAGTTCAATTCAGAGGACAACAGGCTTATAATGAGTCTTAAACATGATAGCCCTCGCAAGTTACGTGATTCTGATGAGAGTTTGACTGATTTTCTTCAAGTTGAAGCTCAAATTAAGAACGACAACAAAGGAATGGGCCTAACTTTCTTCCCAATCGAACGCCAAAAGCCAAAAAAGGAAGATGAACCAAAACAAACCGAGAAAACAATTAATAATTTTTCAAAAATCATATCTTACATAAGAACGAAGATTAATGCTGGTACAGAGCTTCATGCAATCAAGTTAAGAATGTCCCAGTTCAAGCACAACCACATGTGCGTTTTAATTGATAAAGATTCGACTAATTTCAAAGGAATTTACGTTCTGAACGAATTAGAACAGAAACTGATCAGAATTTGGGGTGAAAACATTCCAGAAACGATAGATCCATCAATGGTTCAAGCAAATTACATATTTTATAATGAAAAGAAGGATATCGAGGAATTCAAACAAGATAACTTCACTCAGAAAACTGAAATAGTTGCAATTTAAGGTATTTTGACTTTGTATTTAATATTATTGTTTTATTTTTGTAATTTAGTAAAAAAATATCAATGATGTTGTTTATATTAACCGAAAGAATATTATATTTTATATTTAAAACAAACAAACCACAAATATTATTATTAAAAAAATATTAAACCATAAAAACCTTCAATTCTTGTTGACCAGAATCATCGCTCTTATTGCATGTTCCTTCATCTTGTTTCTTAGCCTGTCTATAAAAATTAATAAAAGTTTTGAGAGCAACTAAAAGACTGCAAACAGTTGAAAGAGCATCAGTTACAGGGTATGCGTAGAATATTCTTCTTGGTGATTTCGGATCTCCTGTATAATGGAAAATACAAGCAGCAATTGGAAGAAGTCCAAGCTCAAGAACAAAGCTTGTTATTGTTGCAAGAACTGTTTGCTGAGAAGCTTGAAGTAATGAAACAATTATAAATTTGGTCGGTGTCAAAAATTTGATATAAAAACTCGGAGGAACGATTTCGTTGCACCAATAAAGGAAACGCTCATCCTTACTCCATATTGAACAAATTTGTTTTGGCAGAGTTACAATAATAACCATACATGAGAAACCCCATAACATTGCCATCCATTCTGCATGAAATGTCAGCCAAAGAAGTCTTTTGTAATCTTTCTTACCAAATGCATATGACGCTGCAGGTAAATATGCTGCATTTATAGCTATTGGAACGCATGTTGAAACTGTGTAAATTCTGGATATAGCGTTGTATGCAGCTACAATCATATCGTATTCTCCAACTCTATTTGCACGTATTGCAATGAATTTCTGAAGAATAAGCGAAGGTAATGAAATCGAAATGTTCATTATAAATGCAGAAAGGCCTGCTTTTAGTGCTGCGCCTGTCTCTGGACAGAAACATTTGAATACATACTTCCTTGATGGTTTTGTTGAGAATTTTCCGCAAAACATTACAATCAAAATAATACTTGCAGGAATAAACATTGAAATTTCTGTGGCAAGGGAAGATCCGAGTGTTCTCTTCATGGACCAAAGTAATAATGGATCGAATAATGCCATATTCAAGAGCATTGAAATAATTTGAGCGCCTCCATAGAGCCAAGTTCTTCCTTCAGCTTGTAGGATGCCGCAAACGCAATGATAACAACATGTAACAAGGTTTAATGATAGTAGTCGTATTGCATAGTCAAATGCAAGATCATTTACTTTTCCAGTTCCACCGATAAACTTGAATAGTGGTCTTGCACATGGAAATAGTACAGCTGGAACAATTAATGCAAAAATCACGCAAACTTTAAGTAGGTCAACGCTTAAATGTGAAACAACTTCATATTGCTTTTTAGAAAATAAGTAGGAGATTTGAGATGATGCAGCTATAGCAATAAAAAATCCGAAAGATAGTGCCGAATTGTCAAGAATGTAAGCTAATGAGAGAGCTGTTAAACCAATCTCGCCAATGAATTTAGATACCCACATAGAATCGATAACACCGTATAGAGAATTAACTATTTGAGATATTAATGGGCCTGGACTAAGTCTAACTAAAGTTCTTAGTGGTGGATATCCTCCTAAACGTTTGTGTTCTTCGCCATCGTCGGAATTGTTATCACCTTCTGTGAATTCGTTTGAAATCTTCTCTCGTTCATTTGAAGAGATTCCATCTTCTTGAGTTAACGATGTCGTCAGCATTTTCCATCATGTCTCTCGCTCTGTCACTTTTTGGCGCCCAAGCGAAGCGAGGGTGCCAAAAAGTGACAGAGCGAGAGATATGAATGGGTTCTATATATATACAAAATAGTTACCCCGATCGCGGCTTTTGAATTATAATTATTTTAATAACATATTTTTAATAAAATAAACATGGATTTATATGGGAAATTAGGGAGATCTGAAACTCAAAAATTATTTTTGAGTTTTAATATGATGAATGTAATTGTGATGATATATACATAACAAATAAAATATTAATTCGGAACAACGATGAGATGTGATAAATTTGATTCTCTCAAAAATCGATTTTGGGGTTTTAATATTAATTTGTATCTTATATGCATATAGGATATATAATAATTTTAAAACATCAAAAAGTGACAATTTGCGGTTAGAAAAAGTCATCAAAACACTTTTTAATGATTTGATTTAACATATGCATAGACCATCTCTTTGATATTTAACTTCAATTTCCCGAAATGAAAAGGATTTGAACAAAAACGATTATTTTACGATCATTTTTTGTAAATTTTTTTAAATTGAGACTGACATCTCTACAATCTTCTAAAAAATCCAAATATCAAATAAAATAATATCATTAAAATTCCTCTCAATTTAAAAAATTTTTATAAATTGAGACTTCAATCTCTAAAATCTTCTAAAAAATCCATATATCACAAAAAATCACGATATTATTTTTATTCTCAATTTCAAAATTTTTTTTTGTACTGACTTTCTTTTTCCATAACAGCATGGCAGAAATTTGAAACGAAGTTTCAAATTTCTCAAGCTTGCATTCTGGGCACGTAAGTGCCCAGAATGCTAAAAGGCGCGTAGCGCCGTCTCTGAATATCAAATTTATTATAATTTATGAAATTTCAAATAAAATTTATGAAATTTCAAATAAAATCGATCTGTTATAACACACTGGTGCATGACAGCCTTGTCGTTCATTTCTATCGGCGCGCGGAGCGCGCCGATAGAAATGAACGTGTATATATATACAAACACCTGGACACATTTCAAAAAGCATTGTAGAATCTGATTTTATTTCTATATTTTCTAAAATTAATATATGTTTGTATGTGAAATTCGGGAGATTCAAAACTCAAAAATTAAAACTCGATAATTTTAATAAATCTTGATTCACATTTGTATGTAAATTAGTATTAACTTATTAATATTTATCAACTCCATGATTCAAATTTATTGATATCAATAAAATTCATTTATATTATGAATATTAGACTATTTATGGTATGTGTGTTCTGGTAACATTAAAATCTCATATACTGGCAATTTGGCACTTTTTGTCACTTTTCATGAAATTTCAGATTTCCCTAACTCGATTTTAATAATTGTTTTAGAATGCTAATATAATGTATAATTTATTTATCTAATCAAAATTTAAAAAAGTTCAGTATTTGCCATTTTAGACTTCAAGCTCGCGACACATTAACCGCTTTTTTAAAAATTGAGACTGACATCTCTAAAATCTTCTAAAAAATACAAATGTCTAATAAAATCATATCATTAAGATTCCTCTCAATTTTATAAATTGAGACTGACATCTCTAAAATCTTCTAAAAAATCCAAATGTCTAATAAAATCATATCATTAAAATTTCTCTCAATTTTAAAATTTTTTATAAATTGAGACTTAGATCTCTAATATCTTCTAAAAAAATCCATATCTCACAAAAAAAAACTAAGTTTTATTTTCACATTCAATTTCCCCAAAAAAATCTTTTTACCTAACAGCAAGGCAGAAATTTGAAACGAAGTTTCAAATTTCTCAAGCTTGCATTCTGGGCACGTAAGTGCCCAGAATGCTAAAAGGCGCGTAGCGCCGTCGCTGAAAATCAAATTTATTATAATAATTATTTTATTATAAATCGACCTATTATAACATACTGGTGCAATACGTCAATTTATTTCACCTCTAAATCCAAAAAACTTCAAATGAGATCACATTACAGTCTTGTTGTAATTCTATCAAATTATCAGAAATTTTAAAGTTTTAAATATCATTGTATGGTTAATATATGTATAATAAAATTACAAAATCAAAATTGAAATATTTTCAATATTGAATGAATTCGGATTAATTTTTATCCAATCAAATTAACCTTTTGGATGAACTACATCAACAACAAAGATATCGACCAAAATTGTGCCCATTATGCTTGACATGTTGATCATAGTACTAGTGTATATGAACCCATAGAATGACTTCCGTTAGTTTTCGAGAAATATTATGAGCTTTTAAAAAATACATATTTTTCTTGCTAAGGAAAGTACCATCTTGTATTATCAAAAAGTAAATGAAAAGATCGCTCAGGAAGTGCAAAGTTCGATGATAAGAAAGTAAATTGTTTACTAATTCAGCAACTTGCGGGAATTTTTTTGAAGAAACACTTTTTTTGGTTTTCTTCTACATCAACTTATAAAAATGAATATATAAGAATTTGTAATTAAAAAAAAATAAAAGTAGGCATTTACATTGCTAGATCTTTGATTATATTAATCATTCCTTGTTACAATAAGATTATGGTAGTAATGTCTGTGTATGATAGTTTGAGGATTGTTAAATTGTGTGATATTTTGATATGTTTTGAAAACTATTTTTAGTATGATCAAAGGTATATTGGAATTCAATGATAATACATATCATTCACAGTAAACAATGGATTTTCGGTGATTGATGAAAATCAATATCAATAGTTAAAATTTTCGAGGCTTTTTTGATTGAAATCAATTGCCTTGGATACCTGGAATGAAATTCTCCTTAGTGATTTTTTCCAAATTTTTTCTCTTTTCAAAGATGGCTATGCAATTTTCTAGAAATTGAAAACGTCTTTTAGAATAATCGATTTTTTTTGGAAAAATGAGGTTAAAAATCTTGAAGATTTAAAATTATTTGAGGAACAAAGCATTTTCATAACATTCTAAATCTACAGATGTATTTTAATTTTGTTATACTAAAATATTTATCATGAAAAGTATCAATTATATAGCAGAATTTAATATCAATAATAAATCAGAATTTTTAAAATTGTATGTTTAAAAAAAAAGAACGATAATGATTAATTTACAAAATTTTTATTCGATACACCTCTACTTAATATTACATCTTTAACGTCAGGATCCTCATCGTTGGATAGGACTTGGCAAATGGGAGACTTTACAGGGATTATCTTTGCCAATATCAGACGCACGTTTGAAACACTATCCTTTGATGCTTGTTCCAAAATTGATTTGCTATCTTCATGTTCAAGTAGTTTAGCTTCGTCAAGGCATACAAGAGCAGTTTGCCTTATTTGATAATCAACATCCTTCATCATTTCGCTTAGAGTTGGAATTAAATCTGTTCTAACCCAATTATCTCCGAATTTTATTACAAGACTTCCCATTATTTTACACATATTATTTCTTACTGCTATTACATCATCTTCTAATAGCATAGATATATAACACATGATATCAGGAGTCATTTTAGAAATAAGACTTGGTAATATTTGGGCAATTTCGCTTCTTGTCCTCCATTCCTTTATAGAAATTATATTTTCCATAAGAGATTGGACAATATTGTCCGGTAAACTTGTTCCTCTAAAAATATCGCAAATTCCTTTTGTAATTTTTTCGTTATTCTTCTTTATCAAGTCTACCATGATTTTGATCGAAAATTCTTTGTATATACCGTTGAAAAGTGTTGGTAGAGAGCCGGCCAAGGCAATAACAACCCTTGGATCTTCTCTTTTCATTGCGCTTCCAAAAATCCTGTCAATATCTTCTTGAGAGATCTGGAAATGGTTGATAAAGAATTCGAATTGCTTTGCTGCTGCCAAAGCGACATCATCATCTTTATCAATTAAACCTTTTGTAATAAGACCTAGAACGTCTTTTGAATTTGTGCAACTGCACAAGATCGTATCTAAATTAATGAAGAGTTCTTGTCTAACTCTCCAATCTGTAGAAGAAAGAAGAGAATTACAAAATTCTATGACACTTTCATGGGTTTCTTCCATCACATAACCGTATAATAGAACAGGTATATGAACAAGAATACTATTTGATCCTGAACTAAGAAGCTTTTGGATCACATTTCGAATATCAGGAACAAGAGATCCATCAAATTCATCTAATATCATGCCAAGATATTTGGCTATGGACTCTCTTACTAAGTATGATGGATCCTCGCATAAAGGTAATAATAACGGAACAATCGTGAGAAGGATTTTCTTTGATATTTCATCAGTAAGAACTTTGAGAAGATGAGGTGCTAATCTTCTCAAATACATAACGGGGTTATTTACTAACCATAAAACGTAATCTGTGAGGACGTTCGAGATTTTAGAAGGCTCTAATGTGAATAAAAGCTTTTGAATTGATTCTAAGGCAACTTGATCAACAACTCTATTGTTTAAAAGGAAAATTTGACTAAATTCGATTAAAAATCTGCCAATTGTATCTGAATTAACATTCTCTAAAGATATTTTTTCAAATTCATGTAGAAATTCAATAATCTCTTTAGATTTATAGTTCGAAAAATCAAATGTATAAGGTATGAATTCAGATATGGTTCTCTCGATTCCTAAACGTTGAACAATAACGGGAATATATTTAATTGCCATCTGAAAGTTCGCATCTGTTGGATTTCTTAGCGATTTGATCAGGTCTGTCTTGAAAGTATCCATGTTTTTTTGATTGAATTTTCAATTGAATGGATAAACGCATTTTTATGAGATTTCTGATGAAAATTGCAGGTTGAATCATTCTAAGCCGAGTTTCTGTAAATACTATCAAGGACCATTAGAATCACTGAAATATTAGACTTTTATCGGCACATTGAGAATTTTTGTTTGCTTAATTTGCAATATATTTGAAAGATTTTAAGGGATTTAAATAAGGAATACCGTTTAATTTCATTTGCATTATATCGATAATATTTTTTTTGACTTGGATGATTATGTGGGATTATAATGAGCTTGCAGAAATATGCAAGGATTACAATGACGCCACACTTGCACTGTATAAATTAAGGGCATCGAACGAGGAAGCAATCAATGAAGTATACAAAGATATCAAAAGCAAATTAATCGAAACCAAAATTTTATCACCATCTCAGATTTGCTGCGAAATTTCAAAAATATCCTTTTACAATAATGCTTATTTTAGATCGTATTTGAGCCTGTTCAAAAAAATCTTCGAAGAATATCATCTAAATCAGTTACCAGGGGTTGAAGGTGTTTTTGCACATATACTCAATCAAGAATATGAAATTTCCTTACCTCCGTCAATTAACGGGCATTTTTTTTATTATTCAGATAAAGAATATTCATTAAAAAATTATTTGGAACATCCTATTAACAAGGCTATTATGAATGATGATGTAGAATCATTTATATCATATGCAGGAAAGGAAAAATTTCGTATTGATCATAGCTCAGTAGGTGATTTCTATCCTGATTCATATTTAGATTTATCATGGCTTGAATTATGTTGTTATCATGGCGCAGGCAAATGCTTTAAGTTTTTGATATCGAAATTCAAACCAGAAATTACTCAAAAATGTCTTTCTTTTACATTTTTGGGAGGAAACGCAGAAATAATGAATGAATGCTTGAAAGAACAAGACCCTGATGAAGATTGTATGAAATATGCAATTATTGCACACAACATTGATTTTATCACTTTCTTGGCTTATGAATACGACGAAGTAATCGATCCAGAATATTGTTGTGAGGAACACAATATACAAGCATTTCTAGTTTATTTAGATATTTCTAAAAATATCAATCAGTGCCTTATTTATTCTACAAGATTTAATTTTCCACCTTTATGCCAATATTTAATAGACCATGGAGCAGATATTAATTCTATTGATAGAGATGGAAAAACAGCTCTTCATCATGCAGCGGAAAATAGTTGTGTTGAAATTGCAAAACTCCTTATTTCAAAAGGAATTGATATCAAGGCAAGAAATCATAATGGAAAAACTGCGCTTCATTCAGCAGCAAACAGAAATAATAAAGAAATATTAGAATATCTTATTACACATGGGATTGATATTAATGCAAGAGATAATGAAGGTAAATCTACTCTTCATTATGCAACAAGTAAAAGTCTACTAAGTATCTTCGAAGCTCTGATTTCTCATGGGGCAGATATTAACGCAAAAGATAATGATGGCCAATCTGTACTTCATGATGCAACAAAGAGCTATAATACAAATGTAATAGAAACTCTTGTATCATACGGTGTTGATATGAATGCAAAAGATTTGCATGGTATGACGCCTCTTCTCACAGCAGCGAAAAATAATTCATTAGATGTGATGAAAACACTAATTAAAAATGGTGCAGATATTCATGCGAAAAATAATGAAGGACAAACTGCGCTCCATTTAGTGGCTCATAATCATAATTTTGATAATATAGTAGAGTTTCTAATTTCGAATGGCGCTGACATTAATACCAAAAATATTAAAGGATTGACTCCTCTCCATTATGCAGCAGAAGATGGCGACAAAGAATTAGTAGAATTATTACTTAAACATGGTGCTGACATTCACGTGAAAGATATGAAAAATCAATCTATTCTTCATTTTGCAGCATGGAATTTTAATACAGAGGTAGCAAAAGCTCTTATATCTCATGGAGCAGATATAAATTCAAAAGATAATGATGGAATATTACCTTATCAAATTGCAAAAGAGCTAGAAAATGATGAAGTTGCAAAACTTCTTTCACCTGTTGGTACAAACTTCAAAAAGAAAGTCCCACGAAAAAGGTGTAAAACGAGCGTCAATGACTTCGAAGACTTGGATAACTTTGAAATGATATAATAATGGTACTCTTTTCATTTTGTTTCATCAAAATGTTTGTCACATCTTCAACGCATATTTATCGGCATAGAAATATATCTGTTGCTCTCTGATCGTGTTAATTTTGCTTTTACTAAATATTTTCAAAATATTTTATTATCACATTAATTTTTAAGTATATGCTATATGGAATAACTATGGAAATCTCTCACAAACATTTATAATTTGAAGAAAAAAGAATTCAATATACAATTAAAAATAAATAACATAGATTTACAACAAAAACAATGAAAAAAGAACATAATAGTTTCTTTCAACATCAATGAAAGCATGTTACATATATATAATCGGATTATTATCTTGCTCATATTTAATAGACATTTAAAGCACCTTTATGGCTCATATTATGTAATCCATGGCTGATGCTTTTCAAGTTTTCTAATGATTTTAAGAAAATCAATTCCATTTGAAATTATATTTTCCAAGAGAAGGGAATAAGAAGCATAAACAGTTGCATTCGTTCTTCTTGGTATATAGTTGATAGGCTGAGATATAATTCCTTTTACGGTATTGAATAATCTAATTTTATTTTTTGGATCGATGTCATCTGTGAACTCTAGAAGCTTGTCAATGGGCTTTATATCAAAGTTAAACTTTTTGGCCAACTTAGGTCTTAGTCCGGAATAGTAAATAACTTTACAAATTACTTGAGTTGCAAATTCTGCTCCGTACTTTGTTTCAAACTCATGGTACATCAGGAATGTTGCATAATGCGAATATGATGACATTGTTAATAGATTACACTTTGAAATGTAAAATTCAACAGAATCTCCTTCAGGACGATCAAATTCCTTAGTAAAATCCAAGAAATCAGTATCATGAGTAAGAAATGATTCAATGACCTTGAAGAAAAATGATTTCTCATTAAGTTCAAGTTCCGATTTTCGATGTTCACTGAAATAATGCCTTAGTATTTGTGAAAATATTAAATCAAAGTTCGAATTAGCCGCAGTAGTCCAAGCACTGACAATGTCAGGATAAATAAAATTCTGTGGTATCAAATAATAATAAAATAAAAATGTATTATTAAAAATGACTTTTGAATAGTATCCAGCTGTAAGATTTGTATTAGGCGGCATCTTTCCATTGGCAATGTAGCAAAGTAGAAATGGTTCCAAAGGATTTGCAAAAGTATTCGTCAAAACAATATCAAGAATTTCTCGTCTGACATTAAAAACGTATTTCCTTGGGTTTTCATCTACATAAATGTAAAACCTTTTTTGGTCGAGATAAAATTCCGTGTTTTCAGGTAAAATTTCAAGTTGCTTGACATCTTCGCTAACTAAAATACTTTGTGATGAAGAGTATAACAGGTATTGCATTGGACTTTTCTTTTTTGTTTCAGGTTTCAAGAGTAAAAAGAAAGGTGATGTTTTTGACGGTATTTGCGTTAATCCACGTGGAATATTGACCAGGTCTAATCCGCCGTTATTATCTTTAGCCCGTATTGATGTATTATTTTGAATAAAAGATCGAGATCTAAAAAAATCATCCGCTAATTCACCTCTTTCATATGCTATCTGAAGAGATGGCTGTATTTGATGACTTAAAGAAGAAATTCTCGATAGCAAATCATTATCAGAATTCAATATCATTTTTGAGGATTTTTTGTTCAAAAATTTGGTCTGAATTTTCAATCACAATGAAAAGTCTTGTTATAGAGGACATTATATAGGCTAAATTTTTGTAGAGATTATACTTTTGTGATAATTATTTTCAATGTCAATTTTATCAAGTCAATTGCCAAGTAATATTCTCAAATTGAATATTTATCCAATAATTATTTTTCGCATCGCATACAGTAGTCCATAACACTTATGGATATGAAATCATTTAATTCTTATTTAACGAACTATACGCAATTGCAAGAGATTACGATTTCTACTCTTACAGCTTAACAGTAAGTTTCGTAATATCAATGGATTGACATATATCTGTATGGTAATATTTTTAACACCAGAGCCTCTATTTAAAATAAAACGACATCAAATGCAAATATTTTTTATGCATGATATTTACCTGTGATATTGAAATATTCAATCAGAATCAATCATAATACTTGATCCTGTAATAAACAGAAATTCATCAAAAGTGACAGCTCTCAATTTTTTGACATTTGTAAATTCTAAATTGAATGAGAAAAATGAAATAATACTAAGCATAATACAATATTCTAGATTTAATTATAATTAGGAAAAAGTTAGTTTTGAGAGTACTTTTCATAGGCATATAGAATGAAATCTTCTGAAAAATAATATCACATAAACTCATATTATTTCTAATATATAACTATTTTATATAAAAATCAAATTCAATGATCTTAAAAGCGAAGGATAAACCTCAAAATTTACGAATATAATGAGTGGGAATATAATGCTTATCTATCATAAAACCATATGAAATATCAATTTTTGCTTTACGCCTAATTTTTGACGACAATTAGCAAAAAATGTTAAATGTTAACACTCAGTCCATTTGAATATGAAAAATAAAATTGATTTTGATTAAAGGTTTTTATTTATCATGCAATTCTTCTTGCGACCAAAGATTTGAATAAAAGTTCAAAAAATAAGATAGCTTAAAAAATAATATACGGTAGTGTTTACTAATAGATGAATAGTATATAAATTCTATTAAAATGGATTTGATCCAAAAAAATATATAAAATTTGATCATAAATAAAATCGTTTTAAATTACTTCTTCATTTAAATTATAACAATTATTTTTGGTTTTATATTTTTTGGATCAAATCCATTTTAATAGAATTTATATACTATTCATCTATTAGTAAACACTACCGTATATTATTTTTTAAGCTATCTTATTTTTTGAACTTTTATTCAAATCTTTGGTCGCAAGAAGAATTGCATGATAAATAAAAACCTTTAATCAAAATCAATTTTATTTTTCATATTCAAATGGACTGAGTGTTAACATTTAACATTTTTTGCTAATTGTCGTCAAAAATTAGGCGTAAAGCAAAAATTGATATTTCATATGGTTTTATGATAGATAAGCATTATATTCCCACTCATTATATTCGTAAATTTTGAGGTTTATCCTTCGCTTTTAAGATCATTGAATTTGATTTTTATATAAAATAGTTATATATTAGAAAATAATATGAGTTTATGTGATATTATTTTTCAGAAGATTTTGTGTTCTTCTTCAAAATTTTATTTTTTTATTAAAAAGAATCTTTACAAAATATACATTTATTTTAATTAATATTTAAAAACGTGCTCTATCAAAAGTTCCAAAAATTCAATATTTTAGCTTTTCTGAGGTGTCACTTTTGATGAATTTCTGTTTACAACAATCCTGATCATGCAATCTTCCTAACTGAAGTATGAAATTTCAAATTCAATAATTCTTTATAAAATAGATTTTGAAATATCTTTTCACCAAAGCATACATATGTAAACATAGTCAAATATAGTTTTCGGCCTAAAGTGATTATTTCATCAAAATGTTTTTTCGAATTACCCAAAAAGCAAAAGGACAATAATACAACAAAACTAGACATCTCCTAAACATCGCGATGTTTCGGGTCAAATGAACGTCAACATAGTTTTTCCAAATGTGTAAAGAGTTCAACATGAAAAAGTTTTTATCTGCCAACATTCATTTCGAAATGATGGGCAATCTTTCCATAAGTTGAGCTATTACTACCAATTCGCCAAATTTGAAGCAGTTATGAAAAAATCCAAATTCAAAATGATCAGAAGAGAAAGGGACAGACTAGCCCATTGTCACTTTTTAATTTAGCAAATGAACGCTTATGGAGTGGAGTTTTTGGGTAAATCTGATTTGCTTATAAATGAAATAAAATCAAAAGAAACCATATTGGCATTATATTATGCAAAAATAAATGATCTTACTTAGTACTTTTAAAGTTAATTTCAGAAAAAATTTGACACAATGGTATCCGGCACATACAAGTGGTGTACAACCAAAATATAAGTTGGTTTAAACATATATTGCTATATCTCATGATCTTACTTAGTACTTTTAAAGTTAATTTCAGAAAAAATTTGACACAATGGTATCCGGCACATACAAGTGGTGTACAACCAAAATATAAGTTGGTTTAAACATATATTGCTATATCTCATGATCTTACTTAGTACTTTTAAAGTTAATTTCAGAAAAAATTTGACACAATGGTATCCGGCACATACAAGTGGTGTACAACCAAAATATAAGTTGGTTTAAACATATATTGCTATATCTCATGATCTTACTTAGTACTTTTAAAGTTAATTTCAGAAAAAATTTGACACAATGGTATCCGGCACATACAAGTGGTGTACAACCAAAATTTCATATCCCTAGTTTTACATTTATGTTTAGTTTTATTTCACCTAATTTTCAAAGATCATAATTGAATTAGATGGCCAAGCTATTCAAAACACGACCAAGCTTATCAAAATAAGACCAATATATTCAAAATTCTTTATTCTTTCAAATCATTTCATTTTAATGCAGATCCAAGATCACGAACTCACATATATCGAGTTGCTTAAGTATGGAGTGCAACAAGAAATCCAAGCAGGTTGTAGTTATTCATATAAAACTAGGAAAGAAAGAAATCAAATCCAATTTAATTGTAAGTGGCCGAATTGTCCATGTCGCTTCCTTGTTGATACACTTCCCGATGACAAGTACCACATACGAAAATGTATTAACACCCACAATCATTCTGCCCCTTTTCCAAACAAATCACAACAAATTACATCATATTTTTATAGATCTTATTTAACAAGATATTTTGAATCAAATCAAGACCGTGTTTACGCACAATTAAGGTGTTTCAAAGATCTTAATATCCCATTTGATAGTGGGATCATTCCGGAAATGTTTCAACAATCTACAGATGCTTTAAAAAAGTTTTCTAAACGCCTTCATGCAATCAATACCCGTTTCTCAGCGGATGATGTTACATCTCTTGCAATTTTTGTCGACATGGTTAAGAGTCATTCTCCAGATGATCTCATCGAGTTTATTCACGAGCCAGATCGTATGATTTTCTATTACGCCCCATTCGAAGCAAATGCTTTTTCACATCAAATACAAACTTATCACATTGATTCCACTTATAAGCTCTTGCGCTCTCGCATACCATTTTATGCCGTCACTGGCAAATTCGCGGAATCAATTGTTTTTCCGTTTTTGTATTTTTTCGTTTGGCCCGACACAAGTGAAAATATACAAGTTTGTCTCACAGCATATTTTGGCTCCATCAATCGCGAACCATCTTATTTTTCAATGGACTGCGCACCTCAAATCACAAATGCTGTTGAAACAGCCATCCCCTTATGCCAGATCATTTGGTGTGGTGTTCATGTGTTGCGCGCTGTCATGAGAAAGGCTGAAAAGTTTCAAGATCGTTCCAACTTCGAAACTTTCTATAACTTAATGAAGTTATTGGTCTTTGGTTCTGAAGAGGAAGAAATTGATCCTGATGAAGTTTACAACAATTTAGAAGAAATTTTAAATGAGGAACCTGCTGCCCGTGAATACTTTGACCGACAGTGTCGCCATCATCTTGACAGGTGGATGCTTCGCTATAGAAATGAAGGAGATGGAACAAACAACATCTCAGAATCACATTTCAAGGTTTTGAAGCACCAGTACTTCCCAGAAAGGCGAAATCTTCGACTCGATGAACTTGTCATCGAGTTATATTCCAGTGTTGTTCCTTCATTCCTGATTAAGTTGCAAATTAAAGGTCTGGATTCAGAGAGAAGTGTTAAAGTTATCAAAAAAGTCACAAGAGATTTCGAAGAAATGACACAATTTAAAAAAGTCGAATGCATCAGTATGCTTGAAGCTGTTCAGAAAGGTCTGAAAATGATACACTTGATCCCAACATTGTTTACTCAACATTAAAAATATTATTGCAAAGAAAACATTTGATTTAATAAACATTTAATTTATTATAATTAATTTTTTATTACAGTATAGTAAAAAATGCTATAAATAAATTATTATATTTTATTAAAATGTGACTTTTAATAGTAAGTGAATAAAATAAATCAGGAATTGGGAAAGAAATAAGGTTAATTAAAAATAATGAAAATTACAAGTTTAAGGTTAATAAAAAGTGACAATGGGCGAGTTTGTCCCCCACTCATGATCAGAAAAAATTGTGAGCTTTTCAAAATTGAGAAAAGAATTAGTCCAAAATTCAATTAAAATGGATACCGCAGATACAACACCAAATTTTAGACAATTTTTATTGAAAATTATGGGTTTTTAAATTTTTGGAGTTCATTTTTTTCAATGGAGAGTATTAAAATCAGACCAGCGACAACTAGTGATATTCCAATCATCCGTCAACTTGCTTCGACAATATTTCCAGCAACATACAAAGAGATCCTCACTCCTAAGCAAATTGACTACATGATGGATTGGATGTATTCTGAAAAAAGCCTTATAAAGCGGATGGTTGACTTGAATCATAAATATTACCTTCCATTTGTTAATGATAATCCTGCCGGCTACCTTTCCATTCATCAAGAAGGCCCAGATTTATTCCATCTCGAAAAAATTTACGTTCTCATAGATTATCAGCATACTAAGCTTGGTAAGGCCTTGTTCTTACATGTTAAAGAGATGATTCACTCATTTCATCCAGAACCATGCAAAATGGAATTGAATGTCAACCGTAATAACAAAGCATTGGGATTCTATCAGCATATGGGCATGAAAATCGCTCGTCAAGGCGATTTCCCTATTGGAAATGGGTATTATATGAATGATTATATCATGTCAATAGATTTAGAGTAAATTTCGGATTTTTTATTATTTCAATTTACTTAAAAGTATCAAAGTAGTTTGAATTTTACTTCTAAGACGTTATCGCATAGCTTTTATTATGACCACATCAAATATCAAAATATTCTTCCAAAACATAGATAATTGACTCTTGAGATACTTGAGCTTAACTTTATTAATGTGTAATTTAAGAATAAAAAATACTTTTTTTAATTACAAGTTAGAGGGGGGCACAAACTTACCCAGTGAGGTGAAGTGAAAAGTGACAAGTTTACATGTCAGAAATGTAAAGTGTCAGATTTAAAACAAAAAATGGATTAATTTATTATTATATGATAGAGAGATTTGGTAAGTTAATATCAAATTTGTAAGTAAGGGAAAAAAAAGTAAGAAAGAAAGAAAAAATTTTTAAAAAATAAAAAGCCACTCGCTTCGCTCGCGGTTGACAAAAAGAACAAATTCGAAAAATAATTGTATGAAATTACGAAACTAAGCCGCTCGCTTCGCTCGCGGCTTAAGAAAAGAACAGATTCGAAAAAAGATTGTATGAAATTACGAAACTAAGCCGCGAGCGAGGCGAGCGGCTTAAGAAAAGAACAGATTCGAAAAAAGATTGTACGAAACTACTAAACTAAGCCGCGAGCGAAGCGAGCGGCTTAAGTAAACAACATATTTCAGATTATCGATACTAAAATTTTTTTATTTTATTACATTTTTTTTGCATTTTTTTAAAGCTTCTTAACTTAAATCATGGAATGTCTCAAAGACAAAAGTAGCATACAGCATGTAAAGCTAAAGAAAGATAATCATAATTAATACCTTAATTTTTAGTATTACGCATTTTTAGGTGCAAAATTTAAAAACATTCTAATACAATAGAGCAGTTTCCAAAAGTAGCATACAGCATGCAAAGCTAAAGAAAGATAATCATAATTAATACCTTTAAAGTTTAAAATCTTGATTTTTTTTAAAATCAAATATTTATAACTTTAATACATACAGCTTAAACCTTATACTTGTTTTCTCTTGTGAGAAAGCAATCTTACAAAGCTAACAATCCTAAAAAATAAAGAATTAAAATTTAATAATTTAATCTAAAATTAAAATCAAAATTAAATAAAATGAGTTCTTTGTAATAATACTTTCAAGGTAGGATATATTTTAGTGGGATCTATTGAGTCATCACTAACAGCATTGAGCAATCTATTGAGCATTGAAATACTCTCGATTTTTCTTTGTCTTTTTACATCAATTTCTGCGTTAGTTGCTTTTTCCATGATCCTAATGACACGGTCATCTGCTGGATTTTGATCAATTTTGAGTTTGATAACGAAAGATGGTATCACTTTTGTATAAATTTCTATAATAACATCATCAATTCTGAGATTTTTTCGATCAGGAAAATAGTCATGTTTGAGTGTTCTAAAATGAGCTTCGGCAATATTGTTAGTTGCGTCGCCTTCACGCCTGTCACGAGCAATCCATCTTGATATGTTGTAACGCCATTGTCTGTTAAAGTATTGAGATGCTGTTGGATCTGTGTCGAGCAACTCCAGAACTTGATCATAGGCAGCATTTGCTTCTTCCTCATGTTCTGCATCTAATTTGAAGACTAAATCCTTCATCAAATTATAGAATTGTTCAAATTTTTCTTGAGAAGAAAACTTATTTGATTTGCGAAGAATTGCACGAAGAACATGTACTCCGCACCAAAGTATTTGAGCTTGTGGAATGCTTTCTTCTATTGCTTGAGCTATCTGTGGAGCACAGTCCATGCTAATGTATTCTGGCTCAATTGTTACCCATCTGAGATAGGCGCACACGCAAACTTGAATGTTTTGATAAGTGTCTGGTTGACAAAAGAAATATAAAAAAGGGAAAATGTGAAAATCTTTGATTTTGCCAGTAAATGCATACAATGGAATGTTTGATCGCAACAATTTATAGGTGCTGTCTATATGAAATGTCTTGATACTATGCGCATAAGCTTTGCCTTCAAAAGGCGCGTAATAGAAACACATATTATTGTCTGAGACTTCAAATGCAATGAGATCATCTGGAGATTCTTCTTGTACTGTCTGAACAAAGATTTGCAATGACACAACATCGTCAGGAGAATATCTAGTTTGAAGAGCATGTATTCTCTCTGCAAATCGTTTGATTGCACGTGGTTTTTGAGCGTACATCTCTGGAATGGACGGACCTGTAAGAGGAATTTCAAGATCTTTGAATGCATTTAGCTGTGCTATCGCTCTTTGATTGTCATCTGTTTGGAAGTAATGTTCTAAATATTTGCGATAAAAGACAGACGAATATTGACTTTTGTCATTTGGGGCGGAATGATCATGTTCTTCAACTATTTTGATTAGTTTGTATTTATTTTGATCCAAGATTGCAACATTAAAATGTGCAGGACATTTTGGATATTTGCAGTGGAATGAAATCTGAGATCTTTCTTTCCTGACACGTTCACCATATCCATACTGTGCTTGTATTTCTTGTTTAACTCCAAATTTACAAAGATCCATAACAGTAAAGATAGTTTCTTCTTCTAATTCCATTTGAAATTGAAATGAAAATTAAAAATTCAGAAATTTGAATAGATTTGGTCTGTAATTAAATGAGAATAGCAGTTTGTTCGTCATTGTTTGAGGCAAGAGTATTATAGGAATATTATATGATGGATTTGAGTTGCATATAAAGAGTGCAAAAGGATAAAGAGAGAAATTTTGTTAGATTAAATTATTAAATTTTAATTCTTTATTTTTTAGGATTGTTAGCTTTGTAAGATTGCTTTCTCACAAGAGAAAACAAGTATAAGGTTTAAGCTGTATGTATTAAAGTTATAAATATTTGATTTTAAAAAAAATCAAGATTTTAAACTTTAAAGGTATTAATTATGATTATCTTTCTTTAGCTTTGCATGCTGTATGCTACTTTTGGAAACTGCTCTATTGTATTAGAATGTTTTTAAATTTTGCACCTAAAAATGCGTAATATTAAAAATTAAGGTATTAATTATGATTATCTTTCTTTAGCTTTACATGCTGTATGCTACTTTTGGAAACTGCTCTATTGTATTAGAATGTTTTTAAATTTTGCACCTAAAAATGCGTAATATTAAAAATTAAGGTATTAATTATGATTATCTTTCTTTAGCTTTACATGCTGTATGCTGCTTTTGGAAACTGCTCTATTGTATTAGAATGTTTTTAAATTTTGCACCTAAAAATGCGTAATATTAAAAATTAAGGTATTAATTATGATTATCTTTCTTTAGCTTTACATGCTGTATGCTACTTTTGTCTTTGAGACATTCCATGATTTAAGTTAAGAAGCTTTAAAAAAAATGCAAAAAAAATTGAATACTTTACTGGCTGGGCAAATTTGTCGCCGCCCCTTACAAGTTACAGTTTTATTCATATATTTCATTTATTTCTTCTTCTCGGCTGGCTTCTTATCAGCTGGAGCGGCAGCAGCTGGAGCCTTGGCATCGCCTGCAGCTGGGGCAGCAGCTGGCTTGCCCTGACCAGCATGGCCGTGGGCAACTGGAGCCTTCTTGACTTAGACTTCCTTGTGTGATGTGTGGAGTGGGTCTACACCGTGGATCTTTTCATGGTGGTTTGTCTTCTCATCAACTTCCTTCTGGTGGAGGGCGAGGATCTTGCGGGAAGCAGAGTTAGCACCATGCTCAACAGATGACATTTCTTTCGAAATGAACTGAGATATGCTCTCACAAAACGATTCAGAGAATTAAACAACTTTCAAAATCTAGATAATTCCAAAAATTTCTTAATATTATTGATTGTCAAACATAATAGAGGCGGTATTTCCAGTAAAATGTCGATAGCCATTTCAAAAAATATCTTTCTGAATTTTTCACTTCCATCGTTAATTCCAATGAAATTTCACTCATAATGCCTCAAATGATTATATCCAACGTATGATCTAGATTGGTCCGCTGGGATCTATTGCTGCTGAAGACCTTTGGCAAATTTCAACCAAGAAAAGGTTATTTCAACGATAGGTACGAATTTGCGAAAATAGGACAGGCATAATATGCATCCAATGTAGAATCTAAATAATAGAAAATCAACGAAATTTGGAATTTCGAAATCGGAAAAAAATCTGCTCACCAATTGAAGAATTCTGAGAGATTTTCAATGTACTGATTTGGAAATTTTGGGGAAAGCAAAAACTTTGAATTATAGGCTTACTATGTTTGTTAATCAATAATATTAAGAAATTTTTGGAATTATCTAGATTTTGAAAGTTGTTTAATTCTCTGAATCGTTTTGTGAGAGCATATCTCAGTTCATTTCGAAAGAAATGTCATCTGTTGAGCATGGTGCTAACTCTGCTTCCCGCAAGATCCTCGCCCTCCACCAGAAGGAAGTTGATGAGAAGACAAACCACCATGAAAAGATCCACGGTGTAGACCCACTCCACACATCACACAAGGAAGTCTAAGTCAAGAAGGCTCCAGTTGCCCACGGCCATGCTGGTCAGGGCAAGCCAGCTGCTGCCCCAGCTGCAGGCGATGCCAAGGCTCCAGCTGCTGCCGCTCCAGCTGATAAGAAGCCAGCCGAGAAGAAGAAATAAATGAAATATATGAATAAAACTGTAACTTGTAATTAAAAAAAAGTATTTTGTGTTATAATCTATAATAATCAACTTTAATCATGAATGCAATATCTATTGTCGTGTGTGAATGCAAATTTGTAATAATATCTATTCATTCAAGATTTATATCTCTTATCACAACTTGAATCGAAATCCATTGAAGTTATATATGAAATTTCTATATTAATTAGTGAACCGAGTCCAGTTAACTTATAATTCTTAAAGATAATCATAAAATTTTGAAATTATTTTGAAAAATCTTCAAAAATTATATTAGCTTGTTATAAAAATTAGAAAACTATGCTTTATAATAAAATTACAATTTAATACATTACTCATCTTTGGAAACCCAAGTTTCATACAATCTGATAACAGAAATAGCGGACAAACCTAATATTGACAATATCCATACAACATGTGAACCTTTCATCTTCATTCTAATCAGTGCAGTTCCCCAAACATTTTTGAATCTTGGCTGACAAAGCTGTGAAGACATTGAAAGTCTTACAGATTGAGGATCATCTATCTTGAATGCGGCCACACAACCTGTTTCTCTATTTGCTGTGACAACAATTGGATATTCCGTATCATTTAGACCGAGAGCACGAACTACATGCATATTGTGCTTGGCAATGGCCCACCCCATCGATGTATTTGTACAGTACATCTGTGAATACTTAATTAGTTGATTGGATCTGTCTACTGGTAAATCTCGTTCATATTCGAATAAAACCATTGTGCGTCTAGCGGATGTCTCTTCATACCATTCATTGTATGTATATTTATGCATATGGCCGAATCTGTAGTCGTTGAGGAAACCTGTAATTTCGGATTTAACGTGAACGCCTTTAAATTTTGTAGAACAGTAAGGAGATCTGTAGGCCGTAAGAGTGGATTCTTTTATGGTTGGATTGATCGAATAAACAAACGAATCGTTGTAAATTTTATATTTTATCATTTCGCTTTTAATAGACTCTAAAATCGGATCATTTTCTGTTTTAGATTCAACATAGAACATTGTTCCTCCAGTTAATGTCGTCTCCAAAGCTTTGTTAAACTCGTTTGTGTTATTTATTTGAGTAAATTTATGATCTGTGTAGTATTTGATTGCTTGCTCCCATGAATTTTGATCTCTTGAACTTATTTCAGGCCAATATCTTGGCTTTTCTCCTACAATAATAACATATGATGGATAATATTGAACATGGAACTTACTACATACAAATTCAATATCACAATTGATATGTGTGAATAATACATCTTTACGCGTTGGATTCAAATTTGAATATGCTTCGATTCTTTCTGGATGTCCATGACAATGATCGCAAGAAGGGCGATATAGTAATGTAACTATTGGAGTTGTGTATGATTCCTTCACTTTTTGATTAAATGTGCGCGAAGAATATTTATACCACAATGAGTTAGTGAAAAAAGGAAGAAGCAAAAACATTTTTTTTTCAGTTCTTTCTATAGGTGCTTCACGCCGATAGAGTCAAGACGGTAATTGTAAAATCACGGCATCACAAACCATTATTGGAATACAGTCCTTCCATTGAAAACGAATTTTATGTCAAATTAAAATTTTTTGTTGATGTCCAAGGGAGAAACTAATCAAACTCATTATGACAAATTGATGGAGATTTTTACAGGATATAATGATGTCTACAATGCTTTGTACAGGCTGAAAACAAATGACGAAGAAAAATTAAACGCAATTTACAACAAAATCAAACAAAACTTGATTGACTTTTATCAAATAACACCAGGTAAAATTATCAATGAAATATCCGAGCTCTCATTTTATAACAACCGCTACATGAAGTCATATTTAGCAATTGTCAAACTAATTGTTGATGAATTCCATCTAAATCAGGTCAACGAAATCAGCGATGTTTTTAATTACCTTTTCTATAAAGAATACAATATAGTATTGAATGAAGACGGGAAAAAAGTTTTAACTATTTTGAACATTCTCATTATTCATCTGATATTCACGAACAAAAAACAATTTACAGATCTATTATGGATGATGACAAAATATCATTAATATTTTTTACAGAAGGAGAAGAATTTGATAAAAATCAAAAATTAAAAAGTAATTTATATCCATATTCAAGAGGAGGTTTTTCGTTACTTGAATTATGTTGTTATCATGGATCTGTTGATTGCTTTAAGCTTTTAAGAACCAAATTTCAATCAGAAATCACTCCAGATTGTCTTAGATTTTCATTTTTGAGTGGAAACAAAGACATTATGAATGAATGCTTGAAAGTACAAAAACCAGATTATTATTGCATGGAATATGCAATTATATCACATAATATTGATTTTGTCACATTTTTGATGAATGAACACAACATAGAAATTGATTTAGAAATGTGCTCTCAATACAAGAATCTTCAATCATTTTTAGTTTACTTGGATCAAACAAATGATATCAACACATGCTTTGTTTATTCTCGTCATTTCCATCTTTCATCACTTTTTGAATATTTTATTTCAAATGGTGCAGATATCAATGCTAAAGACGAAGTTGGATGTACCCCTCTTCATCTAGTAGCCAGTGAAAATAACATTGAAATGGCAGAAATTCTTATTTCAAATGGAGCAGATATCAATGCTAAAGACGGAGTTGAAGCGACCCCTCTTCATTATGCAGCCAGTAATAATAGCAAAGAAACTGCAGAAATTCTTATTTCAAGTGGTGCAGATATTAATGCTAAAGACGAAAGTGGATGTACCCCTCTTCATAATGCAATCAGATTCATTGGAAAAGATACAGCAGAAATTCTTATTTCAAATGGTGCAGATATCAATGCTAAAGACATATATGGATGTACCCCTCTTCATTTAATAGCCAGTAATAATAGCAAAGAAACTGCAGAAATTCTTATTTCAAATGGAGCAGATATCAATGCTGAAAACAAAGATGGATCTACCCCTCTTCAAATTGAGGCCAGTAATAATAGTAAAGAAACAGCAGAAAATCTTATGCTATTATAAAGAGTCTCATGTTACAAACTGTTTCATACAAAAAAAGCTTCCAATAAAATGACAGGAAAATGACAATTAAAATTTACTTTATTATCCACTTTTTTTTCTATTGAAAAAGAAGAAAGAAACTCAATGCCCATTTTGAGATTATATGAGAAGAATGTTTCCAAGAAGCGATTTTCTCAACCTCTTTTTTCAATGAATGATCTCACAGTTCGTGTCCTTTGATGATATTCTTAGAAATTTTCACCTTTCTTTGTTCTTTCGATCGAATGAAAAAATCTGAAAGAAACATTCTTTGCAGATATAACGAAAACAACGTAAAATAAAATAAGTTTCTTCATAAAGTTATTTCAAATTATCAAATATGTAATCAGAAAATGTTAAAAATGCTTCGTATTTGTCATATGTCAATAGAAATCCCTTAATTAGGACATAAGATATAATAACAATTCTCAATTCATGCTATTATTAACGTATTGTTGTCTATCATCCATACAAAAGGGATTTACTCATACATATTTAGATTTTAAGGATTCCATATGCAAAAAGTCAATTTCATATATAACACATTCTTCACAAAATAAATAAGGTTGGTATGATTTTAATTCATAAGGTAGTCACAAAATCTAAGTAGTGAGGCTCTCAAAAATTGAACCGTACTCCATACAAAATTTGTGTACCCGCACTACTTAGATTTTGTGGCCTTCAATTGAGAGGTTAGTTTTGATAGAGCACGTTATAAAATTAAAAGGGAAAAATAAATAAAATTTAAACATTTAATTATATATAATGTAAGGAGTGTAATTCCAAATTTTCTAAAAACTATTCAAATTTGAGCATTTTTTGGAAATAGTAAATCTAATATGTACATCTAATAACAACATGATTCATCACCTTTTCAAGCTCTGCAGTCAATTTTTTGAAATTTGATTGAAATAAATGTAGCAAAAATTACATTTCATTAGGGAATATATGAGTTTCTCTGGAAACAGGCTGATAAATTTTAAATTTTGTCCAATCAACATGAATGCATTGAGAAATTTGGATTGATTTTCTGGTAGAATCTGGAACAATTCAACCATGTATAAATGGATCATGTAATCATCATGAAATGTTAGTGTTAGAATTCAAAAGAAACAGAATGAGTGGAAATCAAACACAATCTGAATAATTTTAAACGTATACAATCTTTAAGTTTGTATTTTGAATTCTACATATATGATTGTGTAATTCGTTCTTTCAAATTTTCGGATTCAGGCATGTTTTGATAAAATTCATTCCCAAAAACGTCAATTAACAATTAAATTTAGTGTATTTTAAATATATATACGTATTATATTTTATAAATTATATTAAATTCGCAAAATTTTAAGTTTTAAACAAAAATAAAAAATGTTCAAAATATGAAATTATGCATAGGATATTAAAATTTACATGTTAGCAATTTTTTTGAATTGCTTTCAATTTTCATATTGAAATTTTTAAGATTTTTTTCTGAAATAATAAGCAAGAATATCAACCTAAATAATATTAAATTCCATGCGTTAATTTCCCCTCAAAAGTCATTGACCGCCTCTCAATCTAGATTTTGTGAGTACTTTATGATAGTCTAGGTGACCAAGCAATAAATCAAGGATTTTATATCGATTGAATGTACTTTTAGCTACGTTATTGTAAATATCTCGGGTAATATATGATGAGTAATTTGAATAAGTAACAAATGAATTTTGGATATATAAAACATGCGTCAATACATGAAAGACGAACAATTCTATGATGAGTGTTATGATTTTATGTGTTTTTAAAATTCTTTTGATATATTTTTGTATAATATGGTCATTAAATGAATACAATTCATTCAATTTACAAGTATACAAGGATATCTTAATAGACCACTTGCCATCTATATCAAAAAAAGTTTACATCCTCTCACTTTTGATCCGTGAACAACTTTGACATGACATACCTCAAATTCTCGATCACACATCATTTCAATTTGTAATCCCGTCATTTCCATCGATTTCCATTAATTGTTAATAAGCCAAAGATATTTTTATTCAAATAAGGGAACCATCCAAAATTTTATTCATTCCTCTGAAATTTATATCGTATGTGTTTTATCCAAGGAAGTTTTGATCGAAAATTTGAACTCCATTACTTGATACAGACAAATTTGTTCCTCACCCACTTATTTCTCAGAATTTTTTCTAAATCATTCATTTTTTAAAAATGAGCCATCTCCAATGTCAGGCGATGAATTATGAGTGGGGCAAAATCGGCAAAGACTCTTATATTCACAAATTATTAACATGCAGCGGAAATACAGACCTTAAAGATGATTTGCCATACGCCGAATTATGGATCGGCGACCATGACAAAGCTCCTTCAAAATTAGAGAATGGCAATCGCCTTAAAGATGATCCAAAGTTTGGAGAGATCAAGTATTTGTTCAAGGTTCTCTCTGTAAACAAACCACTATCTATTCAAGTTCACCCATCTAAGGAACAAGCCATCGAATTACACAAACTTGATCCAAAGAACTATCCTGATAACAACGATAAGCCTGAAATGGCTGTAGCTATTACACAATTAAACCTTCTTTACGGTTTTCGTCCATTTGAAGAGATTAAGCAGAATTTACAGCAATTCTCCGAATTTTCAAAGGCTGTTTCTGCAGACGTTGCCAACAAATTTGTAGAAAACCCAACATCAGAAAACCTTGAAAATCTTGTTCTTTCAATTCTTACCAAATCCCGCGAAGAGATAAGCCAGTTGGCTTCTGAGTTCAATGCAAAGGTAAATAACGGCACATATACCTTTGAATCAAAAGTTTTGAAAGCAATCAATGATATTAACAAGCATTTCCCAGGCGATGTTGGTATGTTCTTCCCACTTATCCTTAATGTTGTTGAATGCGCACCAGGCAGCTCATTATACATTCCTGCCGGCGTTTTGCACACTTATCTCGAAGGAGACCTCTACGAAGCCATGCTTTTATCAGATAACGTTGTTCGCGCAGGAATGACACCAAAGTTCATCGATATAAAGTCTATCAAGAAGACTGTGAATTTCGTTCCTCAAACACCTTTCATTGTTCAGCCAAACGAAGAGAAATGTGTCAAGTCATATATTCCTCCACATCCGGCTTTCTGCATCAAATACATTACTGTTCCTGTTAATGAATCCGCTGATATCGAAATCAAATCTCCAGCTTGCGGAATTGTTCAAGAAGGAAACGCAACAATTGATGGAAAGATTGCAGGAAGAGGTGTTGTTGTCGCAATTCCAGCAGGAAAGGTTCACATCAAGAACGAATCAAACGAACCATTCATTTGCATTGCTTGCCAATCTAACTAACCATATACTTCCTTATTCTGTAAATATTTAAATACTATCATATATTAAAAATCTCGATTTTTTTGAAATTTTATCTTAGATTTTAGAAATTTCATGATTTAATCATAATAACAAAACATTTTATTATAAAATAATGCAATGCATTTTCATCTTTCTTTCATTTTCTCTAAAATATTGAAAGAGATTTTGAATTTTTGATTTTTAATGTATTGGATGAGACATAACTTATAGTTATAAAGTGTAAAGTCGATTTAATTTCAAAATATTAAACTTTGCTTGATATTGGGGAATATTTTTTGATCATCTCAGATGAAAAACAACTCTTCGTTATGAATTCATTTATCATACTTAAAAATAAGATAAATTTTAAATATGTAACACTAAATTTATTTTTTTATTTAATAAACAATTTCATTCATCCTCAAATTCTTTTTTGAGGGCTTCTTGAGCTTTTTCTTTCATTTTCTTTGATCGTTCTCTTACGGTTTGTTTCAGAAATTCCATATCTTCTCTTCCTTCACGCCAAGCTTGTCTTGTTTCATTAATAAACCCAGACGCTTGCTTTTTAACAGCATTGATCGCGTTTAATACGTCTTCTTTGTTGTATTTCTTTTGGTATATTATTTTCTTTGCGACAGTTGAAGTAGAATTGGTGGAATTGGCATCTGTTGAGTTTACTTCAACTTCTACAGGTACCACTTCTTCAATTGTGTTGTTAATTATCTGATGAAACGTATTTGTTCCGATTTTCCTCAAACTCTTCTTGTAATCGCGAACAAGTTTCTTTACACCAGTCTTAAGTTCCGATTTGAGCAGTTTGAAAGTTTCGCTGAAAGTCATATTCGAATAAACGTTGTCATTTGATTTTCTGAAGGTATAAAGCATCAAATTTGTTTCATTTATGAGTTGCTGAGCAAAGATATTGATCTTTTGGAAGGGGTCGCCACCAATAATATCTTGAAATGTTTGTAATCGACTGTGTGTAGCAGCAACTGCGAAATTTGAGGCTGATTTCGATAGATCTACAAAGGCATTCAATAAGTGAGGTATCAATTCGGTCTTAGAATACGTAATTTCGTCTTCATTTTCAATTTCTGTTTCATTGTTAGTGGAATTGTCACGTGGCTCAAGGATATCGGCATCAATAAGTGCATCTGTGATGGATTTCTTTGTAGTATTAATGAATAGGTGATAGAAACCCAAGAATTTTTCCTTATTTTTTACGAATTCTGCATGAGATTCGTTCATTAGTTGATCGATAGGCTGTGTTGAGATTCTATCATTCAATATTTGATCATAGATCTCTACAATGTGGTCGAGGTTGAACTGTTTAATAGTTTCGGATAATTTTTCAGCAATTACTTGAGATGATTGTAGAACATTCAATTGCACAATCGCTGCGAGGTTTTGTAAGCAGTCAAGCGCTGTAAGGAAGTTTCCACGTGAAGATATTAAAGGATCATGGAATAAAGACCTATTTAGCACGTCTCTGAAGGCTTGAGTAATATTCTGAACAATAATTGTTTTACATGTATACTCTTCTTTGGCTTTTTCAAGTGCTTGATCTAAATAATAAATAAAATCTTTGACAAGTGTACCATCTCTCTCAGGTGGGAACTCTTCTAGTTGGGTTCTATATGTTGTCTGCTGTGTTTCATTCTCATTACAATAAGAGAAAATTGAGAAAAGAAAGATCAGAAACATCAAAATTTGACAAAATCTTATTGTAAAGTGACAAAAATCTCATTATCAAACTTACGATTATTTTTGATTCAAATTCTACTCATTAGGATAAAAATAATCATTGATAAGATAATTCAGCGTCATAGAGAATATTGCCAATACTGTATTGTCATTTCCAACAAATTGAAGTAATATTGAAGGAATTTGATATTTTGATTCTATCTCTATCATCATATTTCAATCATTTTGAAAACAACTATTTCTAAAATGCAAAGTTAAACTTAAACAGATGATAATTACTTCATAATGCATCAAAATAACTATGCTTCGGGATATCTTTGATCCCAAATTTAGATAATTATTTAATATTCTTTTAGAATAAGTATACAAAAGTTGCTTTCATGTTCTTATAAGGCCTAGTAGTTTTGATTGGACCTCGTTTTTCAAAGAAGTAAAGAAGAATAATTGAAAAATCAATAAAGGTTCAACAAAAATAGATGAATTGAAGTCTATTCTTTTTAGATAGCAATTGGTAACATTTCTTTTTCCTATATTTGCCAAATTTAGTTAAAATTATGATACTTTCCCTTCTTTTTCTGATCTTTTCAAAATTTCAATGACTATCAAAATAAGGTTACATAAAAATCATCCAAAGTGCATTACTTATACAGGAGTTGCATAAACTTTTTTATGTGCTGGTGATCACTTTCTATTTGAATTAAAATGTAAATCATTCAAAGTTGGGGATCAAGTATCTAATGTTTTATTTCTTCCTCAATAAAGTGTATTCTGATGAAATCAGTCCATCAGGTATACCATCATCTGAATTCCCGTCAATTATTAACAAATTATTTAATGAAAACGTTGGAAAAAATTTAATTGGAGGCTCTGTCATCATTTCTAAGAATGGCAACAAGATATTTGAAACTTCACAAGGATATGCCGATTATTATTCCAAATCCCCTGTTACTAATGAATCTCTCTTTGAATGGGGATCAATCACAAAAATTTTGACACATATATCAATAATGCAACTTCAAGAGCAAGGAAAGGTAGATTTAGATGTGGACATTGAAAATTACCTTGGCAAAAACTTTTTCAGAAGAAGAAACTATGATGATAAAATTACTTTATTTCATTTGATGAATCACATAAGTGGATGAGATGAAATCATTGATTCACCTGTTATTGATTCAGATCCATATGAAGTTGATTTAGAAGATGAATTAAAAGACAGAGAACCACAACAATTTGCAAGACCAGGAAAAATTACTGCTTATTCAAGTTACGGAGTTTCTGTCGAAGGATTGATTGTTTCTAAAGTTTCTAAAATGAGTTACTCTGATTACGTTCATAAAAACATTTTAGATAAATTAGGAATGACATCTACTTCTGTTGATCCGAGTAGAAAAGATGTTAAATTTAATGTATTTGACAAAAAAGCATTTGGATACAAGAAATCAACAACAGGATTCGATAAACAAACAAATTACACAGGTATTTTATATATCCTTCTGGTTGCGCATTAGGAACCATTGATGATTTATCTAAATTAGCAAATGCATTAACACCAAATCCTTCCATCAAATGTCCTCTATTTGAAAAGAATGAAACATTGTATGAATTCTTGAAAACATCGAGTGCTACTGCAAGAAATGGAATAGGAATGGCTCACGGAAAATGGGAAGAATTATATACAAATGGAACAAGAGGTGTTGAACATGCAGGATTTAGTCCAGGATATTCAGCAATGATTTCGATTTTACCTGAATTAGGTTGGAATTTCGTTGCTGTTGCAAATATTGATGGCGATAAATTATTGACATTATCGTTACATAGAAGATTATGGGGATTATATAGGCCATTAAATAACACACAAATATCTGATCAGATTGAAGGGATTATATAGATCAAATAGATTGATATATCATGGATATATGAGTCATATCCAAAAGTTACAAACATTTGAAATCAAATATGATAAGGATAAAAACCAATTCACATTCTTAAACCAACATTTTGTTAAGTCCTTAGATAACTTATATTCAAACATTGATATGAAAAATGATAGTGCTGTAGGAACATATCACATTAGTTTTGTTTATGAAGAAAATACAAGTGACATCGAAGGAATTTTCATGGAAGGAAGTCCAATGACAAAAGTTCCAAAATCGGAAATTTCATTTATTAAATATACTGTTGATGTGATATATGGATTAGGTTTATTCGCTTTAATTGTTTGCATTATTTCATTAACAATTGTTTTAACACTTGTTTTCAAGAAGAAGGATTTGAAGCCATTGAAGTATTTGATTGTATGTTCAGTCATTAATTTCTTATGCATTATAGAGCCAGTTTTCTTATTCGTTACAAAATCAATTAACAATTTTGTTGACTTAGAATGGAAGATTCAATTATTAGTTTTCATTATTATTGGAGTTTCTACATTGAGATTACTTTTTAGTGTAATATCCATTGTTATTGTTTGCGTGATTATTTATGATAATTCTCTTGAAGGACCTAAATCAATTCAATTTGAAACAGTTGATTTGATTAATCCTAAAAACGATGAAACTGGAAATCATCAGTTACCTGTTTGCATACAGTATGTTGCATATTCTTGCCCATTTATTACTCTTTTTGTCAGTGTTGTATTAACTATCTTGGGAATGATTTTGGGATTATATAAAGTAAACTAAATATAGTCTTATATAGAATTTTACTCTCCTTTCATTTTTAAGTAAATGGCATCAATATCACTTTCTTTTTTTGAACAATTGAGATAAGCATATTGGCGTTTATATCCAATAATAGGAGAAAAAGGTTATTATGTATATATTCATTCGACAAAGATTTAATGAAAATTTTTTTCCAGCTTTTCTGGATGTCGGAAAGTAAAAATATTTCGAATAAAAAACGTATTTTCTTATCAATTTTATATGCTTTCTTCGGAAAATATAAAATGTTACCGAATTTCGAATATATTGCCAGTCACATTCATGAATATATAGAACAGGAAAACCTTTTTAACATATTCGATGAGACTGATATAAAAACAATATTAAAATCCACAAAATTAACTCCAAAAAACTACAATTCTCTTCTTCAACAGGGAAATGATAAATTTAGTGTATCGAAATTATACAAACTTACTCAAGATGCTAGTGTTTGCATGAATGATTATCAAGATATAGTTTCAGTTTTAAATTCAATGAAAAGTTATTTTAAAATTCGACTTCTAGACAATATCCTTGATACATTAGAACAAATTAATAAACATAATAATGAATTACTTAATTCTGTACTCGAACAAAATGAATCAAATCTTCAAAAAATTTCGAAACTTGAACATGAAATTGAACACTTACAAAACGAAGTTAAAAGAAAGGATGCAGAAATATCTCGCCTTAATGAACATAAAGAACATAAAAGAGAAATTTTGTCAAAAATATCATCATTAAAAACAACAAATGATTTTGAAAGTATCTACAAATTTTATAATGATCTTTGTAAAGAAGGAAACCAAAAGATGATTAAAAAAGCATGCGACGAAGGACTGTTAGAAAAGAAAACTAAGGAAGGCGGCAATGTACTTCATCAAGCATCGTATAGAGGTGATCTTTTGCTTGTTAAATCTCTCATTGAATGTGGTGTTGACAAAAATGCGAAGAATGATTTCGGAAATTCTCCGCTTATTATTGCATCATGGAGAGGTCATTTTGAAATTGTAAAATATCTCATCTCCATTGGATGTGACAAAGAAGCTAAGAACAATAAAAGCAGCACTGCTATGATTCGTGCAGCAATATTTGGCAGGCTTGATGTTATTCAATATCTTGTCTCTGTTGGAGCTGACAAAGAAGCAAAAACAAATTCATCATGTACACCACTCATGAAAGCAGCAAGTAATGGACATCTTGAAGTTGTTAAATACCTAATCTCTATTGGATGTGACAAAGATGCAAAAGAAGCAAGTGACTGGACACCTCTAATTTTTGCTGCAGAAAATGGTCATCTTGAAGTTGTCAAATATCTTATCTCAATTGGAGCTAATAAAGAAGCTCAAACCAAAAGAGGACAAACCGCACTGACCTGCGCAACAAATAAAGGTCATAATGAGATTGTCAATTATCTTAATTCTATTTGATTGTACAATAAAAACATTAGAATAAAATAGTTTTTTTTATCGATACTATTGACTTAAAAATATGAACATTTGAATAATTATCGCTTCTCTCATTCAGTGTTTTTTTGCATTTCCATCCAAAAATGTTTTTTGTTAAAAATTCTGATGAATTATATATAATCATTATAAATTAGTTTGCCAATGTATCATATATTACTTAATACAGTCTTTGTTATATATTAAAAACAGTTATATTTATCAGCAAGAGAAGATTTCACAATTTGCATTCAAAGTTAGAAAAAGAAGAAGAAGTTAATAAAGATAAATTTTATATACAAACAAATAATAAATATATATGTAAAGAAAAAGCAATTAACTTTCTTCATCAATAAAAACTGCGTTTTTCGGGTCAAATTGACAAACGAAAGCCTCTTGTGTGGTTAAATCATTCATTACAATCCTCTGTCCATCTTTTTCGAAGAAAACAGTCTCCTCTTGTGATACTTCTTGTTGATTTAAATGAATGAGGGATAATATTAAGTATTGTGAGAAATATATGATGTCATACATAATTCTCATTGGCATTCCATTAGTAATTTTCACTAAATCTTTGATATCAGACATATTAACCTGTAATTTGCAGAAATCATCTGAAGGAATAATGACTTCTGTGAAGTGATCAATGAATCTAGTGAAATTAATGAAGGCTGCATTGGTCCGATCGTTTTCGCTGGGGTGGAAGTAGTCAAAAACTTCTGTCAACGAAATAATTAAAAGGAAAAGCCTTGCATCTTGGACAGACAGCTGGGATGAGTAATTATCAAGCCTCAGAACCGACAAAATCTTGTTAAATTTGAGTAAACTCGATCTTGGAATACATTCTTGTCGGAAAATCATGAATTGCGAGACAAAACTGAGATTCTCGACAATGATATGGTCAGGACATCCAATGTTCGTGTAGATTATTGGCTTTGGAACTGATTTTGGTGAGATATTTGCTTTATCAGGTAAAAGTGCTCCTTTTATGGCCAAAACGTTCTTGTATTTTTGCATTTCGATTAATAGAAGGAAATGGAGATGTGAAAACCTTTCATGGATCATATAGATGATGAGTTTTTGTACTTTTTGAATAGCTTTATGATTCCTTTCATCTGTTCTCATTTCTCCAAGAACCTTTAGTAATAAAAACCCACACCTTCCCAAAAATGAGTTGGTTTCGATGTAATTATTTAGACTAATGTAATAATATGGCTTATAATAGCTAATAGTAATGAGTTCGCGTAAAAATTTAGTGCACCTTATAATCGATATTTCGAGATTATTAATTTTATCTTCAATTTGGCGCTCTTGTAACTGTTGTTGAGTTAATTTTTTATTTTTGGTGAAACGGGGTTTAGTATCTCCTTGAAATAATTTCCAATAATCATTCAAAACCGATTTGGCCATTTTGTCGCGGGCTGATTGATCTGGCCGGCCAAGTGGATATGTAAGCTTTATGTATCGTTCAGTTCGTTGGCGAGTAATAACACCGTTTGTCATAGGATTACAGATAACAGAATAAAGACGTTTTGCCCCTGATTTTGGAATAATTTCTGGTTCGAATAATTTTGAATTGTATTTGATTTTATTAAGTCTGAAGCATGCAATAATGAATTCTTCGAAAGAAACATTGAAAGGAAGATGCTTTTGTATTTCTATTTTGTTATCTTTAAGAGGATACAATTCTTCGGTTTGTCGCTTAGAATGAGCAATAGGTTCGTCAAAATCTGAATCATCTGGCATAATTATTGATGTAAGAATATCGAAGTTAGTGAATTTTTTGAATAAATTCGTTTTTTTAAGTAATTTTAAATCTGTTTCATCAAAAAGATTGGATCCGAGGCGTTCTGTCTGACAGTTGTAATAACAAAGAGTTGAAAGCATTGTATAAAATGGCGTAGGAGAGTAAATAATTCTATGAAGAATATCTTTACGCTCTTCTGTATTGATATGTTTAAGGCATTTGATAGTTTGGACAAAGTCCTGTAAATTAAACGGAGGTTGTCGCTCATCATAAACAGGGAATCCGCTCATTTGATTTACAAAAAAAATGAAAATAAAATTTCGTAACATGACAATTATGTGTTTTCAATATCTAGTGAAAAGTAAAGATATTTTATATTGTTTGGCCCGAAAATATGAATCTTTTAGATTAATGAATTTTAAAATTGAACTGATTTCCAGTTTGAGATGAAAATATTAATATCCATAAATTATATGAGCTAGTCAATCAATTTTCAAAGTGAGCCATCCTTATTTTGTTCAATTTTACATTAAAACACGTAATTTTGCTTAGAAAATCTAATAGCATGTTAATTTATGATTCATTTTGCAATTATTTACTTAAATTACAGTAAAATTTTAATTAGGATTTGTCACCTTTTTAGGAATAATCAGAATTTGTATTTATGCTTTTTAACCTCAATCAGAATGATATTCATGCATTGAGGTCATATGAAAGGCATGGATACAATCATTCCTATCTTGAGAGGTATTTTTATGATCCAATTGCTCAAAAAATTTGCAATTTTTTCCTTGATAAAGTTAATCCACATTATATTTTAGGAACTGCATTTGCAATAGATGTGATATCGTTTTTTATTCCATTCTTATTAGTATTCAATCCATCTACATTACTTCAGTCGGTAATATGTTTAATAAATGGATTAACTACAATATTATATCAAATTGCACAGAAATCTACAAAGAAAATGTTTCAAGAACTGAAAGTTAATAACGCTTATATTAATTTTATCATTGTTGCTTCAGATTCCATCATAACCACAGTAGAAATCATGAAATTCAATAAATCAATGCGTTTTGGAGTAACATCAGTTAATATATACGTGATTGTTGCAGTTGGATTCGGAATTTATAATAATTTTTGGGCAGAATTTTGCAAAAAATCTTTTTTGTATCATCGAATTTCATTTATTGACGAAGGAATTGCTATTTTCTCTCTATTACAGATAATCAATTGCTTTATTCCCAAATTTTACAAAAAAGTCAACACTGATTTAGTTTTTTGGCTATCAATCGGACTTTTCTCTATAAACATCGTTGTTAACCTGATATCAGTCATAATTACAGCCGATTTTGCCAATGATTACTCTCTAATTGTTGTTTCTTTGTTTCCAGGAATATTTGTCATTCTCACAGCCCTTTTCTGTGACTTTATTACATATTCGTTTTTCCTAGACCCATATTTCTTCGTGTGTGTGGGCTTGGAATTCGGATATCTCTGCGAATACTTGATGTTAATATCAATGTTGCATAGACCGGCCAAAGATCTTTACAATTTGGGGTCTGTCTTACACTTTACCCTTTTGGTCCTTCCAATTCTTGGTTTTCTTAGAAATAACCTTGAATACTGGTTTTATTGTTTTTGGACCATAATAATCGATATTGTCATGTTTGACTATAGAATGTATAAGAATATAACTATGATTATGCATGACGAAGCCAATGTTTCCTTGATTGACAACAAACAAGAGATTATTAGCACTCCTGCAAAGAATATTGATGAATTCAAGGACATGGAAACTATTCCTCTGGTAGGAAATCCAAGTCCAGCAAAAGAACCAGTTCCGGCATTTCCACCGATGATTCAATAAATTGTTTGAAATATAGAGTTATAAAATATATTAGTTTTTATGCATTTACCTTTTTATTATGTTTATAATAGGAATGAGCATTAAAAAAACCTATATATGACTGAAATTATTTTGAATTATTAGTATACAGTCTGAGATAACTATTGAAATGTTCCCTATTATTCTATGTTAATGCAAGAAATAATAGTATGCTTTCCTACGCAGTCAATTAGTATATATCGATTCTATTTTAACAAAAATTATTGGATTGAAGATTAAATGTTATATAAATAATCAAAATTCTGGATATAAAATTGAAGGCTACGAAAAATAACAAAGATCTATAATTATCTCAGATTTATTCATGAAGATGATGTTTTATTTAAACATAGAAGTTTATATTTCATAGAAATTTTTTCACGAAGAATAAAGATAATCTGCTCAATCAAAAAACGCTTTAATTATATGCAATATTTTTAAAATATTTTTGTTTTAAAAAAGAATGTTTAAAATAAGCTATCTTAGATAAATAAGTATGGCACAAACAAATTTAGTCTAAGTGGACTTTGAGTGTGTCAACGAAATTGGCTGGAATTGGATAAACTTTTCTGACGTAATCTGGAACGACTTTGAATTGATCAAGAATGTTTGAAACCTTTTCTTGATTGTTTGGAATGAATTTGGCAACAACTTTGATGATATATTCACGGATTTCGTGCCAGGCCCACTTGTGGAAGTATTCGAAGACGAGCATGAAGGCACCATAGCCAATAAGGTAGAAGAGGAATGCGATGAAGACTTCAGATCTGAGTGTGAAGAGTGATGCAAAGAAGAAATATGGAATTAAAGCGATTTCGAAGAAAGCACGAAGTTTCTGAACAATTTGGTTCTTAAAGCAAGCATCACATGCATCAACAATGGCCTGCTTAAGTTCGCCAAGGCGTGGAGCAAGATGATTGCGAATAACACGAATGAAGATGAGTGTTTCGACGATAATAAGGTCAAGGAAGAATAATATTGGACGAAGACCTGAAATATTGACTGCGAAAACGAAAACTAAGAAATGAAGATCGAATGATAACCAAATGCGCTTGTAAAGTGGATCAGATACAAGTGTGTTTGCGTTGATTGTGTCATAAACCTTGATGACGTGGTAAATTGTGACGAGAATTATAAGGAAAGTGAATAATTTCTTTGCTTCGTTCATCCTGAGGAAGCAAACAATAGAAAAGATTACAATTGGGAAAGGAAGAATGATTTTGATCAAGTCAAAGACTTTCTGAATGTCATTCTGCGATGGAATCTTAAATCCCATGTGAAAAATGAAATCATGTAAAGAGCCGATAAAATATAAATGTAAACAAATTTCAGTCATTTTATTTTAATTTTTATATTTTCATAATATGATTACTGACATGTTTTCGTATAATTTTGGAATTTCATTTTGAAAGAAGGAAAAAATTGAGAAGATAATAAAAATGCCAATACTCATTACATTTCAAGAGTAAATCTGATTCAAATTTCAATTTACATCTGAAACTTCGCCAATGCTATTGATGGAGGTAATGAGGAGTGAGTAAAATCATTATTGTTTTAATTTTTTGCTGAATTGACATTTGACATAGCATATTTTAGCCATAAATAGCATTATCTTCAATGAGATACCTTATATATCCAATATCGGCCAATATAATGATTAAAAAATCTGAAATTTGATTACTAATTTTTTATCTTTTGATATTAGGCCTTGATACTAAGATGCCTTGCGCAGGAAATTATATGTTATGAGTTATTGTAAGCTTTGTTTTATTAGAACACTTACAAGAAATCATGCTCCAATAAAAATTTATAAAATTGATTTTCATTTGGCATTTCCGAAATTTTATGGCAAACCCAAATTTTAGCTAAAAGTGACAGAAAAAAAAACGTTTAGTATTAAAAAAAAGACCGATGAGAGCTTCGTTCGAAATATAGAGGGAACTGAGAATGCGCAACCATTCTCAGGGAATATTGGATGCTATTTCCGTTCCCTCTGTATGGAAAATTGAGGTTTTCAAAGGGAGTTAAAATAATATCAAATTTATACTAATTTACTTCAAAATACAAAAGTATTTGACAGCTAAAATTAGTTACTTTAGCAAGCCTATCAATACCCTTTTACGACTATTGCTACTTTTTCGAAATAAAAGTAAAAACAAATTTATACTAATTTACTTCAAAATACAAAAGTATTTGACAGCTAAAATTAGTTACTTTAGCAAGCCTATCAATACCCTTTTACGATTATTGCTACTTTTTCGAAATAAAATAAATTTATTATCAAAAACCTTTTTTTTCTTAGTAAAAATAAACGAAATTTTTTACCTTATGAACTTTTGATGGAAATATGCAAATTTAAAATAATAAAGAAAGCCGCGAGCGAAGCGATCGGCTTAGTTCGAAGATTTTGATTCAAATCTTTGCTGATCTGTAATTCGCGGATGCCGCGAGCGAATCGAGCGGCTTAGGTCTAAGATTTTGATTCAAATCTTTGCTTATATTCCTTAAATTCTTTATGAAACTCGCAACAGTTCCATAAAAAATTTTAAATTCTAAACTGATCGAAATCACACCCTTCACGGGTGTGTCATTTTTTACAGGCGTGTCACTTTTAGCTAAAATTACCCCTACTCAATTTTGAAATCATCAAAAGAGCAAATTTGATTCGAATAACAATGTGACGAAGCTTTTATATTTACTGAACATATAATCATCCAAATTAAGTTTATTTTTAATATATTTAGGTCTAATTTTTGTTGTCGAAATTAATTTCTTGAAAAGATATTGATTCTCTGCGTATTACAAGATACGACAAGAAGGAATTGATCTATTTATGTTATTAAGAAATGAAGAATCATTTGGCAAATAAAAAATTTTATAATCGGAATTTAAAAAACTAGAGAATTGTGTATAGAAAATTAAATAATAGCCGTTTATTAGTATCTCTACGGTTTCATTCCAAGACAACGAAAAAAAATATAAAGAAAATATAAAAATAAATTAAGCGAGTAAAGCCTTGATCTTTGAATCTGTTGTTGGCTTGCTCAGCGATGTAGTGCAATACTTGACAATATCAATCAAATCCTGTTGTTTTGGAGTGTAATTTAACAATAAATCAACAGCTTCACGATAGTGGTATCTAACTTCGTGGTGGAAAGCTCCAAGTGGATTGAGCGAATCGTAAATGATAATGGCTGCTGTTAAGCAGCGGAGAGCGATTATGCAAATTTCTTGTGAAGGATTATCAGATTTTGTGCAGATAGAAGTGCAGCAGTCTGCAACTAAGCCAATAAGATTAATTACATTGGCATACTGTGTAGCATTTGATTTATATTTATCTTGGACTTCGGAAACGACCTTCATTGTGAAGGGCATTCTAGAGCCCCAGAAAACTGTTGAAAAGTTTGAATCAGTAAGCAAATTATCAAAGCTGCCGTCATGATTGTGTTCTCTGCAGTTTCTTCTGAAATAGGCAAGGTCATTAAGGAGGAAAGGATTCTTTATAGGGATCTGATCGAATTTCAAGCATACATCAAAACAGTCTGCAAAACACTTTGTTAAGGCCGGATATTGTGTGAAGAAATCAACCTTTGCAGCACCAGCAATTTCTAAAACTGAACTCATGACATTGACAAATTCTGTTGCAATAGTGCTGGAGAAATAGTATCCATCCATCTGAGTATAAACGTTTGGTAAAATTGCGTTCCATGCTGCATCTTTGTTTGCTTGAGATGTATCCCTCATAGCTATCTTAACAAATTCTTGACCGTCTTTGTAATTAGCAAACTTGTCGTATAAATTCTTACCCGGATTTAAAACTTTTTCTTGAAAGTCTTCTACTATTTTTCTTTCAACATCATTGGTTGGGGTAGCATTCTTAAGGTCAATATAGACCGCAGGAAGCTGTCCTAACGAGCTGAATAAGTTGCCCATGAATTTAAAGAAAAACTGGATTGTGTACTTTACAATAGCTGATTTCAGAAGTGTTCGAAATTTCACAAGACCATAGTGCAAAAAGTAAAAGATTTATACATGGCACGATGGGCGCTACTTTTTTGGTGCCAGCGGCGATACTTTCTTATATTTTAAATTTTACTAAAAAAATTGAATTTTGGAAATTCTTTTGATTTTTTTGAATGATTTACAAAGAGATTGAACACATTTTGTACTATGAAATATCGTTATTAATAAATTTACTTCTTAAACATCTATTAAAATCGCAATTTTGAATATTTTTATGATTTTTTTTGACCCGATCACTTGCGCCCGCGCCCACTGGGAGGGGTGCTTGTAAAGTATTCAAAAATCAATGTAAACATTTCAATTTTTGCTCCCACCTCCCATTGGGAGGGGGGCATATATCTTGTAGCGTTCAAGTTCAAGTGATGAAAGTGCATAAGAAAGCTCCTTAATCATACCGATATAAACAGCATTAGGGGCGCCAAATGGCGCTCGGTGATGTTTCCCATAAAAGCTTAATTTCAGGTATCCATAATCATAACCTGTCAGACGCAATAATTCATTAGCACACAATCATTGTTTCTCAATCAAGAAACGAAACGCACGATTGATTATGCTGGCCATTAAATTTTCATATCAAATAATTTACTACTTCAAGAAAAATTAAAGACTATCATCAACCAAAGCTTAAAATTCTCAGTGTTTACAACTCTCATACTTCGAATATGCATATTTCCAAAATAGCATGAAATTTTTTTTCATTTGAGCTCATTTTCTTTTGTTCTATTAACTAATACATGCAGTACAAGCTTGTTATACGTATACTTAATAAGTAAGGTCTTAAGGGAAATAATAAAAAACAATTTTGCTATTAATTATATTAAACAATATTTATTTGTAATTTCGTGATAATTATATTTCTTATTACAAAGTAAAGGTATTTGATATAATGTTTGCCTTACAAAAATGTTTCCTTTGTCTTGCCACCATAGGTATTCTATTTTGTCACTTTTTGTGCCCGCCGTGCCATGTATATAAAAGATTATTCTTGTTTACGATCTTTTTAAAATGCTAGTTTTACTTTTTTTAGCATTTTTTTTTCTCGTGGCAACTAAAAAGTTAGAGTACATTGAACGCATAATAATTCCCATCTAGATATAGCAGCAGACACAAATTTTAATCTTCTTTTTTTAAGCAACATAAAATTGTGAGATGCAGATAATAATTGAATTAAAATGCTAGTGTACAATACACTGATGATTATTTTATCAAGATTGAACTACAGTCTATCCAAAACAACGATAAATCAGATAAGTGTCAAATTTATAACACGTCTTCATTTTATGATTTTTATATTTAACACATAACATTGCATCAATTTAATATATTTTCAAAGCACTTTTTATTTTCACGCCTTCAAATTCGAATGTCGAATTTAGGTTCGTATGGTTCGAGTGGATTCACTCCTGAGGTCAAAAACGAACCTGTTGAGTATATTCCAGAACCAGTCAAAGAAGTTCCAGAAGAAGATTCGATTTCTGCGGTTGAATCTTTATTTGCTTCACCAAATGCAGCCGACCACACAAGTGCAATGAAAATGTTGATTGTTTTGATTTCTAAAGGTCAAGATGTTTCTCATTTTGCTCCTTTAGTCATTCAAGAAATAGCTTCAAATGATTATTTGAGCCGCCAGCTTGCATATATCTTTTTAAATCATTACTCTGACGAAGCTATCGATTTCATCGTATTATCTATCAATACATTCCAAAAATCGTTACAAGATTCCGATCCAATAGTAAGAGCTCTTGCATTAAAAGTCTTGTCTACAATCCGTTCGCGTGAAATTCTTCCAACAATAAGAGATGCCATTGTTCAAGTTGCTGGAGATACAAATCCTTATGTTAAGAAAGTAGCTGCTTATGCAATTATCAAAGCAGCCGAATTATCAGAGGATGAAACAGAAACAGAGCAATATTTACCAATTCTTGAGCGACTTTTGAACGATGATAGTCCAATTTCATTTTCCGGTGCAATTGCTGCATATTGGACACTCTGCCCTGACGCTATTGAGCTTCTTCACTCAAAGTTCAGATGGATGTGCCACAATATGGAAAAAATGGACGAATGGGGCCAAGTTTACTCTTTAAGATCTTTAACAGTCTATTCTCGTTATTGCTTCAAGAACCCAACTGAAGTCCCAGAGGATGAGTCAAACGCTGCTTTCTGGGACGAATCAGAACAGACAGAAAATATATCTCCAGATTTATCATTATTACTACATACGGCAAAGAAATTACTTATGTCCCAGAACTCCGCTGTCGTTCTTGCAGCTGCAGCTCTCATTTACTATTGCGCTCCCGCATCAATGATTTCATCTGTCGCAAGACCACTCGTTAGGCTTATTTACGATTCACAAATTACAGCCAAAATTGCAATCAATTTCATTCTTACCGTCTCTTCCAAGTACAAGCATATCTTTATTCCTCATATTAATCATTTCTACGTCAGAAGAACGGATTTACCAGAAGTCAAGAGCCTCAAGCTCAAGCTTTTGTCATGTCTTGTTCTCCCAGCCAACGCAAAACAAGTTCTCGAGCAACTTTCTACGTATTCCGGAAGTACAAATCTAGATTTCGCTTCCGATGCAGTTAAAACGATCGGCAAGATAGCCATGACCAACGACAACATCGCAGTACCAGCATTGAACCACTTACTACAGTTAATTGGCCAACTTGACGGCAAAATCTTGACAGATTGCATTTTATCGATCGCACACATCCTCAGAAGGAACACGATGTCAAGCGATGAGAAGAGCGCAATCAGGTCATTGGCCCGCAAGTTCACAACACTCAAAGATCCACAAGCAAAGGCCGCAATTTTGTCTATCGTTGGAGATTGTCACGTTTCTCATCCAGAATTTGGTCCACAGCTTCTTAGAGTGATTGCAAAGACATACAATGAGCAGCATCCAGATGTCAGACTCCAAAGCTTGGCATTAGCTGCGAAAGTCATTGTTTCTGGAACAGATTCCAAGATTCCTGAATTTATTTTGAAGATGGGTCAAAACGATGTCGAATTTGATATCAGGGACAGAGCGGGATTCCTGTTCAGCATCACAAGCACAAAAACAGAGAAGCTCAAAGCGAAATTACCTGAAATTATGTTCCAACCACGACAAATTCCTGTTTGGGCGCAAAGTGAGGAACAAAACAACTTCGCATTGGGAACATTATCTAACCTGTTCAACCACGAAATCCCTGGTTACGAGCCTGTACCTGATTGGGCACCTGTTGAACAACTTCCTGTTGATTCTGTCAGAAAACCGAAATCTGCCTTCGGAGACGATGACGATGACGATGAAGAAGAGTCAAATGATGAAAGGAAACAGACATTGAATGAATTCTTCGTCGGATCTGATTCTGGTGCTGAATATGAGGTAGAAGAAGAGGAAGAGGTTGATGAAGAAGAGGAAGAAGAAGTGGAAGAGGAAGAAGCTAAAGATGATGAAAAAGAAAATAATGAATTCTTCCTTTAGAAAAGAAACAAATAATAATTTATTATTATTTTTTTTTTGTAACAGCTAGAGTTGGAAAATAAACATAACTATCTAGATTTTTTATTAATACCATCAAATAATATGTTTTTCTTATCAAAAAAGATCTGAAATTTCTAAATTAACATCTATTTTATATATTTCAATGCAAAAAGATTTATATTGTGGGAAATAATTATATTTATTTATAAAATGCTTTATAAATATCAATTTTAAAAATTTTAAAATTATTCTCAAAATTTTATGGAATGAAAATGAAAAAATAGATTGAATATGGCATGCAATGCATAGTAGAACTATTATCTGGAAATTTATGATGCGACGATTATTGTAAATAATTTGATGCTCGTGAATGGATTTAATTAGAAATGTCACAGCATAATGGCGTCGAAGACAGGAGCTTATTTGTAGAGCCAGATCAAGGGGGTAAGGATATTACAAACAAAGCCACTAGAATTTGCAATTTTTCCAATCGAACTTTCGCTCAAAAGAGCATAGATTTCGAACCTTTCGAAAGCTTCAAGTATTACCCATTTGAAAACATTGTGGTTGAAGATCAAAATGTAACTCAGACAGCAAATAATGTTTACCATCATATTAACGACTTATTTACTGAACAAAGACACATATTAGATCAAGAAATCGAAATGCTCGATAAAAGCTCCCAGAAAACAGAGGATTCCCTTGAAAGAATCGAAAGTAACCTTTCGAAAATTTCAGAACTCCTTAAGAAGAAACAAAATAAGAAAAAATAAAATATATCCGATAATAATACTCAAAACTACTTGGTAAATAAACAATTCGTATGATTTTAATACTAAGTACTCAAAGACATAAGCTGATTTTTAGTTTTGAACTAAACTGAAATGTAATATTGAATTTTTGTAGTTTTAAGTTTTGTAATTAAATAAAGATGAGAACAATTTTTACTTTCCGAGGGCAAGAGCACGAAATTCGGCATAATCAATCTTTCCATCTCTATTCTTATCAGCTTCATTGATCATTCTGCGAACAACTTCAGCAGATGAGTCAAGGCCCAAGCTGATCAAGAGAGATCTGAGCTCGTTTGGTGTAATAAAGCCGTCAGTATCGCGATCGAAAACTCTGAATGCTTCTCTGAGCTCGTCTTCGATATCAGACTGTCTCATTTGGCGAGACATTAAAGCAAGGAACTCAGTGAAGTCGATTGTGTCGTTTCCATCAGCATCAACTTCTCTGATCATGTCTTGTAATTCGTTAGCTGTTGGGGATTGGCCGATTGCCCTCATAACAGCGGCAAGATCATCAACAGTGATAACTCCATCACCGTTTCTGTCGATGATATCGAAGGCCTGGCGGAATTCCTGAATTTGGTCAGCAGTAAGAGTCTCTACCATTCTTTTATTGATGTAAATTTCTTGGAAACCGTTTACAAATTTACAATGTAATCATAGTGAAACATATAAAAAGAGAATGACCACAACAAATAAAGTAACTTCCCTCGTACAACATATGTCTGAAATCACATGTTTCATTACGAGAAATTTCAAAATTGATAAATTAACAGAAGAATTAGACCCCAATGATTTACTAGAACAAATTTTGAAAATATATTACTGGTTGATTCACTAATTTGCACATATCAAAATTTCATTTCAATCAATTACTAACAATTCGATTAGATATGTGTGCATTCTATATTACCTATTAGTTGTGGTTAGAATATTCAAACTCAATTGAATTTAACACACAGGATAGCTGATGATTTTAATATTCTCATTCAACAAACAATGCTAAAGGAATATCATATTAGATCAAATGTTTATAAAAATGGATATTATCTATTCTTTGTTAGCAAAAAGGTCAATAAATAATGAAATTATTTTTTAATGAAAATATATTCCTGCAAATAAGTTTTTGCATATTTAGAAAGATAAGATAAATTATTTGAGATTTCTTTTGGATCTATGAAACATTTATCTGTGAATAATTGGGAAAATTCATTAAAGTTATAATTTTGTTTTAAATTAGTAAATGTAACAGTTCCACATCCATTTAATTCTGGCGTTGATTCAACATATGAATCTGATATAGTCAAATTATGAAATCCATAATATTCCGAAAACATATACTTTGCAGTGTTATTTACAAATATACAGTTATCAACATTAGTTGTGTAATCGGAAAGGAACAGAACTTGGTAACTACCAGTTCCGCATTTATTTCCAATAACATTACAATATGAAATAGTTTCTATATATTGAGTTAATCCACGATACCAATTGAATCCAAGTGATATAGTCCCAGTTTGATTGTTTTCTCTGAATGTTGAGAAATTGCATGTGCCTGAACTTCCTGAAAGAGTATTTTTTATTGATGACATTTGATTGCATTTATTGAATGTGCTATTGATTCTGGAAACAAGAAGTTCGCCCCATGTAAAACCAAATGTTTTCTTTCCAAATGTTTCATTAACTCCGCAATTAGAAACAGAAATATCAAAAGCATAGTTTTTGGAAGAAAATGATGGTTTAATCCATTGCATAAATGCTATGGAATCCAGCGCGATTGATTTACAACAACATGTTCTTTGTTGAACAAATTGTCCTCCTTCTCTGCAATCATAAAAAACTGATCCTCCATTTGATGTAGAGCTACAATTATTAAAAATAGAATCCTCAAGTAGAGTGCAGATATTGTGAGATCTTTTAATGTATATTGCACCATTATCTTTACACCCTTTAAAAAAACATATAAATATGTAATAACTGTTAGAACTGGTTGTATCTGAAAATGCTGATCTGATTTGCGTCTTTTCAACTTTAACAGTACTGTTATAAAATTCCGTCCAATCAAACTTTCTTGCATTTTCAAGTTCTGAAAGTCTATTTAATAGTATTTGGTATAACATTCATCTGATGGTGATGCCATATCATTTCTATCTATATATATGAGCTCACACGTATTATAGAATTGATCATCTTTCATAATGAACAAGTTGAGAGAATTCAATGTTTTCAGAAAATTCAATCATATTCAAAAAAACTTTCAAATTTTCTTCCTATTAAAATATTAATAAATAAACAAAAAGCGATAATTAATAATTTCGATTTTGAATAGTTCACAATTCCTAATACAAAGGTTTTTAATTCAAAAAAGATATAATTATATTAATGATCTCAAAATTAATAAATATTTCAAGTTAATGTCGACTTTTTTTTTTGAATTATCGACACAAAGACAAATATAATGCCACACACAAAAATGGAGAATGTTCACTCGAAATTGGCAATGCTCATTATGAAGTTTCCAGTTGAATGAGAGATTTCGTAATGACATTGCCCTAAAGTACTCTTAATACTCTTTTGTGGTTCCTAAAGAACCTAGGATTCTGTGATTAATCAAATAAGGAAGAGTTTTTTTCGAAATCTCTCATTTGATGAGAAGCCTCAGAAGAACTCTGCTCTAGTGTAACATGGTTGCTTGGCCAGCAATGATCGAGAGAATATGTCTGTAATTCGTTTATGCAGATGTCTCTCATATTTGAAAGAATCTTCTTTACAATTTCAAAATTTCAACTATAATATTATAGGAAAAATGGTAAATCTGGTGCCATCAATACTATCCGGAATTGTCTTCCGAAAACACTTTGATCTGCCGGAGAATTGTTTTACAAAGATTTTTCAATTTGAGAGAAAAATAATCGTATAATTTTTTTTTATTTCGATTTGTCAAGCAGTCAATACAACGCGATTGTTGGTCAAGTCCGAGATGCATTTGCATGTATTTCGGACAAAAACTCCGACACATCCGCTATAATGAATTCACGCTCTCGATTGGGATATTATTTACAATTTTTAGCTGTTGAAGACGCAGAAAGCGCATTTTACGAACTAATAGATCAAATGTCAACGCATGATTTTGATCCCACAATATCTATGACATTTATTGCAACACTTTCGTTTATTTTTCAATTTTTGCCAATTGAATCTCGACTTATAACGATATATACATCATACATCAATTTCAAAAAGCATTTCATATCTACTGATAACATATTTTTACAAAATTTTGTGAAATTCTTAGCTGCAGGCGGAGGAATTATTCTTCCCTGCAAACCACAGATAGTTGATGGATATATGACCTTACTACCTAATAACCCTCAATGTGCTAAGCTTATTGGCTTTCTAATTGCGTCAGATTCTGCTTTATTATCCCCATTTCTGTGGTCTCATTTAAATTCTCACAAATTCGAGGAAAAATTCATCTCCATGCTTGCATCTGTCATATTCTCATGCCCATCGTTAGTTTGCGATGAAACTTTCAATAATTTTCACGAAAAAGTCATAAAAGAATGCTTTAACATCGTAAAAAACAAAGACAACAAGTTTTCATTGATAGAGGAATCATTAGTCGTCATTGCTTATTACATTCGAAATAAAAAAGCCGAACCATTCGATATATTACCGATATTTACAGAGCCAAACTTGAATTCATTAGCTGTTGAGTGTTGGGCGAACTACGCAAGCTACGGAGATCTCTCCAAAATACCAAAATTCAGTTCAGAATCGATTCCATCCGCATCTTTTCTAAATTTAATAGTTGAAGCCATAAAAAATCCGAAATTTACTTTACAAAGCATTTCTGTGCCTCACTGGCTTTGGAATGCTATTATTACAGAATTTACTTCAAATTTACCACTTTTGACGGGAGAATACCATCATTCTATTCTTTCTCTAACAATAGATGAGCTGAACTCTGTTTTTCAAATGGTTCAGTACCTTCCTTCGTGGGTTTTTGTTCAATGTGTAAATTCAAGGAATTCTAGTCCAGATATCAACATAAGACTACTCAAAATAATATCAGACATACCTCTATCTATCGCAATTGCTCATAAAATAGAGCTTTTCAATTATTTCAAATTTGTCAACAAATTGCCAAGGATTTCTAAAGAATTAATCAACGCAATTACGAGTATATTCATTCCTGTGAATGAATTAACCCACAAATTCATCAAAACTATTACATATAACATAGATTTTTTTAATGAAACAAGTATTTTAAATGATCTCCCAATTTTAACAAATTTCTTGAACTTTAAGGTACATCCTGACTACATAATTCCTGTTTTTTACGCAATTTACGAGAATTTGGACTCATATTCTTTTAGTTTGTCATTTTTACAGACAATTATGATGTTTTTCGCTTCAATCATACCGTTCTTGAGTAACAACATGGTTTCTTACATCGGATCCTTTGCTGTTGCTATTTTAAGCAGTGGATTTTATCCAGAATTAGATCCATCATTTAAATCGAATCCTTCTATTGAGAAAATATTCAGATTATCTGCGAAATACAACACGGTTATCTCTTCTGACCTTGTTTTCAATCCATTATACAAATTAGCTGATTCTTTACCTCTTGTTGTTCCTGCTCTCAAAATTATCCAAAAAATACCAACAAATCTCATAGAAAACATCGCTTTTCTATGGGAAATTCTTCCGAAATGTCTCCAAATTTCGCCAATTTTCACTTTGCAAAGTTTGCTAGCCCATTTGAGTTATCATTTGAATAACCAACTCTCTGGACCAATACAGAAGTGTTGCGATACAATAATAAAGATTATGAAGTTCACAAACGAAACTGCGATCAAAATTTTGGCAACAGCTTTCTTTGACCAGACAATTCTCATGCATAGGACATATCCAGACAATCTAAACAAGTTTTCGGATGATTTAATCACTGATGACCCGAGTACGACGAGAATAATTTTGAAATACACCCCCAAATTGATGAAATACGTTTTGGATAAGGAGAATCAGTTATCATTACTCTTCGAAAGCAACTGTCCTAAGATTGGAGAAGAAATTTTCCAAGAAATTTCGGAAAAATTGAAAACTAATTTACCCTATCGAATTCAGATCAGATTTCGAGAAATACTGAAGCAACATAACATGGATGCTCCGGAATATACAGGAGAAGTCTGCTGGCTCAAAAGATTTTTGGAAGGATATAAATACCAAAAACCAAAATCACCAGATTACTCAAAAATGACAACAGATGAAGTCATTAATGCCGTTTCTTTGTTCGTCCCTGTTGATAAATCGAAATCTCCGAATATTATCAGACTAAATTGCATGAAACTGCTTCGAAAGAATCCAATGTTCTCAGTTCCCTACAAAAGATTGATTGCTCTTAGTGGAGACCTTGACGAATGTAATTTCTGGCTTCAAAAAGAAAAATTCCTGAAAAACATTCCATTTGAGCCAGTCGGATCCGAAAAGTCAGACATATTCCCTGTACTTATGTCAAAGGATCCAATCGATCCTTCTCCTGAAGATTCAGATTTCATTTTATTATTGAAGTTGAGGTTATTTAAATCTCGCGATGCTTTACCTTTAGTCAGCCAATACAATTCTCCAACAATTATGACCAAATTCTTGAAAGTTCGGATTGTTTTGCCGATTGAAACGTTAAATGAGCTTGTAAGTACGTCAATATTAATGAGTTCGCGGATAAATCTGATAACATATTTACAGTTCTATCTCCAGAACTCTCCAAATTTAACAGTTTTCGATAAATCGGCATTTCAATCATTATTAAGAATTTCTCCATCAAATTCGTTTATCTTCACCTCCACTTTCTTGTTTATGGCTTCTATTGCAACAATGAAGATAAAAGTCCCTGATGAAGAAGAATTAATTGGAAATTTTTTAGTAGATGTCTTTAAGAACGCAAAATGGTCATCAGCATATTTATATGCATTACTTCCTGCAATTCGTAGTCTTTATTCTGGTTTGCCACCGAATAATGTCGGAAGAAAAGAAGTTAAGAAGTTCTTTTCTGAATTTCCACGAAGTTTAGTTGATAATACTTTGCTTGCTCCAATATATGATGATTTTATTTCTGTTTTGTAGATTTATTGTTTTTTATATCTTTATTTTGTTATTTTTATTTATTTAAACTGTTTTGTTAAACATCTCTATTCTGCTAAAAACCAAAGATTTTTCACTATAACACATAAAAAATAATAATATTTTAAATTACTTACTTATGAAAACAAGTTAGTGTATGAATGCACAATTTTGCTCGAATATAGTATATTATTTAACATAATTGTTTCATTTCTGAGTTGAGTAGACAAGAGAATTGGATCTCCAATCAATGGATAATTTTTCTGAGATTGAAACGTTAATTAGAGATTCTATCAATGAACAATCTTTGTCATCAAGTAGATCTTTCGAGGTTCTCTCTGAAAAACTTCAAGATATCAATTCGATTTCTTCGTTAATACAAATTTTATCAGAAAACGTAGAAAATTCGGTAATTATATGCTGCTCCAGATGCATTAAGATATGGATTTCATTACACAATTCAGAAATTGATGATTCGGTTTTGGAATTCATTTATAGTAAGCTATTTACAGCTATATTTGGATCATACAATACTCAGATTATTGATTTACTCATTCAAATCATACAAAATTATGATTTTAATAAGATATATTTTAAATATATCATCAATTTATTAGAAAATATAGAACAAATTGATAGGAGTGAAATTTCTGGCTGCTTGTCTCTATTATTATGCGCCTTTTCAGATGAAATTTTTATCCAGTTAGAAATAGATTATTTTAGCATATTTTGTTCCAAATCTTTAAATCTCTTAGATCTATCTCAGCCAGTAGAAATCAATAATATTAATTTTGAAATATATCGACTAGTTTTTAAAATAATAAATACAGGAATCAAGCGACATTATCCGTTTAATGGATGTTTTATAGGGAAAACACTTGAAGTTGTATCATATATAATTGATTTGTTCTATCAAAATCCTAATTTAATTGCAAATGGTTGGAAATTATTATCTTATTGCTTCAAACTCAATGCTAGATTCATTAAGTTCTATTCACTCGATGATGAAAGTGAAAATGTTAAATATGAGTTTGTTTCGAAGCTTCTTTCCGTGATTCCGCAGACCTTTGAAACAGGGATTTTTCAATTAATGGAAACACTAATTTTTTCTATTAAAAGTTTCTCAAATTACTTACCACAGACTATTGAAACATTTGATCGAATTGTTTTGAGTGGTAATTTGATGCAAATGACAATTGAATCATTTAATGAAGCTCCTTTATCATTTTTTGCATGCGTGTATTCTACAAGTGGTGATTTAAAGTTCTCTTATACACTTGCTTACAAATTATGTTCAATAAATAGTCAATTCTTCGAATATTTGATGTCACTACCATCATCTGAAGCAAATCAAAGGTTTGTTGCAAATTTGTACTCAGAAAATCTCAATTTTGATCAAGAAATTTTAAAAGATTACATAATTTCAGCTTTAAATGCTGCTGAGGAGCCAATTGAGATTTCAACATCAATATATTTACTAATTAAATGTATAGACTGCTTTTCTGATTCAGAATTATCTGAAATTTCCAATTCTTTAGTTATGGAATTATTTTCAATGAATGAATATGATGTAATCTTGTGTATGGCGTGCAAACTATGTTCTGCACTTAGTATCAGATCAATTGAACTTCCTGCTGATGTTATTCCGATTTTAGTCGAATTAACTAACTCTATAATATCAAAATACTCATCAAAAGCACTTTGTAACACTGCACAGCACTTAAGATCAAGTGTTCTCCCTGTTGCTTCTGATATTCTCAATGTTCTTTTCGAATCAATTGAAATTGATTTGAAATCTTTTGCTGAAGAAGAAGATACTGATGAAGATCTTGAGGATTTAATCAGAAAAAGAGCTAATTCAATTATTGAACTTCTTTATATCTCTAAAATTCCAATTGAAGACGAAAAAATAGTTGAAATTTTCGTTAACTTGCAAAACTGTGGCTTTTATAAGAAATTCATAAGAATGTGTATTGTTGTTATTATGAACCTTTCACCAATTTCGCCACAAATCGCTCAAATAATTTTTGCAAACTTAAAAGACAATAATGAGGCTCAAAACTACATTGATTTATATCTTGAAGCGTTTATGCAGCTAATATTGATTGAGCCTGCTGCATTTTGTTCATCAATTAACGTTGATGAATTGATTTCATGTAGTCTTGATGTTTTTACCACATCAAAGAACTTTTTTCACTATAACGCAGCTGCGGATATGCTTTGCTGGTGTATTCTTCAACATTGCCACGGAAATAATTCTCAAATAATTTTTAGAACTGTTTCTGAGGCATCTATTTTAGGAAACCATCAATTTTTATCTGATTTAGTATTGACATCATTACAAATTGCTGGTGATAATGTTCTAAATGAAGATGATATTCTGAGATTGAATGATATTGTTGCAAATGAATATATATACAGGAAACAAGATATATTTTTATTTATAGAGTTATATTCTCAACTCAACAACTCAGAAATTGTTAATTTACTGAAATCCCAACTTAATAAGCTTGAAACACTTTCAAAACCTGAAATGGATCTTCTATTTGATAGTCTCCCGTTATCTTTTCAAGTAGTTAATCCGCATGATGATTTTCCCCTCAAAAATCATGTGAATTAGTTAAATTTTTTTTAATATTTGTTATATAAACATGTTATCTTGTCTTTATTTGTTATGTAAATAGTTATTTCTTATCCAAAATAAAATAATATAAGAAATTTTGTTTTAAGTTTTATTCACTTGATTCCTTTTTAGTTCGTGGTCTTCTTTTTGTTGCTCTCATAGGTCTGTGAACCATTTCAGATTCATCTGATCCAGGTGTTTCTTGTGTTTGTTCACGATGTTGTTGTACATGAGAAATTGGACGAATTGGTTGAACTGCAGAAGCAATAAGACTAATTCTATTCGCAAGCTTAGATGATTTTGCTGGTTTAGGAGATCCTGTTTCTTGTTCTGGTTTTGGAGATTCAACAGGTTTATTTTGTTGAGATTGTTTTGGTTTAGGAGATTCATCTGGTTTGGATACATTAAACACGAGTACAGTTGGTTGTTTCGGTTTTGGTGATGCTGGTTCATTTTGTGAATTAGTTACATTCACTTCAAGATATTGAGGTGCTTTTGGTTTAGGAGATTCCACTTGTTTTGGCTTAGGAGAATCAGTTGGTTTAGATACATTAAATACAAGCAAAGTCGGTCCTTTCTTTTGTTTAGGAGATTCAGCTGGTTTTGGTTTAGGAGATTCTGGTTCATTTTGTGGATCAACAATATCTACATCAAGATATTGAAGTGGAGTTTGTTTTGGAGATTCTGGTTCATTTTGATTTGGTTTTGGTTTAAAAGTTTCAGCAGATTTAGAGACATTAAAAACAAGCAAAGGTGGCTGATTTTGTTTTGGAGATTCTGGTTCTTTCTTTGGTTTTGGAGAATCCAAATGATTTTGTTGATTAACATTTATAATTTCCTCAGATTTCACCTGGCGAGAATTAGGCAAAGATTGTTGAGATTGTCTTGGAATTTCTTTAGATTTCTTTTTAACAACTTGTTGTTTTTGTTGTGGATCGAAAACTTTTGGTAAAACAAGATTTGGTTTAAAAGGTTCTCCAATTTTTCTGTAAAGTTTGCTTAGAACTTCAGAAAGAATTTCCTCTTGATACTCGACTTTCATTTTGTAATTAACATTACTCATTAAACGATTAAGAAAACTGTCAAGAGGTCCGAATTTGATGATTTCTTTTGATTCTTTTTTAATTCTTTCATTTGTAGAATGTGGAGAAGTCACTAACATTCCTATTGGAGGAAAAACAAAGCAAATATCAGCAAGAACTCTATGAGTAAATCTTTCAACTAATGTTAAATGAATTTGGTTGAAAATATGTTCCTCTCTCAATGAATTAATAAAATACAACAAATAATTTTCTTTTTCATTTGCATCAAGGAAATTTTGCAAAGAAACATTCAAATTACTTAAGAATTTCTTGATTCCTGGGCATTCATGGACATGGCTTACAAGTACCATAGCGAAATTAAACAAATCTCCAAAGTCTTCTTTCTCAATTTCAATTGCATTTTGATATGAAAGATTATTTGATATTTTCTGTTTAAGATCTTCGAAAATAGCAGTGATATACGGACAAATAAAATCACTACAATGGTGTTCAATGACATAATACATGAAAAGTAATTGAATATAGTTTGCTTGATCTATTTCGTCAAAAAATTGTTTTTTAATTACGTAAATTACATTTTCATCAAATTTGTTATCGCAATTCCATGATCCTTTCAATTCAGAAAGTTCATTATTAAGTTTCTTTTGTGAATCAGCTGATAAAAATTTATAAAATTTTGATTCATAATAATGAGTTTTTCCAAGGTCTTCGAGTCTCTGAGTATAACTTAGGTTTTCAAATAAATTAACGGTTTTGTCGTAGAAATTTTGGAATTTGACTAATTTTAAAATTTTTTGTTGGAGAATTTCATAAAATTTTGTAATGTTTGTTTGATAGAGTTCTGAAAGTTCCTTTGGATTTGGATCTGCTAATTTAAGACTCTTGAATGGTTTTATTTTAAGATTGGACGAAAAAAGTTTTGTATGTAAAATATTGTTGTTTTCTTTTTTCTGATTTTCATTTAATGTATTTAGATCTCGATTATTCTCGTACTCTGAAAGTTTCATATCATTGTTGTGAATCATGCAAAACTTTAAATTTTTATGCGCATTTTTGAATTTTTCGATTTCTGATATTACAGGAATAGTATAAAATGCATTATCTTCTTTGTTATTACCGATTTCTTCTTGTAGACGCTGGAAATTTCCCGTATATTGTTTAGAATAATCTTCAATAACTTTGTTGTCAACATTGATTGATGATGTAGTGATATTAAGTCCTTCTCTGATTTCGCAAATCATTTGATCAATGTTATACTCTTGTTTTAAACAGCAATCAGACATTTTGTTTCAATAAATAAAAACAGTTGGAATTTTTATTTTTTCGAAAGTCAAATAATTTGTCATAAAAATTTAATCAAACTGTGTGCAATTCTCAATTTTGCTACTAAAAAATCTTCAAGGGTGTACACTCCAGTTTCTCGCCTTCTCTTGTAAACTCAGTGTCAGATTTAATTGATATTTTCAGACCAATAATTTATGCATATTTAGAAGATATTAGACAACATATTGTTAAGCAGCTTATTCGAGCTCTCATATTAAATAATTCTCTCTCATTTTCGGTAAAGGAATCATAGGCTTTAGAAATGAAAACTATTAAAAATTAACAGGCACACATTTGATTTGCAGTATAAAGTATATTTCAATTCAAAATTAACACTACAAGAAGAAAACGTTCTCAACTATAGCAGTCTCAAAATTTTGAGTCCTAGTCAACTTGCAAAGTAATCAAAATTGAATGGAGTGAGCCTGGTATTGTAATAGGACTATGTTACTAAATGATATAGGGGATATATCGTTAGCAAATTTCCTACATCATATGGAAAGGAATTCATCTTGATTCTTTAAAGATGAAAAGTCAGTAAAGTAAATTCTGAGACTTCCTACTTTTACGAACAATCATCAAGGATTTTAGTAAGTTTATATTTGAGCAAAGCTACTTACATGAACCTGAAAGTTTTTAATTGATAAATTAATTCATATATAGAAATGAAAATTTGTTTTACCTTTTTAAAGACAACGAAACGACATTCGCAATTGCCGTTTTTGGAAAACGTATTGGAGGAGATTGAATTCCAGCTATTCTTTCGATGAATTGAAAGCAATTTGACATATCAAATTTATTTGTAAATTTGTCTAAAATATGGTTACTTATTTGAACATTTGATGTTGTTGAAAATGGATCATCTATATAGCAGTATTTCACATATATTTGATATGATGTATATGTGCTATAAATGTAGTATCCGTCTATTGCATTATTAAAGAAAGAACAATGATTTACAGTACTTCCTGCATTTGCAAATTTGAGTAAATGTTTTGCTTTATTATTGAAGAAATTACAGTTATTAATTTCTGATGATTTTGCAACATATGCAGCTGGATCGTTACCTGGATCCATGTCTACATTATCATTAAAATTGGAATATTTGATTAAGTTTCTGGGATTACCTCTATTAATGTCAAGAATCGATATATATTTAATTTTCGAATATGAAGTATTTGAATTAGAAAATGTAATATTTCCAAAATATAAACGAAGAGTGCTTTCTCCAATTTGGGATGGATTTCCTGAATTTTGCATAGAACAATCTAATAATAGGTTTAAATTTGAATTATCTTTGCTTATTTTAATGTAGAAATTAACACCTGTAAAAATATCACTTGATAATAATAAATGATTTGAATCAAAACAATTTCTGGATATAACACTATGTCCATTGGTCTCGAAATAAATGCAGCCGCCGTTTGAATACTTACTGCATTTATAAAATTTTGAAACTTCTAAAAGGAATTTAAAAGTTGCATCTGTATTTTCTATGTGAATCACTCCCCATTCAACAGTATTCTCGAATGTGCAGAGTGAAACGTAAAAATCGCCGCTTTGGTCATTTGGTTTTGTCTTCTGATTGATATATTCATTACTTGGAGTAGAGTCTTCATAAAATGTATTCCACTCCAGATATATATTCGGCATAGTGTGGACTTGTATCTCATGGTTCGAATAAATATCATCAAAAACATTTTTTATTTTAAAGTTCAAATGATTCTTTCGGTTCCAAATAACTAACTATGAATAATTGTAGATAGCACCTGAATATTAAAATGATTACACAATTTATGTTAAAAAATGTCAGAAATTGAAAGGAAAAATTCTGTAAATGCTTTTGAAATTTAATGATGTACACAATCTATGTATAATTTTTTTTATTCCTTAAAACTGAAGCTTACTGAGACCTTAAATTTGAAATTTCGATGCTATTGTATTTCTCAATTTCTTGGTTTTATCGATAAAATAAAAATTTCAAAAATATTCTTATCGAAAATAGGCTATTGATTTTTTCAAAAATAGCATTATGCAGTTAACAAATGAAAAATATTGATTTGTTTCAGCTCCATCTTAATTATTAAATGAAAAAATTATAATATCGTTTCAAATTATGATATAGCATTTCAAAGCTACAGTATCTGATATTGTCTTAATTATTTTTACCCAATATCACTTCGAATTATATCCTGTATTTTTCAAATTGTAAAAAAATTGAATTGTGTATAAAATGAGTGTAGCAGCAATTGTCAGTTTTTTTTTGTTTTTTCTATTGGTTCATAATCTTAAAGCCTGCAGCGGTAATGCATGTGATTTCATTGACATCTCAAACAGCGAATAAATGAAATTTGGAGAAAATTTTGGAAATCACTATAACGTGAGTGAGTTTTCATGCTACCATAATATTTTGGGGTAAATACACCGCCAACCCCTGGAAAATAATTGAGAATATTTTACATGGCATTTACCGACAAATGCCATGTAAAACTCTCAAAAGTGTGATCCTTATGGTAGCATGAAAACTCACCCACGTTACGAGTTATTGTTTGATATATGCATATTGATGAAGTTGATATTGCAATAATGTCTTGTCGTCACTGCTGTCTGTCCTTCTTTACAGATGTCGAAGATTATTCTTGAAATATTCTATGGTTTAGGAAAATGCATAAATTTATTACTATTCAACTAGGATAAAAATATGAAAAATTATCACATGTGAATTATCTTTCGCAAAAACTTATAGAATATAAATGAAGCAAATCAAAAGCTACTATTCACTAGTTTATAATAAAAACTTCCTAAACAAGCGAGTATCAAATGATCATTCTTTGAATTCATATGAAAAATCTTTGGATTCAGGACCTTTAAAAGAAATCGAAATACTTGCATGCAATCCATGACATGATTAGATTACCAGATCTGGTAATATGAAAATATAACTTAATTAATGTCCATAAATTATTTCCGAAATCTTTGTGATGACTGATTTCCGCATGTCTAACATAACATTTGTTTCTTCCAATGATTTTAAAAGATATTTATATGTTAACTTGCAAATGTGTCCTTTTAAAAAATTATTGATGTCCGAACAAGACATTCATCCCAATAAATACGGCGAGCTGCGAAGTATCTATAAATACTACATTGATTCATATATTGCTTTGTATCAGCTGAAAACGGACAAGGAAGAAGAATTAAAAGAAATTTACAAAATGATCAAAACAGAATTGATTGATTCGAAGAAATACCCACCAAAAAAGATTATGGAAGATATTTTAAATATAATTCCGTATAATAATTGCTATACGAAGTCATATTTATCTCTTGCCAAACTCATATCTGATGATTACCATATCACAGAGGTCAACAGTGTTGAAACTATTTCAAACTTCCTGTTTTATAAAGAATATGGAATTAAATTAGACAAATCCGTTGATTTTGAAAAAATTAAATCAGAAAATCTGGATATTCATACAGAAAATACAATTTACAGAGCAATTATGTATAATGACTTAGAAACATTTATCTCATTCACAGAAAGATATGGATTTGATAAAGATCAAAAACTTGAAAGTAGTTTATATCCAAACTCTGACAAAGAGTATTCATTACTTGAATTATGTTGTTACCATGGAGCAGTTGATTACTTCAAGTTTTTAAGGACGAAATTTAGCTCAGAAATAACTGAAAATTGTCTAAAATATTCATTTTTAGGAGAAAATCAAGAAATCATGAGTGAATGTTTGAAATATCATAAACCAAATAAAGAATGCATGAAATATGCAATTATTTCACACAACATTGATTTTGTTTCATTCTTGATGAATGAATACAATATAAGGATCAATTTAGATCATTGTGCAAAGTATAATAATCTTGAATCATTATTAGTTTATTTCGATCAAACTAATAATGTTAACAAATGCTATAATATTTCGGTGATTTTTAATATTCCATCTCTTTGCGAATATTTCCTATCAAATGGTGCAAATATCAATGCAAAATATAATAATGGACAAACCGCTCTTCAGATTGCATCATGTTATGCTGGAAAAGAAATAGTCGAACTTCTTATTTCACGCGGTATAAATATCAATAAAAAAGATAATTATGGAAAAACCGCTCTTCATATTGCGGTACAATATAATAGAAAAGAAATAGCCGAATTTCTTATTTCACATGGTATAAATATCAATGAAAAAGATAAAAACGGAGAAACCGCTCTTCATATTGCGGTACAATATAATAATAAAGAAATCGCGGAACTTCTTATTTCACACGGTATAAATATCAATGAAAAAGATGAAAATGGAAAAACCGCTCTTAATATTGCGGCACGTTATGAAAGAAAAGAAATCGCGGAACTTCTTATTTCACACGGTATAAATATGAATGAAAAAGATAAAAATGGAAAAACCGCTCTTAATATTGCGTTCCAATATAGTCATTTGACAGAAATTGATATTTATACTCATATATGAATTCGATTTTTTTTTCAAATTAAACAAATGCATGCGAGAGGATTTAAAACAATGATAATAAACAATACTGATATTACAGCATTAAAATATAGACATACTGCGATAATATATGAAAATTTGGAGGAATTTTATTATTTCGAAGGTTATAATCACATTTGATTATAACCTAAAATACAAAATAACAGGAGACACATAGCTTCTCATGATACTATAATTTGTTAACTCTCATATTCAATGTAATTGAATGACACATGACATAATCTCTATCAGCAATATATTCACCAAATTTTTAAGTTGTCTTTTCGAAATGCTTCAGTGCTTATCTTTGATGATTGCATATGAAGTAATTGGATCAGCATCGTTATATACAATAAAATTGTTGTTTAAAAAATAATTGATTTAAAATATATGCTTTTTCGGTTTTGCATATATAGAAACAGGGTATATTACTGGTACCATGCACCCATATATGCCGAACTGGAAAAGGACGCACTTTTTCATTTGAATGTGATTCATAGAATTTCAATTCAAGAAAGGAGTTTACAAATGCAGGGTAAAGGAACTATACCATGCATTTGTAAACTCCTTTCTTGATTATCTAGCACTTTTTTCATTTGTAAAAAAACTACTTTATCAAATCATCATCGAAATCCACATGGCCATTATTGTGGATACATAATAGTATTAAAACCCTGATCTTATCTTGATGGGATTGAATAAACTCTATCGTCAATTTTTTGAGCCAAAATTCACGATACATAATTGAATATAAAATAATCGTTTTTGTTCACTCAATAAAATCATCACTTAGTTTTTCAATACACACTTTAGCTAATACAGACGCAATCAATACAATGGTATATCATTATAAGTATGCAACATTACGATATACTTCAAACTTGTTTAAAAAGAACGCACGATTTTCACATTATAACAAATTACGAAGGGCATGGGAATATCTCATTTTCTTCATATCATTAGCGTCAATAGCCGAAGTCACATTCGTCTACTTTATAGATCCGAATATAACACTTGCACAATATTGTCCATTTTTTATCTTTGATATAATTTTCGCACTTGATCATTACATCATCAGAAGAACACTGTGTATATCTAATGGTGAGATTGTAGATGATCCAAAAAAGATTATTGCAGCGTATGGAAAATTTCATTTGTTTTTTCACTTAATATCGATATTTCCATTTGCATGGATAGGCATAATCACCAAATATAAGTTTATTTACGTATTACTCTCTATCAATAAGTTTTTTCGATTATCAAGAGCTTGGACTTCCTGGAAGACTTTAAATACTTTGCTTCCTTACATTGGCAGCTTTGCAACACTTCTGCCTTCCTTCATCATACTATTATTCGTTGTACATGTTTTTGCAATTATTTTAATGATTTTATCTAAATTCGAGAAAGAAACAGTTATTTGGACAACGCAATTTAAAGACCAAGGATATAATGATATCAAACTATATGTTGTCGCCATCTATTTCGTTCTTACAACTGTATCAACAATTGGATACCGAGATGTCATACCAAAAACAACAAATGAAGTAATGGTGATGATATTTATCCAATTGTTCGGAGTTATCCTTCATACAGCAATCATTGCGAGAATGATTTCCGTATTTTTCAATACATTAGAATATACGTTTATTAATAGTTACAAAGTCACTCAAGATTACTTGAAATTTAAGAAAATCGATGACAATCGAAGAAGAGAAGTTCGAAATTTCTGTCAATATTATTGGGAAACGACAGGAGCAGCAGGAGGCATCAGAAATCTACTTAGAAATGTCCCAAAATCACTTAGAACAACAATCAAACTCGAAATTACAAGAAAATTTTTCGATTCTACAGTTTGCTTTTCTTCTCTCACTCCAGGACAGCTTGCTAAGGTCGCAAAGATCATTAAGCATATTACTTTCGAACCAGGAAGCTTCCCATGCAGACAGGGAGAGAAATGCAACTTCATGCTTTTTGTTGGTCGAGGAATAATTTCGATAATTGTTGATGACCAAGTTATTGCATCTGAAAGTTGCACAGAGAGTACTGTACATGGTGAAAACCAAATGTTGTTGGGTTCACAATGCGCAACAAGCATCAGAGCGTTAATGCAGGGTTTTATATCAAGATGACCTTTCTAATTTGATGCTTCATCATGGGTATATAAGAAGTTTGATGATGCAGAGCATTGCAGCAGCTTTTCCAGTAATGATTGAAGATATCGCGATTCATATGCTCGGAGATATGGCTGCGAAGATGTTACTGAAGCTGAGAAAAGATAATGGAGCAGTATTCATTGATAGGCTGCCTATTATGAGAAAATCAGAGTCAATTCCAATGATTAATAAAATTGATTCTGATATTATTGGAGATAGTATAGATAGATTTGACCAATACGATAGATCATCTTCTACGGAAGATACAACTACCGAGGATGGATACGAAAGTATCTAATTTAATAAAGTGTTTTGTTTGTAATGTATTTTTTGAAAAAAAAAATTAATTTTTTACATCATTAATTTTTTAAAGGTAGTCTCACGAAAATACGTTATTTTCCCGATGCCTTGGAAGCAGCTTTGCAGGTTACCCGTAAGGTAACCAGTAGAAGTTTCTGAGCAAGGATGAAGAAGATTAAAGAGCCTTTTTATTGCAAACGCTATATTTGTAAGTGTCTTTGTAGAACTTCTCATAAATTCAAAGATTTCCAAAAACGAATTTTTCGATTTTGATATATTAAATGATATTTAAACAAATTATAGATGTGTTTGCAATTAAAAAAATCCGAGTTAACTACAATATCTTCAATTTTTGTCGTTCACTTTTTCATGTCATACTGATAGCAAGAATACTCACCCAATTTGGTTACACTTCATGATAGTTTGAAGTAAAAAAATGCCACAGTTTTTTTTATTTGATATCGTTATCTAAATTTTGTACAGAAATGAAATAAATTATAATATGAAACGTGTGTTATTATGCTTGTTGGGAAACAATCCAATACTTATGTCTGAATGAAATGATTATTTCTACGAGATTTTTCATATTCAGCTAATAATGCTATCAAAATCAAATAACAATAAAAAGTTATTTTGTACATAATGTAACTTAATCTTTAATACTATATAGAACTTCGAAATACGACTAAACGGTGCGAGTTACGCGATTAAATACCTTTTTTTCGATCGAAACTTGAAAGTGAGGATAACTCAATGGGTAGGGGTATGGGTTCGACTTTTTCTATTGGGCAACTATTTTTTTCTTTTCATTGTTTCAGCATTTTTTTATGCGATTATGCATAATTATTTGATTTCCTATATATTCAATAATAAATTTGTTCCGAACTCTTAACAAATAAATAAATTTTTAGAATATTTAAATTTATAGCTCCCTACATTAATATAAAGTGTTCGAATAGTTCATATATAGTTTCTTTAAAATAATTTGTTTCATTTTAAATTGGTTTGGCACAATGCTTGACATAACATGCACAAAGCTATGCCATTTTAAAATATGTATATCAATCAAGCCGATTAAGTCCATCCTAAACGAAAATCATCGATACTCATGAATTTATGATAGTCGTTCTTGATATAATTGCGCGTTTTAAAAAATGCTTACTTTTGAACACAGAACTTATCTATCCATATTTATCAATGAAAGTTTATAAGATGCATTAATGACAAAACCTTACTTTATCAATTATAATCTTATCGTAAATTTCAAACTACAATACTGTGGGGCAAATATTAAATAACCACTATGTTGCGGATTTTATGTAAGTCTGCAAACTGTAAAATGTAATTAAACACAAATAAAAAAAAATGTAAATTTTAATCGAGAAATTTAGCAATCTTGAAAGCCTTGATCGGCATCTTTTACAAGATGTCAGTAATGCATATTCAATAACTATGAAAATCTAGCCAAGCATGGATTTTTTTTCGAAAAAAAATTGTATTAAATTTCATTTTTCATTCTTTATACAAGTTTTAACCTTTGGTGCAATTATATCCTATCGCAAATGCATTATTGACGTTATTACTTGGATACTTCTTCATAACGCTAAATCTTCAAATTAGTTATGTGTTTGTTACTAATAGAAGTTGGAAAGGTATTAAAAAAGGAAATGTTAATAAATATACATGTTTAATTAAAAAACAAACAAGAATAAATTAAATAATTTTATTTCTTAGGAAAGTCTAAGTTTTGTAATAGATAAATTGCTTTTTGTGTCTCTTCTTCATCAATTTCTGGATGTTGATTCTCAGGTGGCGGACTAATTAAAACATCATGGGCAATATCAAACCATTGTTTTAGTTCGTTGGCAGAAGGAAAATGATCTTCTTGTATTGGCGTTATTAATGATTGAAAATCATCAGTTGATTCTGCATTTTGGGAATTTTCCAAATTTTCATTTGGAAAATTTGAATTTTGAGATATTGTTTAAGCACTCAGATCTCATTTTTAAAATATCTGCACCAAATTCTTACATCTGATAATTTTCATGTGTAACCAATGTTTCCCAATCCATTTGCCATACCCTACTAATCGCAAATTCATTCCCTTTAATTTTGTATTAAATTTAAATTCCAATCTTAATTTCTACATTATTTATGCTAACCCTTTAAATTTTGTTCTTATTTATTCACCCTCAGATACAAATTTATTTAGAATGTATTCCTCTGAGGTCTATATTTGTATTCGAAAATAAAATCTTTAAAACTCTCTAAGTAAAAAAAAAAAAAAAAAAAAAAAAAAAAAAAAGGCAGTGGGGCTTCCAGGGCTGCGCCCCTCTAGCCCCTGAAGATGTTTAGTATAAATGAAGTTCTTATATACGGGTCTTCCAGGAGCTTTTCACAAAATATATATGTTTTCATGTTTTGTCACTTTTCTGTCACTTTTTCAGGTAAAAACATTTTTATTATATATATAAAATGAATTTTACAAAACCACCGCTACCCTTCTTTGGAAATAAGAGTAGATGTAAAGATATTCTATTGAGAGAACTTAAGAAACTACCGAATGGTCTAACATTTGTAGACTTGTTCGGTGGAAGTTTCTATATATCTCATTTGTGCCATACAATATTTCCTGACTCAAAGATTATATGCAATGACTTCGACAACTATATGAACCGTCTCAAACATATACCAGACACAAACAAAATATTGAAAGAGTTAAAAGAAAAGATACCTATAGGTAAGATGGAACGTATACCATTAGATAAGAAAAATACTGTCAGAGAGGTTTTGAAAAAGGCAGAGTATATTGACTGGGATAGTATATCTGCTAGACTATTATATAGTGGTGCTATAAGAGTTCATGACATTGAAACACTTATGTCAAAAGTTTTATATCTTAACTATACAAATGTTTTCAAAGAGAACATAGAAAAATATATTGAGGGTATAGAGTTTGTGAGATGTCATTGGACAGAGTTGTATGAAAAATATAAAGACAAGGAAAATGTTTTCTTTATAGTGGACCCGCCGTTCTATAACACATGGGATTTTCAATACCAAGTAGACTGGACTTTGAGAGACTCTTTAGAAACTTTAGACGTTTTACATAACCATCCATGCTTTTACTTTACATCCGATAAAAGTGGTTTGGAAAGTGTCATGAGATGGTTAGAGGACATACATGACTATGAGTTTAGATACGATAAGATAGAATATGAGAGAGGTCCTATAAACTGGAGAAAGTGTCATAACAAAGAAATTTTACTAGTAAGTAAATGTGGTTTGAAATAGGACTACTTGTTTTAGGTTTTTTCCATTGTGTCATTTACTTATTTGACGTGGCAGAAAGATATAGAGAATATGAAGATGAACCAATGCCTGCAAATGTTCAGTATATGTACTCGTAAGAGATATTTTTATCTAATATTAAATGGACGCACAGAACTTAGCGAATGCACAGCAACCTGGACAACCAAACCCAGAGAATATTCCAAATGAAGTTAGAATACAAACTGCAATGGCAAACTATGGTCAAGTGCCAACAGATGTACAAATGCAAACTGCCATGTCAAATGACGCTGCGTTAGGTTTGCCACCATGGTATGCAAATATGAGATGGAAAGAGTTTTATACAAACCCTGAGGTGGGATATAAACAACTTTATGCAGATGACGCGAACACAGGAGTTGACCCAGAGTATGTTTTCTACCAGAGGAGAAACAGAATGTATGAGCTCCAGTTAAAGAATGCTATGGAACTCAACAGGAAACGTAAGAGACTAGGCGGACATTAGATTTTTACATATAGTAAAATGGGTTTCTTTGGAAGAATAGGAAACTTCTTTCGAAATGTTGGAAGAGGTATATGGAATGGAATAAAAACCGTAGGAAGAGGAATTTGGAACGGAGTCAAAAATATTGGTAAAAGAGTAGGTCAGTTCGTTGGTATTATACCTAAAGACCCTGAACCAGAAGAACAAGCTCCTGTTATACAACAGCCTGAACCTGCACCACAGTCTAGTTGGCAACCAAATCCAACACCTCAACCGTATTAAAAATTATATTTTTACCGTTCGATAGTAGTTGTATATGAAACTAAGTTCTAAGTAAAACGCATGGTATAATGGAATTATTCTCTTTCTTCCATCTGTAGTAAACCATACTTGAAAGTCTGAAATACTTCCACTTGGTGGTTCATATAACTTTGTAGGTTTTTCGTAAAAGTCATTTGCCAAGCATAAGAAAGAGTTTTGTGCGCCAGAAAATGAAGCATGAACAATAATAGCAGCTGGGTCGAAAACATCTTTAAATAAATATGGTTCATCTCTTGCATATCGACTGTAAATATTTGCTAAAGGAAGTTCGACTTTCTGATTTAACATTCTTTGCAAATAATACCATGACATTGCAGTGAATTCTGTATATATTTGTTCGTTCTTTGGATTGTCTTCGTAGATTTGAAATGACACTTGTGAATTTTGTTTGTCATATACAATTCTCACATAAAGTGTGCTCTCGGTATTTGCATATTCATCAGCATATTTTGCATAACATGAATTTATTTTATCTTCTATATTTTTTAACGCAGTCTGTAGAGAAGATGAAAGGTCAACTTGTATTAGCTCAATTTCTTCCCACATTTTTCGTTTCCCTTCAGATATATAATCTATATGAAACCTTACAATAAATGGAAAACTTTTATCTTCTACAGACACAAACTTCATTCTACGAAAGCCAATAGCTTTTGTGACAGATGGGTCTCTTAGCCATCTTAATGGGTAGTCAAAACGATAGCCTTCATGCTTTACGGTCTCTGTCTCAAACTTTTGACCGACATTCGTAAAAAGTTCATCTAATGGTTTAGTTGTAGCAACTCTTGAATTTTCTTTTTCTATTGAAAGCATATTTTATCTAGAATAAAAATGTCGAAAGAAACAGCGTCTATGAGAGAAATACAACACAACCGACAACTCATTTTGCAAGCTCTAAATAAGAA